AACTGCAACATGGTATCTCATTGGGCGAGCACTTTAAATCGGCATGAGTCCTGACTAGTACAAAGCACACACACACACACACACACACACACACACACACACACACACACACACACACACACACACACACACACACACACACACACACACACACACACACACACACACCGACGCGACGTTAAACCCCATTTCACCTTACCTCACCTCACCCAACCCATCAGCAAAAGCACCAGCCTGGTGTGCCTGATCCACTTTCTGCTCATAAAGATATGTCCGAATGTCAGTTGACACACACTGCTTAAAATTCTCAACCAAAACCAACTAAACTGTCTAAAAATTTCAAAATCACTATTCACCTCCATAGAAGTACACCACCTATCAAACAAAGTTTCCTTCCTCCCTAGTAAACTCAACAAAAGTAGAATCATCCATTTCCTCAGCAGACCTAAACTCTCTCTATTAATAAACAGTCATATACCAGTGACCTTTATAAATAAGTTAAGGCGCCGGCTTATTCTCTTACTTTATCAAACCATTAAAGAAGGTTAAGGAGAAAATATATTTCTTGAAAGAGTAAGTTTTATAAATAAGTTATAGCGCTGTCATTAATCTCTTATATTTCAAAACCATTAAACACGGTTAAGGAGATAACATAGTTCCAGAGTAGTCTGCATATATGAGTTAAGGCGCCGTCTTTATTCTCTTATCATCTATCTTATTTTCACTGCCGATCAAAATACAACATTTCACAGTGTCGAGCGCTACAGAGATGAAAAATAATATTTCCATATCAATATCAACCGTTGATGTTTGGTGATACCGTGCGCTTATCAGTTCGTATACCTTATTCAAATCAACCTTTGAACACCAAACGTTGTATTGAGCTTCAGGTCAGTCACGGAATTCATAAAAGGCCAACATTATTGTGCCATTTCTTGCACCACATGCTTCTATTTTCAAAAGGAAAACGTTGCTTAAAAACAGTGTCACTGGTTTTTTCTGGTCCATCTATCACTTGATTGTCTGGTTTGTTTCCAGGCCGCTGACTCATAGCAGGAGTACTGCTGCGCGGCGTGAGGCAATGAATGTTACCTTTTTATGCCAATTGTGTGAATTGCGGGTGCTACCGGTACAGCATGGCATGAATACCCTTTCCGCGAACACCAGGGCCCACTTGCACAATGCGATCTTAACTCCAATACTTTAACATAGGCTTACGATAGTTATTAGCACTAAGATCACTTTGTGCAAGTGGGCCCTGGTGTCATCACTGACATTTTCACAAGCTGTTTGCTCTTACTCCTCTTGCATTGACGTTTTTTCTATTTACATAGTTTAAACTCAGTCATAGAACTCATCGTTCATGCACGTGATTGTGTTATTTTCTAGCTTCACGCGTTTCTTTTTTCAAAACACAAATCCGTGAATGGCGATCTATGCATAAACAATGAGTCAAGATGCTCATGCTAGAACGTTGTGGCACCATTATCCTAAACGTACTTTACGATTTTAAGCTTACCATTATTTTAGACCTACAAATTGAGCTCAAAGGCTTGTTCAACTCTGTTTCATATCATAACTCAGGTATTTACATAAGTTCGTAGTGACCTGACATTGTTCGAAGACAGAAGCGTTCTGAGTTTATACATATTCGGATTATAGTAAAGAATTTAGGCAGATAGATGTGTCTTATGTTCTTGTAGGAACTACACGTTAAAGTAAAATTATCTTCATCTTCAGTCCTAGATTACAAAGAGGACATAAACGTTAACTTACATCAATCCCCAACCATCTCCATTCGATAACTTTCAACCTTTACATCCCTGTTTTTATCAACATATAACGTTGTTTCATATAGTGATTATGACGGGTGCCACCGTTTAGACAGGATTGGCTCACCTTTTCGCGAAAACCTGGTATCATCACAACTTGAGAGTGATTAAAACACATGCTTATGATACAGTCGGAATCATACAATTGTGTCTGCTTTAAGCAGAGATTTCTTCTAAAATGGTGAGGAATTTCTCAGGTTCCATTAAGCTATTAAACTCGAGACATATGTTATATCTTGAGCTATTTACTATAATACTAATAATAATAATCTCATGAGTGGTGGTACATGTAAATTTCGATTTTGGATACAATTTAAGAAAAGCAAATGTTTCTCCAACACACTGAGCAATCCATACATATCCAAATCCAGGTGATAACAATTACGTGCGTACAGTGTATGAATAGGTTTGGTGTCCACAATTATCATAGTACAAAAGCATAACATAGGCTTTCTCGGGGATTCTGTCATGGTGCATTTCCGTCAGTTTAAGCTAGTATTTTATACAACGACAGGGTGCATGTATACATAAAGGATATTGGCCACATTCACCATACACAATGACATTAGGTGTCTTTGGGGCCAACGTTTAGAATTTTCTTGCAAGCGGTTAATTGGGCAGTTTTAAATCTGTTAATACCCCACTCCCCCAAGCCATATAAAAGCATGGACTGTGTTTTGGTGTCGAATATCTTAAAAAAAACAGATTGGTCCCATTAACGCTCGTTTACCTCTTGATGACAAAGCTAGAAAACAATTATTCATTTTTACCTGTAGATTAGAAAAGAATTCCAAAATATATGTTTGAGTGAACCATTTAAGCCTTTTCACCTTTACAAAACCGTTTTTCATTTCTCTTCTAAATACCACAATGTTTGTCTAGTCTAGATTTACTGTTAAGCCTTGTACATACTATTCTAAGATATTAAGGTGTTTCTGTAAGCCAGGTACTACATCAGACACAAGTATAACATCATCTGCAGACATCAAGATTCCAAAATACATCTGGGAATAATTGCACCCCACATTCACAATTGCCTAAACTTTCCACAGATAACTCATTGATAGAGAATGAGATTAAAGAGGGCTTAATATACATCCTTGTTGTAAACCAATAGGACAGTCAAGATATTCATTAAACACAAAGTTCACTGCATCTTACACATGCTTTTACCGAGGTATAGTTGGCTTTAAGGGCTCTTAACATTTTCCTGCTTAAACCAGATACGTACAAATAGTTCCAAGGCTTTATATGCTCAACAGAGTCAAATGCCTGAAGTCAACAAAGGCAGCATTGTGTTTCTTTTTCTTCCTTGATAAACATTCCTGTACAACTGCGTTTAAAATGAAACGTGATCCATTGCAGAATATCCATGTCGAAATCCAGCTTGCGTTTCTGTTACTTTATCTCTAACATTTTCATTTTCATAACAGTTAGAAAATCGGGTATTTAACATGGAGGTATACCTTGTACTTACTACACACAAGAGAAAATGTGGATTTTGTTTTTTGTCTTTCTTATGTAAAGGAATTTAAGGTTGCCTTTGTCGAGGGCCCAGGACTTACACCAGAGTCAAATACGTTGTTAAATAAGATTCTGAAGAATGACAAGGGAAATGCTATTCTTTTAATAGTTTATTGCTTCCTGAATTTCTTGATCTGGGAAAATCAATATAAAATGAAAATGTGAATAAAATCTAAAGAAGACTCGTCATGGTTGATAGTGTCGCTATTCTCACTAGTTTCATCAAAATTATTCAACACGTTCTTAAAATGTTCAAACATTCTTTATTTATATCATTACTCCGGTTACACCGTCTTGATAAACTTCTCAATTCTTTTAAAACACCGATGAGTCTTAAATACATGGTTTTTGTTCTGTTCCCTTTATATGCTGATAGGGGCGGTCGGGTAGCCTAGTGGCTAAAGCGTTCGCTCGTCACGCCGAAGACCCGAGGTTCGATTCCCGACATGGGCACAATGTGTGAAATCTATTTCTGGAGTTCCCCTCCTTGATATTGCTGGAATATTGCTAAATGCGGCGTAAAACCAGACCCACTCACATATATGCTGATAGTTATATTTTGATACTTTGCATGTATGTTTGTGTTTATTTCTCATGGGATAATACATTCGTTCATCCATGTTAGAATGATGAGATATCATCTTGATAAAATAGTAAATATCCTGCCTTGAAGGGAAATATATTTCTCAGCGTAATACATCCTTTATACCCCGCTTCGAAGCAAAAAGCCGCACGCTTTTCCGAGTCAAAGCAAATCACGTGACATATAACCTCAGATTAATCGAAAAGCTGTTTACTTTTAATCTTGAATTTGTTTTTATTCTTTTACAATGTCATATTAAGATATGTCGGTAAGATGACTTCGTTGTAGCAGTATCACTCGGGGAACATGTAGTTGCGTCCCTCGTTAGGTTTTATACCACTCACCTTCGTCTCGAGGTATACAACCTAGCGAGGGACGCATACAACCACATGTACCCAAAAATTACTTTTATTTGACCTTTTTGTGGTATCTTCTCAGTTGACGCCAAGTTTCCCAATTCAAATTTCAGTTTCAGTTCAAATTGGAAAATCCATTTTTAGGGGTTTTGTTTCCATTTATTGCACGTTTCTTTATACTATTATGTCATTGATATTTACAATTTTTCTTAACCAAAAGTAATATTTGTTTCTGATATACTTATGACTTCATTACTACCAGGGTAGGGATTATTAACAATTTCTAAAAATAGTGTAGCCTGGTTCACATCCCATCTGTATTTACACGAATTTTCTTAATTATTGGCGTTTAATCAAGGGTGTACATTTTGTTTTGAATAATGGACAGACGGAAATTATCAGAAAGAGTCAATGGTATATGTTTGCAATCAACATGAAATTCATGAAACCTCCGCGTACATATAGTAAATTAGGCATGGTCTTGTGTCACAAATACTATGTATTAAATGAGGGGACGCATACATAAGGTAAATTTTGCATGGTGTTGTTTCACAAGTAGTATGCAGATGTCTGTTCACTGTGTCTTAATCAATACACCATTGAGATGTGTAAGCAAAGCCAGAAATAGATCTTTGCCATACCATATCAAATTAGATTGTTTATTAACAAATTTAGGTTATAGATGTGGCATTCTTATCATTGCAGCCGAAATAGTTGGCTGTTATAAAGAAGACGTGAGAAACCGTCACTTCAAGCTAAGTCCAGGGCACTACGATCCCAAGTCTTTGACTGCTGAGAAATGTTCCAGTGTCTGCGGAGCCTACCTCTCCTCCTTCGCGGGTCTCACAGACGGACGGTTCTGTTTCTGTGGGTCGGAAAAGCCTGCGGACAGGTACATAGAAAAAACGGATGCCAACTGTGACAGTAGCTGCTCGGGAAACAAAGCACAGAAATGCGGCGGGCGGGGTTACATCACAGTGTATCATACCTTTCAGCCAATAAAAAAGCTTGAGATGCAAGTCACTGGCAAAACGGCCTTGGCCAAAACTGGTGATGAAGTGACCTTTGAAGTGAGGTCGGAGGCTGGATACAACCTCTTCTACCAGATGGACTACGGGGATGGCACAGAGGGCATGGACAGAAACGCTACAGGGATGTTCAGCAAGACGTACGCCATCCCCGGCCAACACGACGCCGTGGTGACCGCGTCTGACAGCAGTGGGTCCGTGACGGTGAGTGCATACTCTTTGTAATTTTTCAATTGTAATCATATCTATATATCGCTACGGAGCGATGGATCGAGAACGACAATCAGGTTTTCGAAAACAAGCTACTCAAGTCAATTGTTCACCCGAAAAAACACGGGAACATATGGTACAAAAAGTTAAAATAGGAAATTGCATAGGCTGTCATTTGTGTCAAGGATCTATTTTGGAAAATCTCCACATGTTGAACTCATAATATAGTATGTATTTCTGTGAATATTTAAGGATTTGTAGTCAGATGTAAAGAACAAGCTTTTAACAACAAACAAACAATAAATGAAAGTATATCCACTAAGACAGCGATTCTGTCACAGAAACATGGAAGTGCTGGAGTAATTGTTCAAGCACCAGTGAGCAACGTCTCTGTCGACTGCCCCATCTTCAGCAGCTACGAGAGGAAGGCGTGCACAGTGATTATCACCCACGGCACCAACCTCCTCCTCCACGACAAAGTTGACAACAAGGAAAGGACTATAAAAGTAGCAGGTACTTCTCATGTGCCATCGGCCATTCTCATATTGAAAATAAAAATACTGCGTGGTATCGTTAGGAACTGACCATATAATGTTTTGATGAGAGACGAAAAGAATAATACATTTTGAAAAATATTCCTCCGTTTAGGAATTGATGAAATGATAGGATAGCGAGGAGAATGCGCATCTAGTAATAGGACTGGACGTTTTCCTTCAAGTATCACTCCAAACCAAACCCTTTTCTTTCTGTAGATCCAGTTATCGGTGTTGCTGGCTGTTGCGTTCCCTATGCAGCGAAAGCACAACCAGAGAGCTTCTCAGGAGATGATAATGCCATCTTCATCATGCCTGCTGCTGAGTTCAGATTTCATGGAGTAGTTACACACTGGGAGTTGTGGGCGGACACAGCAGGCAAACTTACAGTCATGGTAACAAAAAAAACAACAATTTTCATAAGCATAATGTTACTGCTTGTTTTTTAAAAGTATAACCGCCTATGTGGTGTAGTAGATAGAGCAGCTGCTCGGAGAACTGTAGGTCGGTGGTTCGACTCCCTGTCCTCGTCATACCAAAACAAAGTTGTAAGATAGTATTTGTGGTTACCCTGCCTGGCGTAAAGAATTAATGGTGTAAAAGACGTTTTGGTCTTTTCGGGGGCGGTATAATGTGTATGAGTGGGTATCCATTTTAAACAACGGCATGGTATCTCATTGAGCTAGTATTTTAAAAAGACCTGGCTAGTACAATAATACACACACATGCACGCACGCACGCTCGCACGCACGCACACATGCACGCACGCACACACACACGTACATGCACGCCATACAGGTGATATTAAACTCCATCGCACTGAAGCGTTAAGTGGCATATCTTAAATGCAGGTAAACATGATGTAAGCATACAATCTTCCAATTCATCTAATGTTCACTCCACAATACATCGATAAGTCAATACTGAGCATACATGATATGAGTTTAGTCTCTCGAATCTTTGTTACAGGTTCTGAAGCCTGATTGTGATGACTACTGCTATGAGACAAACACATGTGGAGGGCAATGTAAAGGAACCACATGTTCCTCAGACAAAGGTTACTGTCATCAAGCTGGAACCTGCTCCAAAGATTGTAAAGAAACAGACCGGTACCCATCAGACACCCCCTTAGTTGACTATGTAGAACGCCAATCCGTAGAGCTGAAGGTTTCCAAAGGCCATCAAGTTGTAGAATGTCCATATATGAAGGTATTTCCTGGCGATATTATCGCCTATAAAAAGTCAACAGGGTCTGCCACCATCACCGTGTCTAAGAAAGAGACAACAAGCGATCGTAAATATGATGGTCCAACGAAAACGTTTTCCAAGAACTCCGGAAATCCAGTGTCCAAGACACGACATCACCTCAAGGCCATCTACTCCAGTCAGACAAAAGTTTCACTGGACTATAATTTCCAAGTAGCTAAGAAATACACCTTGAGTGTAAACGTCAGTAATGTTGACATTGAAGGTTCTGAAACTGCTACGACAGAGATCGACGTTCAGGAGGGCATCAATGCTACAATCCTTGTTGGCCCCAAATACCTTGCCGTCAACACAGAGGGCATCTTTACCATCCTCCCTCACACAGGTAGGTTCAACCATCGTGCAACACAGAACAGACAAGATTTATGATGTTGTAATTCAATCGATTGTCTGTAAGTAAACAATTTATGGTTCATAATGAAAAAATCTGGAAAAAAACACACGCGTCTTGACACACGTCACAGACATAATGACGTTACAACGTCATCATTGTTTACGTTACGTTGCCCTCGCTGGCTTCTAGAAACTTTTTCAGTATAGGAGATACCACTTCGCTAGTAGATGACAAAGAGCTATAAATACTAAAGACATAATACACATTTTACATAATTATGTTTCTGAATTTATCAGTTTCGCTTTGTAAACACACGAACGTTATACTATCTGTATTATACATTTTCTAACCGTATGTTATTCATTTGCATATATATATTGCTTTCAATCCATATGTAACGGTTTGTCTTTGTAGACATCGTTATTTAAATGGCATCGTTGTGAAACCTCTCTGCACGCATGTTGCAGGTACTGATGTCAAGCGTGACTGGGATTTCGGAGATAAGGCTGTCAATGGAACAAACACAGACCAATATAAACACATTTACGCATCCTTGGGAGTATATAACATAACAGTGAGATGCTGGAATACACAGAATACTAAGAAAAACGTTTCAATGGTGACCGTGGAGGACAAGATAGTTGATATCAGCGTCAAATATAGCCCCTGTGTAACACTGACAAACTGTAGCTTTGACGTGACTGTAACAGGTGGATCAGACTTCGTGATTACATGGGACTTCGGCGATTCCTCTATTAATACTACAACTCAAGACGAGTACTTAGAAAGCCATGTGGTGAACCATGTGTATAACATGGGCGGTAATCTGTCTGTCACTGCCAACTGTTCCAATCACGTCAGTTCCAAGTCTTTCACATTCTTCCTACCTGTGCAGGAGGTATGCACTGGGTTGTCACTTATTAGAAATGGCACCGAAAAGAACGTACCTTTCAGAATCGCATGGAAACTTGATCAGGGTTCCGACTGTAAGTTTGAACTCACATTCCGTGAACAAAATGTGTTAGTTGAGAAGGCTAACTTGACCACCAAGAGATGGGAGTCTGTATTGCAGAATGGTCTTCCGGCTAATATTTATCCTCTGACCCTCAAGGTACATAATGATATTGGTCATGACGAAATACATGTGGACTTTACAATAGAAACTGCCATGAAGGGAATGGAGTCTAAATGCAATGTTACCATGATCAGCACCGGGGAGGGGGCATCCTGTACCGTGACTGTCAAAGAAGGATCCAATGTGAGATGCACGTGGGACTTTGATGATGGAAAGGTGGAGACTTTTGACCAAGGAGCAGCAGACTGGTCGCTTAGGGCAAGTACTCCTGAAATTCGTGAACACATATTCACGAAGGGCAAGAATCACAATGTCACGATTACCTGTTCCAATAATGACAGAAGCGAACCTCACTACCACTCAATTCTCGTTATGCAGGGGGTCGATGATGTTCAGATTGAGCATGAGAGCGCCATACTCTCCAGTAGACCTGGTATCGGACACTTTAGCTTCTTGACTTCTGGTGTGGCGCCTAATGAGGCAAAGGCTGAGTTTTCATTTGGGGATCGTCAGCTTGAGACAAAAGAGTTGAGGATGAACTACAACTACACGCACGGGTACCGGGATCCGGGGTGTTATCAGCTGAATGTCAAGATTTCGAACAGAGTGAGCTCTAAGATCTTTAACAACCGTCGGATATGTGTGATTGAGAAGATTGAGGGCCTACAGATTGTCACTGACCCAGTTGCTGCTGTGCTGAACAACTCTGTTGTTGCCAAGGTGATCATGCATCGAGGACCAACTGGTGCTGTTGTGAATATTACCTGTGACTATGGAGATGGAGAAGGGAAGATTTCATTCGCTAGACAAGGTACGTTTTGTGCTGCGTACATACTTCAGTTGTCAGGTAAATTTAACATGGGCAGATGTTACGACAGTGGAAACGTTTAAAGGCAAATCACGACGAAAGTAGTGGCAGGCTAATCGATGTGACATGGGGCATAGGTATCCATGAGGCTGAAATCTGGCGTGGGCTTGGTCGGGTGGATGGTGGCGATGGGGGTAGTATTAATTGATGGTTTCAGTGGAGGTGGTATTGACTGATGGTAGCGATGGGGCTGGTATTGACTGATGGTAGCGGTGGTATTGACTGATGTTGGATGCGGTATCGAAGGTACATGTATGAAGGTAGTTTAAGTGAAGGTACATGTGTGATGGTAGTTTAAGTGAAGGTACATGTATAATGGTAGTTTAAGTGAAGGTACACTGTACGATGGTAGTTTAAGTGAAGGTACATTTATGATGGTAGTTGAAGTAAAGGTACACGTGTGATGGTAGTTTAAGTGAAGGTACATTTATGATGGTAGTTTAAGTGAAGATACATTTATGATGATAGTTGAAGTGAAGGTACATTTATGATTATAGTTGAAGTGAAGGTACACGTGTGATGGTATTTTAAGCGAAGGTACATGTTGGATGGTTGTTTAAGTGAAGGTACACGTATAATGGAAGTTTAAGTGAAGGTACACTGTACGATGGTAGTTTAAGTGAAGGTACATTTATGATGGTAGTTTACGTGAAGGTAAGATGTGCGATGGTAGTTAAAGTGAAGGTACATGTATAATGGTAGTTTAAGTGAAGGTACACTGTACGATGGTAGTTTAAGTGAAGGTACACTGTACGATGGTAGTTTAAGTGAAGGTACATTTATGATGGTAGTTGAAGTAAAGGTACACGTGTGATGGTATTTTAAGCGAAGGTACATGTGGGTTTTGTTTTTCAAGTGAAGGTACATGTATAATGGAAGTTTAAGTGAAGGTACACTGTACGATGGTAGTTTAAGTGAAGGTACATTTATGATGGTAGTTAAAGTGAAGATACATTTATGATGATAGTTGAAGTGAAGATACATTTATGATGATAGTTGTAGTGAAGGTACATTTATGATGGTAGTTTACGTGAAGGTAAGATGTGCGATTGTAGTTTAAGTGAAGGTACATGTATAATGGTAGTTTAAGTGAAGGTACACTGTACGATGGTAGTATAAGTGAAGGTACATTTATGATGGTAGTTTAAGTGAAGGTACATTTATGATGGTAGTTTAAGTGAAAATACATTTATGATGATAGTTGAAGTGAAGGTACATTTATGATGATAGTTGAAGTGAAGGTACATTTATGATGATAGTTGAAGTGAAGATACATTTATGATGATAGTTGAAGTGAAGATACATTTATGATGATAGTTGTAGTGAAGGTACATTTATGATGGTAGTTTACGTGAAGGTAAGATGTGCGATTGTAGTTTAAGTGAAGGTACACTGTACGATGGTAGTTTAAGTGAAGGTACATTTATGATGGTAGTTAAAGTGAAGATACATTTATGATGATAGTTGAAGTGAAGGTACACTTATGATGATAGTTGAAGTGAAGATACATTTATGATGATAGTTGAAGTGAAGATACACTTATGATGATAGTTGAAATGAAGGTACAATGTATGATGGTAGTTGAAGTAAAGATACATTTATGATGGTAGTTGAAGTGAAGATACATTTATGATGATAGTTGAAGTGAAGGTACATTTATGATGATAGTTGAAGTGAAGGTAAATTTATGATGGTGAAACCATCTAATCAAAACCAATATGACTCAAAACGACGTTACACTCAACTCATCACAACAGGTAAGGGGATAGATGGGGAAGATTTGAGGTCCATCACCTACAACGAACTTGGAACGAAGACCATCACATGTGACGTCAGGACCCCCCATGAGAATTTGACAACTTCGCATAGAGTGAATGTGGAGGTGGCCGTGGCGGCGGACAACTGCCGCATCACCACCAACCACCCCGTACAGCACGGACGTAAGTACTTGAATTGATAAACAAATTGAAAAAAAACAACAGATATTCTTTCATTCTTTTGCGTGTACACAGTTAAACCACAATAAAGCAAAGGGTCCCGTTCGCAAGATAATCGTCTCAATTTTCACGTCCGATTTTATACACACACACAAATATGGAGTTATGTACGAGTGTTGACCTGCCAATCATCTATAGTCCGGAAAAAACGGGGTAGGTCTTGAACTGTAGGTCATTTCTAGTATAATAAACTAAACTGGCTGCTTGTCTTGTACACACACCCATGCTTGATGGTGGCTGAAATTGAAACAAGGAAGAATTGGTTTTGTGAAAGCGATTCATTTGATACGGGTATCATAGTTGTGGCTTTGAAATTTAGTAGTTTACAATGTTTCATCGACTGTTTTCAGATTAGTAACGTTCTGATAATGTTTGTAACTTTTTTTATCAAAATCAGTTTTCAAGTGCATACAATTTTTTCCCCGGCAGTCTACGTCTGGCCGTATGAATGTTATCATTGCATTAGATTATATAATGCCTTAAACAGGCGCAAATTGAGTATGAACCCTAAATGCTATGTTTCTCACGTCTCCCTGCTAACTGCTAACCTACACCATGCAATCTGACTTATCAGACATGGCTCAGGATATTATGAGAACTACTAGGACTGTTATCAATGAAACCGACCCGTGAAGATCCGGGGTAGAATAGGTCTTCAGCAACCAATGCTTGCCGTAAAAGGCGACAATGCTTGTCGTAAAAGGCCCCTAACGGGATCGGGTGGTCAGGCTCGCTAACTTGGTTGATGCATGTCATCGATCCAAACCGATGGATGCTCATGATGTTAATCACTGGATTGTCTTGTCCAGACTCGATTATTTACAGACCGCCGTCATATAGCTGGAATATTGCTGAGTGCGGCGTTAAACAACCAGCCAAACAACCAACCCAATGAATTTGAATCATCATATACAAATGTTTTGCATTCATTTCTTCAGAGAAGATCGTCTACTCGGTGCTCTGTAAGAAGGAACCAATGCCGACTAATGCCTTTGTCATGATTGACCATGGGGACGGTACACCCCCTCAAAAAGTGGTGTTCTCCGGAAAACCAGGCGTTCCACAGACCATATCATACGACCCACCAAAGGATGGACATTTCATTGCCAAAATATCATTGAGCAATGGCGGTTCTTCAATAAATGCGACACTTCCGGTAACATATAATATATAACATGTTCCTTACCCACACCGCCTCCATGGTTAAGTGGCAGAGCGTAAGGTCGAGGGTTCGATCCCCGGCCACGTCATATCAAAAGACGTTAAAAGATGGTACTTGTTGTTACACTATCTGGCGCTTGGCATTAAAGGGCTAAAACAAGGGCTTGTCTGCTTATGGCATCAACACGTGCATTCACGTCGCTATATAGTTCAATACTCACGTCTGGAATACACACGTTTTCATGCATGTCGCTATGTAAGTGCAATAATCTTGAACGCGACGTTAAACTCCATTTCACCTCATTTCAAGTAAAAGAATACAAATTTTATTTCTGTTGAGGGCCTTTGACATGTGCTACAACGTATTGCTTTAAAGAAGATCCGGGTTAAAATTGGCCTTCAGCAATGACCATGCTTGTCGTAAGAGGCGACTCACGGGTTCGGTTGGTCAGCCGCGCTAACTAAGTTGATGCATGTTATTGTATCCCAATTACTTAGATCGATGCTCATTCTGGATTATCTTGTCCATTATTTACAGACCGTGGTGATATAGTTGGAATATTGCTGAGTGTTGCGTTAATCAACAAATAAATAGACATGTCATTCACGCATATTTCAGTCAGTGTGTTTCTTTCAATAATCTATTGTTATCAGGCCGGCAGTTACTCGCGTCTTGCGGGCAAGCCCAGAAACTTCAAGTGCATGTACAAACCTGTAGTCCCTGCCAACAGCAACTTGACAGGGGGAATTGAGGGCATCAACGAGAAGTTCCCCACAACATCTCCGCTTATATGCAACTTAAAAATCGACCAGGGTAGGTCAAACACGCATAACCTCAATATAACTAATCACACTCCGACTTCACTTGTATGCGGCCAACAAGTAGGCCAGAGTGAGTTAATGACACTCGACCTTAACCTATATGCGGCCAACAAGTAGGTCAGAGTGAGTTAATGACACTCCACCTCAACCTATATGCGGCCAACAAGATGTCAGAGTGAGTTAATGACGCTCCACCTTCAGTTATATGCGGCGTACAAGATGTCAGAGTGAGTTAATGACACTCCACCTTAACCTATATGCGGCCAACAAGTAGGCCAGAGTGAGTTAATGACACTCCACCTTAACCTATATGCGGCCAACAAGTAGGCCAGAGTGAGTTAATGACACTCCACCTTAACCTATATGCGGCCAACAAGTAGGCCTGAGTGAGTTAATGACACTCCACCTTCTCTTATATGCGGCCTACAAGATGTCAGAGTGAGTTAATATACTCCTACTCCACTTATATGCGGCCTACAAGTAGGTCTGAGTGAGTTAATCACACTCCACCTCAAGGAATCTAGTCTAATCTAAGTGTCTCCAAAATAAGGGCAATGTTATGAAGTTTGAGATGACATTGTGGACCCTTAAAGCAAAGTGCATCCAATGAGTCAACACACGCCTTATACACTGTCCAATATTGTGTTGGCAGGAACACCTGTAAATTACGTGATGACAGCTGCCCACGAGACAGGATCACCTGTGGTAGTGTGTAATCAAAGAACGCTCCCAATTAACTGTAAGATTGCAAAGGTAAGGTTATATACGAATGTACTAATTTGTGAAGGCACTACATAACATTGACGTCATCAAATAAGCAGTAACGTGTGACGTCTTTCCAACAATAGTACAGTTAGTTGTCGGTGTTTGAGATTCGTAAAATATGATATTAAACTTACTTACAAAATACGTATTAGTGATTTGAAGGATGACCCACTGAATCATCTTAGGGATTAACTGTCCCTCATGAAATCTGTCTCTCCCCACGGGTCAGGTTTTAACACATAAACCCTCTTCGTAACTCGTGGTTAATTTCTCAATAATTTACTAAAATACTGTTATGCATTTTTTAAATACGGATATGTATCGGATAGAGAAAGATGAATAAATGTTTGTATTACTTATAACATATACAGATGAATTACTTTATATACCTGAAAATGTAAAACAGTTTACGCCTACTTCTACTACTACAACGTAATTTCAACTGCCTTACTGATACTATAGTTTTCTATATGGATATGTGAGATCAGAGAGAACATGCTAAAAAGGTAGAGCAGTTTGCTTATCCCGTTTACCACATGACCTGAAACCATTTACATTTTCACTCATAAAGATATCACTTTGTCTTGGCACTCGATGAGATAGAAGCCTACTACTCTCTATATATTCTTGCCTGTGTTTCAGCCTGGTTCATATGAAATTGACGTCAAAGTCAGCAACCCACTAGGATCATCATCTCCCATCTCCGCAGACCTGAAAATGAGGGCTCCTGTTAAGGGCCTCCGCGTGACAGATCTCACTCCAAAAGCAAAAGTCAATGAAGAAAAGAAGTTTAAAATAACCTTTGATGCCATCGGTGATGAAACATGCTTAAACATCGATTTTGGTGACAATGGAGAAACATCAAATTATGGCGAGGAGCAGTGGTGTGATGACCCAAAGTCTTCATTTCAAGGTGGGAGCTATATGGATGAGCTGACGACCCCACTTGAGGTAACAAGAACCTACTCTGCCAATAGGAACTATGAGCTGAAAGTAACAGCTGCTAATGCATTTTCAGATGCAATAGCTTCTTTGACATTTTCATTCAGCTCAAAGGGCTGTGCCAAACCTAAAGTTACCATTGAAGACGCTGTCGCAGACATAACGAGTCCAGTGATGTTTGAGAAAGGTGTTCGGGTTATCATGAGGGGTAAGACCAATATAACATGCAGTGCTAGCCTGAAGAATACGAAATCCTGGACTGTTGAAGAAGTGGACTCTGACTCTGGCTCCACTCTCAAAACATTGGATGTCACATCTCAGACTGCAGAGTTAGTAATGAAGGCAAAGACTGTTCCATACGGTCTCTACAAGGCGTCATACAGTGTAAAGATGGACCTTTCTGACGGGAGTGATTTGGTTGAATCCGCTTTCACCTATTTCAAAATAACTAAATCGAAACTTGTGGTTGTGATGGAAACAGGAGGCATCAGTGAAGTTGACCGTGGTAAAAACCAGATGGTAACGTTCAGCCCAGAACAATACTCCTTTGACCCTGACGTTGAGAGATCGGACGATCAGGTGGGTAACGTTTCTGACCTTATTTTCAATCGTTACAAAACTTGTAGCATTTGTTTGACATTTTTGCAAGCGCATCATGCACTAAATGCAGGATCATCAACGTGTCTGAATTTTACTCGCAGGGCTTTGAGAATTTCACATGGGGATGTCTCTTGAAGAAGAAAGTGTCGCCTGAATCAGCGTGTGACGCCTTGAACTCCAGAACGGGCGGCTCCATCTCCTTCAACACAAGCATCTTCGAGGCCGGGGAACAGGTACAGCTCACATGCAACGCGACCAAAGACACACGCTCATCTGTTGGGAAGATCATCATGAACATTGTGGAGGGCAAACCACTCAACCTATACATCGAGTAAGTCTTTATGGATCTTCAATCTATACATCGAGTAAGTCTTTATAGATCTCAACCTGTACATCGAGTAAGTCTTTATAGATCTCAACCTGTACATCGAGTAAGTCTTTATAGATCCCAGCCTATACATCGAGTAAGTCTTTATAGATCTCAACCTGTACATAGAGTAAGTCTTTATAGATCTCAACCTGTACATCGAGTAAGTCTATATAGATCTTCCACCTACATGTATACATCAAGTAAGTCCATATAGATCTCAACCTGTACATCGGGTAAGTCTTTATAGATCCCAACCTATACATCGAGTAGGTCTATAAAGATCTCAACCTGTACATCGGGTAAGTCTTTATAGATCCCAACCTGTACATCGAGTAGGTCTATATAGATCTCAACCTGTACATCGAGTAAGTCTATATAGATCTCAACCTGTACATCGAGTAAGTCTATATAGATCTCAACCTGTACATCGAGTAAGTCTTTATAGATCTCAACCTGTACATCGAGTAAGTCTTTATAGATCTCAACCTGTACATCGGGTAAGTCTTTATAGATCCCAACCAGAACATCGTGTAAGTCTTTATGGATCTCAACCTGTACATCGAGTAAGTCTATATAGATCTCAACCTGTACATCAGGTAAGTCTTTATGGATCTTCTACCTATACATCGAGTAAGTCTATATAGATCTCAACCTGTACATCGAGTAAGTCTATATAGATCTCAACCTGTACATCAGGTAAGTCTTTATAGATCTTCTACCTATACATCGAGTAAGTCTATATAGATCTCAACCTGTACATCGAGTAAGTCTTTACAGATCTCAACCTGTACATCGAGTAAGTCTTTACAGATCTCAACCTGTACATCGAGTAAGTCTATATAGATCTTCCACCTACATGTATACATCAAGTAAGTCCATATAGATCTCAACCTGTACATCGGGTAAGTCTTTATAGATCCCAGCCTATACATCGAGTAAGTCTATATAGATCTCAACCTGTACATCGAGTAAGCCTTTATAGATCTCAACCTGTACATCGAGTAAGTCTTTATAGATCTCAACCAGTACATCGTGTAAGTCTTTACAGATCTCAACCTTTACATCGAGTAAGTCTTTAAAGATCTCAACCTGTACATCGAGTAAATCTTTATAGATCTCAACCTGTACACTAGTGAGTCTTTATATATCTTCAATTTGTAAATCGAGGAATGTTACATTACCTGAAGAGATCATCTATAAGTCACCGTTGCAATTCAACAACCAACTCAGAGGATACCATCAAGTCCTTCGGGCAACCTTATTTGGAACAAAGACGACTCAGACTAGTGAAGATTAGATAATGATGATATCAATTTCTCTACAATACAATCAGTCTGACACACACGTTCTGGTATGCCTTCTTATAAGTGTCAAGCAAGAATCACGTTATCATGAATAGCATGTATGTACATGTAGCATGGGTACAATCCTGGCTGTTGGTTCCAGGCCTGTCGGTGGCAGTATGTCGGTTCAGCTGGCTGACTCTAAGATGGTGTCCTCAAAGGAGAGGTTGGCCCTGAAGATTCGCTGCAAGGACTGTGAAAAGGTCAAGCTGTCCTGCGAGTGGACGGCCTATTCGTATGCGGAAGGGTGGCCCTGGAGAGATTACTACGCGAACGAAGTGGCTGGCCACATCAACGGTGAGCGGACCGTACCTCTTCAACTATTAGAAGTTTAAAGCAGGATGCTAGAACAAATTATAGGGCGGTCGGGTAGCCTAGCGGTTAAAGCGGTCGCTCGTCACGCCGAAGACCCGGGTTCGATTCCCGACATGGGTACAATGCGTGAAGCCCATTTCTGGTGTCCCCCGCCGTGATATTGCTGGAATATTGCTAAAAGCGGCGAAAAAACCATACTCACTCACTAGAACAAATTCTGATCAGGTGAATTTACCAGTAGGAGCCTTTGGGAATGAACGTAGATCGGTAGACAAGTTTGCAATGTCTTTTCTGATGAACAGCCTTACGCCGTACTGTCCGACCGCCTCCGCAGTCTCGTGGATAGAGCTTCTAACCAGAGAGTCAAAGGTCGGTGGTTCGATCCCCGGCCGTGTCACAGCAAACGACGTTAAAAGATGGTATCTGTGGTTGAAAGTTCGGAGTCAGTATAGTGTGACTGAGTTGGGTATCCATGTTAAACTGAGGCTTGGTATCTCAGGGGTCTAGCACTATCAAATCGGAATACGTCCGTGTTAGTACAAGCAGCCACACAGAAACGTGCATGCACGTCACTTTATAAGTGTACTAATCTTGACCTTATACTGTCTTCTGATTTCTCCAATATTGACCTGTGAAGATCCGGGGTAGAATGGATCTTCAGCAACCCATGCTTGCCGTAAAAGGCGACTATGCTTGTCGTAAAAGGCGACTAACGGGATCGGGTGGTCAGGCTCGCTGACTCGGTTGATGCATGTCATCGATCCCAATGGCGTGGATCGATGCTCATGATATTAATCACTGGATTGTCTGGTCCAGACTCGATTTTTTATAGACCGCTGTCATATAGCTGGAGCGGCGTTAAACCACAAACTAACCAACCAACCAACGACTTCAATATTACTGTTTCTACCAGGAGCAATGTGGTAGAACAGACAAAATTCTAAATCCCTTTGACTGAATATCCGCCCTTAAATATCCTTTCTATATAACACGTGTTACGTTAGGCAAACAGCTATGAATTAATTTTATTAACAGCTATTACATGACGCCATTTGATCAAATTTCTTGTTCATGTCCAGCGTGGCCACAGTCAGCAATATCATCCTATGCTAAACATGTTATCTCGCTATCAGGTCTGAAGAAGGAAACCATCACGATCAAACCGTCCCTGTATAACATCCATCCCGATGTCACCAAGTACCGCTTCGCCTGCAAGTGCCGGCAAGGCGAAGGAGACTTCAGTAAAGCCGCCCTAAACATCGAGCTAAACCCCCCTCCCAAGCCCGGCACATGTGTCATTTCTCCCAAGAACGGCACCCTCAGCCTTGAAAACAACAGCCCTTTCAACGTCAAGTGTAGCGGATGGACGGACGAGACGGAGATTGTGGAATATAAGTTCTACTGTGAGTAACTTCATACGGATCAAGTGACACTGACAATTGTTTGTTCCCGATGCTTTGACGAGGCTTGCTTTCTTATTGGTTGTTGTTTTGCAGTGCAGTTGTTGTCCAGTTGTATTACGACAGAGCTTGTTGAAATAAACGCAACGTCATACGTAACATCGAAGTCGTAATATGTGACCTTTACAGATTCCAAAGCGTTCTCCTTTTCATTGCATTATTTCTTATTAAACTGAATTTTCAAAATACATCATATGGTCATACTGAAACCCTTATTGTACTTACAGGCACCCACAAGAGCAATAAACTGCATAACCAGATCAATACATTCAAAGAGGCCGACGACGTCAACATCGAGCCCCCACTGGGAGCTGACAATGATGACTACCGTGAAAACGTCTTCGTGTCCGTCAAGGACTCCATGGATGCATCGTACACTTACGACCTTGGCATCATACAGGTAGAACTTTTGTTTTAAGGCATTTGAGTTGGTAAAAGATATGTAAAAGAATATGAAATGAGAGTATTATATGCATCAACTTGCATCCGATGTGTCTTCCACACAGGTGTTCCCGCCTAAGAAAACTAAGATCGGAGACTGGTCGGCGCAACAGAAACAGTCCACTATGGCTGAGATCGAGAGGCTCAAGGCTGCTGGGGACCAGAAGATGCTCACCGAGAAACTCACTAAGCTTGCTTCAATGCTCAACGTCGACAGTAGGTGTCAGAACTACACCACACCACAATTGTCAGTGTTGTGTCGTGTTTAAATGTTTGTTTGGTTTGTTTGTTGTTGTTTTGTTTTTGTTTTGTTTTGGGTTTTTTGGGGGGGTTAACGCCGGACTCAGCAATATTCCAGCTTTATGACAGAGGTCTGTAAATAATCGAGCTTGGACCAGAAAATCCAGTGACTGATATCATGAGCCTCGATCCACACAATTGGCATTGACCACTCGATCCCGTTAGTCGCCTCTTACGACAAGCATGGGTTGGACCATTCTTACCTGGATCGTCATGGGTGGGTGTTCAAATGACGACCACAGGAGTGATGACACAAAATTGAGACCAGACACATTTATGAAAGTAGATATAATCATCAATGTTATCATCTTAACTCTCTGATTGCACAGTGACGATATCCACTCATCCCGGAGTGAGTGTGGATTTTCATCACTAAAACCCTCAAAATGCGGACTTGGTATAATTGTACTGTGTCCTTGGCCTTCACTCACGAAACTTATTAATCAGAAGACCGATCCATCATGTTCAACCGTTTCGCGAACACCTGGTGTCATCACTGTATTCTGGAGTGTACACTTAGGGTCTTGAATGTAGCACTTTGCTTTTATTTTTCTTGCATAAATACCCAGACGCTGTGTAACATCCTGGATTATTTTAAAACTGTTTCAGGACATACGTTTAATCGAGATACTTACGAGATAAACAAACTGTGTTTTCAATGTAGAGCAAGCTTACATGTACATTTAACTGGTACAGTTAACCGCGCTGAACTTAATTTCGAACCAAACGTGCAGCGTGTGTTTGCAAATGTTAAATTTAGCAGTTGGTCACACCGAAAGTCCAAAACGTGCTTATTGTCAGCCATTTGAGCATTTCTGATAATTTTCCTATCAAGATGTCAGTCATCTGAACATAACTTAAAAATACATCTGACAAGGTTTACATAAAGGTGTACCTTGATTGGCCATTCCGGTGGGTAGCGGGGGCACGGGTGGCCCAGTCGTCTATGGCGCCGCGATTCGCTGTGCAGAGTTGCGTCCCTTGGGCACGCCAGAAACCTATGATTGTGGGTTCGAATCCCGGTTCGCCCCGATTATGTTTCTAGGTTTGTCAGCACCATACCTGTGCTCGTGGGTTTCAGCAAGGTGGTAAACGTCTGAGACCTGCATCACTTCGGGCTTTCCTCCCACATTAAGCCAACACGCCGTGATATAACTGGAATAATGTTAAAAGCGGCGTTAAACCCAACTCAGTCAGTCAGTCAGTCCGCTGGGTAGCAGAGGCCCTTATTCTAACCTGCCCTTTCTACGCATCTGTTTGTTACAGAAGCTCATAACAATCCTGGTGCACCTGTGTCAACAACTTCTGACTTCAATGGAGGTGTGGGTGGGGGCAGTGGCATGGATGGGGTGAGTATTGGCTGTGTTAACAGTATTATGCTTGGACAGAGTCGTTTAAAAATGTTTCTTGGGTAACGGCGCGTCACTTTAACCCTGCGTGTCCGTCATTTGTATTGCCATAAAATACATATCTTTGAAATGTCCTGCGGCATATGAAACATACACCGTTATCTAAATAAAATAAATGCTTGGCAAGTGTACTTAAGGCTCAGGTCAATGCGTGCCCAGTTGTGTATTTAGGTATTTTAGGTTGGGGGGGGGGGGGGGGGGGGGGGGGTATAAATAGTGTTTGTTTTCACTAAAAACTTATATTAATATAAACTTCTACCGCCCTCCTTACTTTGGGAAAAATGTGCCAAAAACATTTTTTTGCAGCCTTATGAGTATCAACTTCTTCTTTTCTTTCAATACATTGTCTTAATTGTTACTGCATATAGGTATCACCTTCAAGCTTGACTAAATTGAGTTCAAACTTACCAGATTTATCCGATTTGTAACATTTGTAGTTTTCGAAAGAGTCCTCAACATCAACGGTCAATCAGATGCGTTATATCTATTTATATTCAGCCATGCTAGCCAATGAATCATTGTACTGAATTAGCAAAGATTTATTTTGTTGTTTCCTATCAGTAAATATAATATAGGTCAGTTGGTATATCCTGCCATACGGACGACACCCGACGACCCTACTATATGCACAACACGTGTTAAAAGTGGACATAATTGAAAGAAATCTCTTAGACCAGACTTAAATCTTTCAATCCCAAAGAGATTATCATATTTTCGGTGTCCCTCCGCTGATTACCTCTGACCCACCACCCCTATAACTATTGACCAGTTCCTCAATTGACTTTGAGCCGACCGTTAATTCGAGCATCATATCACATTATTTATTCTGTAACCTCATCTCCTTCACTTTATTCTAATTACACATTTAAATCAAGCTGACTGTACTTAATATATTTTTTCTCGAAAGGAAAATCCCTTCGGAGGTATGGACATGTCTGGATTCGGTGGAATGGATCTCAACGCCTTCTCAGGAAATATCAACATGACAGGCATACAATCTGGATTTCCAGGAGTTGGTGGTGGATTTCCTGGAGGTGGTGCAGGACTTACAGGAGGTGGTGGTGGATTTCCTGGAAGTGGTGGTGGACGTTCAGGAGGTGGTGGTGGATTTCCAGGAGGTGGTGGTGGATTTCCAGGAGGTGGTGCTGGTGGAGGGGCAGGAGTTGCGGGTGGTAGAGGCGGCAGAGGTGGAGGAGGTGGAATTTCCTTTGGTGGCAGAGCAGGTGGTCGAGGTGGAGGAGGTGGAATTTCCTTCGGTGGCAGAGCAGGTGGTCGAGGTGGAGGGGGTGGAATTTCCTTCGGTGGTGGAGCAGGTGGTCGGGGAGGGGTTAGAGGTGGTGGAGGGGGTCCTTCAGCTGGTGGTCAGGCAGGTCAGGGAGGAATAGGAACAGGAGGCGGCGGAGGTTTGGGGGATTCAGGATTAGGCGGATCTGGATCCTGGGATGGCTTCGGTGTTGATATCAATAACGATTTAACTGGTATAGAACAAGGGACTTCCGGCTTTGGTGGAGAAGGGGGATTTGGACAACAATTTGGTTCTCCAGATGGAGGACTAGGGCAAGCTGGTGGATCAGGCGGAAAATTTGGTGGACGAGGTGGACCAGGGCAATCTGGTGGACAAGGTGGACCAGACGGAAGATTTGGTGGACAAGGAGATGGGCCAGGGCAAGGTGGTGGACAAGGTGGACCAGGCGGAAGATTTGGTGGACAAGGAGGTGGGCCAGGACAAGGAGGTGGATCAGGGCAAGGTCGTGGACAAGGTGGACTAGGCGGAAGATTTGGTGGACCAGGTGGACCAGGGCAAGGTCGTGGACAAGGTGGACCAGGCGGAAGATTTGGTGGACAAGGAGGTGGATCAGGCGGGAGATTTGGTGGACAAGGAGGTGGGCCAGGGCAATCTGGAGGACAAGGTGGACCAGGCGGGAGATTTGGTGGACCAGGTGGACCAGGGCAAGGTGGTGGACAAGGTGGACCAGGCGGGAGATTTGGTGGACAAGGAGGTGGACCAGGGCAAGGTGGTGGACAAGATGGATCAAGCGGAAGATTTGGTGGACAAGGGGGTGGGCCAGGGCAATCTGGTGGACAAGGTGGACCAGGCGGGAGATTTGGTGGACGAGGAGGTGGACCAGGGCAATCGGGTGGACAAGGAGCAGTAGGAGGAAATGCTGGTGCTGGTGCTGGTGCTGGTGCTGGTGCTGGTGCTGGGTCTCCAGAAGAAGATACCGGGATCGATTTGCAAGTGCAAAACTTCAACCTTTCAGCAGTAGACCTGGAGGTTTGATTTGGTTATATCTTATCATAATTCAACATTGACGTTCACATATAACTTGCAATATCACTTGTATAATTTGTTCTGACTGTGTGATTGGCATTCTTGAAGTTGGTGAGTAAATAAGAAAACTACATTTTTGGGATAACAACTTCTGGTCTATTGAGTATAGCGACGTAGGTGAGGTGAGGTGAAATTAGTTTTAACGTCTCGTCCAAGATTATTGCACTTATGCATGCACGTGTGTGTGTGGCTGACTGTACTATTCCGGACTTAAAACGATTCACTGAGATACCATGCCGCAGTTTAACATGAATACCCCACTCAGACACAGTATACTGACTCCGAGCCGACCAGTCCTTGTTTTAGCCTCTTAATGCCGAGCGCCAGACAGGGTAACATGTTTCAATGTAGATTCTGACACCGTAATGGAGCTTGAGAGTAGATTCTTACACCTTGATGAAGCTGATTATCACAAGGAATCTACAAGGAAACGTCGCTATATGCAATAAACCAGAAGTTGTTATCCATAAAGTTGAAGCTTCCTAATTTCATCTGGGTAAAAGCATATATATTTCATTTTGAAATGTGTTTTTTTTATTATTGATGTTCTATTCAGGCTGAAATTCTCAAGGCGGAAGAAGAGAGGGATAACAAGGCGGCTGTAAGTGTTAACTTTTTACTGAGTATAACGCCTATTTCAATAATATCACGGCTTGACAGGACCTTTTCACTTTCGTCTATGTTTTATTTACTTTCAGCTCCGAGATACTATAGCAGGTGCGTGCGCCAATATGTCCACCCCAGACTCTACGTCCATGGAACAGGTTGTCACCTGTCTGCATACCAACGCCAAGGAGTCCGCAGAATGCACCAAGTTCTGTCAGGTAGAACAATGTATGATAGTTTGTAGCAGTTACGCAGATTCCTAACCGTTGAGGATAGTATTATCATTTATGATCAACTGTTTACCAATGAATGTTTTCGTACATAGAAATACATCGAGAACTACATGTCTTGTGCATTAGTCACAGTGATACATTCATAAACAGAGTGTATACATAAGATGTCTCTATTGCATTAATCGCTTTTCAGAAAGCAACTATATCTAAAACCCTAGAAATAACAAAGGAACTGGCAAATATGGACACATCGTCTGAAAACAAAAAGGCACTGGGCACGGCTCTGCTCAACGTCGCCCAAGAAGCTGCTGCGGTTAGTCTGTTTTACCTTCTTTAAAGTTTCTCTGTGTTGTTGAAGCTTGAGTGAGACAATAGCGTGTTTGCATGTTGGATCAAGGCCCAAAGACACGCAGATCGTGGACTTTTAATGCTTTGTTTAAGTCAAAGAACGTGGTTATGACACACCAATGATTATACTCGGGTAAGTATTGAAAAGTGATCAATACTGACCGAGCTGAGGGACATAACCCTACACAGCATGACACTGCTTGATTTTATTGGGTAACATATTGTTACAATCAGGTATTTCGTTCTTTTAAAGACCTGACACATAAAGTTTTTCACACAAATGTGTCAGTTATATTTGGAAGGAAAATCCTTAGTGATGAAGCTCTTAGACGTTTAACGACTTCATTCAAACATGCCGGTCCTAATCTCGCTAACTTATTGTTAATGGATGATTTCAAAATTGAAACGCGGATGTTAACCCAGAAGTACAGATCTAAATTGTGAAATCAGTCAATGGCCACACAAGATCCATGAATTATCAATAAATTACAGTTTTAGGTTTACATTTTGTAAACAAAACGACAATAAAATGGGTGAAATAAGTGGCGGCTGTAACAAGCAACAGGCCTGTAATTAGTCTCGGTAAAATGTCTTGAAACAGTCCTGTCTCCATTCTTGAATCCAGAATAGCGGGAAGGTATCCAAACCGCACTTGGCACGTCGATAACATACAAGAATCTCCTTCGTGTCATGTAGGTACAGCCAGCCTTCTAGAAACTGTCCATCCGGGACGATGAAGACTGTCATGTTTCGTAAATCTTTTGTAACCAATTCGTCCCATATCGAGACAATCCGAATGTTGACTCGTGCCCCTCTCGTAGGCTCTTACATTCGTGACCAACTCGTCCCACACAGGGACAAGCCGAATGTAGACAATGCCAACAAACTTGTGGAAGGTTACGGAAACATGCGCGTGATGACGATTGGTATGTAAACAATAACCAGGGAAAGATAACTCAAATCATTCGCTGCCGCCGACAGTCGCTAAAATCTGGCCAAAACAGCACCAAGCATTTCACAAGCACTTTACAGCGTATGGCTGAGTTGGTGTAGCAAACTTCAAGACATGTCGCATTTGGGAACACAACAAATGTGAGTCACACGTTGTACCAATGTAGGGAATCGAACCCGGGTCTTCAGCAACACAAGTCAACGAGTTAACCAATATACTACCCACGTGTCCCTTATTCACATGTTAGGGAACAGAACCAAATGTCAAAGTCGTAAAACATGGAATAGTTTAAACATAGAAAATTTACCTAACCTGCAAGCACATCAGTTGTAAATCTAATTAGATTCTGGCTTCGTCTATGAACGGCCTGTCTTTTATCCCCGAGGATCTTGTCAATATAGATTAACGAATAACAGCTCTGTTTGCATCTCACTACAAGAACTTAAATATTACTCGTTGGTCGACTAGGGCTCAGTGACACACTCAGGATTTTTACTGCCGTCCTTGATAGGACCATTCCCGATTAAAATTTGTCGAATGTCTGATCAGGATCCTGTGATTCGTTCTGGGAAATTCACAAACAGTCAGATATTGTTCAGGAAGCGTCCCGATTCAGCCGTTTCCAGCCGAATTCGTCCCGATTCCTCCGTTCTCAAACCGAATCTGATCCAATTTGTATCTTCCGCATGTTAAAAAACGACTGAATCTGTCCTGAGAACGTCCCGATTCGCCGAAAACGATCCGACAGAGATCAGATTTGACCGGACAGTGAACCGACAAAGACGGTTTGCATTCGGCAAGAACTGGACGCAATCTGGACTCAATCGACAAGAAACGACAATGAACAATTCATGCCCGTTCATCATGAAGGGTCCCGATCCACAGGACACCGTCCAGACGTCACACGACATTGTTACGATTTTGATCCGATACAGCAGAATCTGTGACGACATAGCCACGATTGTAATCCGACTAGACAAAATCGGCTGAGTTTCCCGAATGTTACGGGACGCACCATACTGTCGGGAGTGCTTGGCCGACCTCTCTGGACCTCTGGACCTCTGGACCTTTACGAAAGTATACGACTGCGTTCAGACAATGATAGAACATTCCAGATCATTGAAGAAAGTTATCCGACTTTTTCAATTTTCGTGTCATGGCGCTTTCTGATCTCAAACGGGAGCCATAATCGTCACTGTGTGAACCTTAGTGATTCCATATTCTATTATTGTATTTTTTCACAAGCACATTCGTCCATGGGTTTCCAAGCAGTCAAACGAATAAAGTATAATAGAAATGTGGTTATTTTCCTAATTCTATTTAGATGCATGTTTTAATAATTGTATTAGTAAGCATGAAACTGATGAAGATAAAGAAAGTCATAGTTTTCCTGCAAAACTTTATCATGTCTGTCTAATATTGTAATTTCCTTGAACAGCGAAAAAGCCTTGAAAACTACTTTTGGCAATCTGCTCACTTGTATGATATCCATATCTGTTGTCTAGGCCGCAATGGTGAACTTCCAGTGGCCGACATTGAGCGACAGGACAACAGTGCTTGACTCCGTGGCATATGAAACTTATGACACAGATATATGGTCCAACCAGAGCAGTGAGTTGTGTCATATTAATGTCATGAAAGCATGTTTTTCATCAAAAACGTCATTTTAGAATAACATTTTAACCAGGCCAGCTGAGGCAAGGATAGATAACTCTTCCGTTAAATTCCGGGCTGACCTAAGATTCATTTATCGTTAAACCGGATTTTGTATCGGACAAAGTCCGAAATTATTGAACGCTCGGCAAACGACTTTATTCTCATGATGATGAGGAGGAACATCTTTTATCTCCATGGTCGTGTGTCAAACGGGCAAGTTAAGAATCGATCATTCAATTATATGTGGTGAATTGTGCACTGATGCTGGGGAAATCACCAAGCAGTCATTAAAGGTTTCTACTGGAGGAGTTTGCCAAATTCTGCGACAGTATATTTTGAATCTGGAACCTTTTTGTTGCAATTATTAGCGAATGAGTATGGTTTTACGCCGCTTTTAGCAATATTCCAGCAATATCACGGCGGGGGACATAATTTGTATCCGTCACATATTTATAGCATCAACTTGACAAGCTATTTGAATTTAAAGTTTACAGCATTCACAGAAACTCTATCTGGTTTAAATACGTAACTTTGCTAAGCGTATTATTTAAAGTGGTCGCTCTTCATGCGAGTTTCATCCCGCGAGTAAGTGAGTATGGTTTTACGCCGCTTTTAGCAATATTCCAGCAATATCACGGCGGGGGACACCATAAATGGGCTTAACACGTTGTACCCATGTCGGGAATCGAACCCAGCTCTTCGGCGTGACGAGCAAACGCTTTAACCACTAGGCTACCCGACCGCCCCGTTGCAATTATTAAAATAGGTCTTCCAGTAATTAGAAAAAAAACGGTATGTAGCAAATAGTAACACGACATACATTGCAATGTCTCTGAAGGGGCACAAATTCAACATAGCCTTGTTTAATAAAAGTTATTTAATTTCGTCTCAGCAGAGTAAGTATACTATCTAATTATAGAAGGGTATTATTATGTTTGACAATCTTATCGACTTTTCCTAAAATTCTGACAAATTGTATCTGTACGAGTGTATTCATTTACGACACATTTTGTTGTATTTCTTCCAAAACAAATACCTTTTCGTAATGATTCTCAATATATATCATTTGTTTTTATACAGGTGTAGCCTCTGCGGACGATCCAAAATCGCAACATCTCCTCAACGCCCATAAAGAAAACCAAGCTAAAATTGTAAGTGATTTAACATCAAGAAACAAATAAAATTGTCAAATCATATATTACTTTATTGATAAAACTTTTTAAAAATTAGATTTCAGTTTATCAAATAATCAAGGGATTGGGGTTTTTCCATTTGTTACATGTACAACTGATATTGATAATTCGAATAGAATTAATCACTAATTCGTCTCAGTGACACTTATCTTTATCAATATGACAATTTCGATAAAATGTTCTTGATTCAAATTCCTTATATCAGTTAAGAATTATTGATATCATGTCAGATTAAATGGTAAAATAATAGCAATATCATATATTTCAAAATATAAAGTGCGATTCACACAGGAGGCGTGTATATTGTGGTATTGTGATACATTAATTGATTATTAGATAGCGGTGAAAACACTACCAAAGGTGTTTTGCCAGCCTGACATATATGTGTGTTGTGTTGACTTTGCAACTTCAATATAAGACCAAGTCGCAGAATATCTTTTGCACTTTTATTTTTCAATATAATCTCCATTTACCTCAATACACATTGTTTCAAACCGTGAAATTGCTGTTACAAAAGTGTTCGACACGGAGTCAGTATATTTTGTCTCAGTGAGGTATCAATGTACAACTGGGGCATGGTATCTCAGTGGGCTAAAACTACAAACCGGCAAAAGTGCAGTCACATATACACAAACTTGCATTTCATATAATAATCTTGAACGCCACATTAAAGCCCATTTCACCCTCCTCGGCTTCTTGTGATTGTTGGATAACAGGCGTCTGAGATTTCCGACATGGCCACACAAGCGGTGCAGCTTGCGACCAAGACCCTCGCGCAGAGTCTCACCCCCGGGGAAACCCTTCAGTTCACGACACCAGCTGCGTCGGGAATCATTGGTAATTTGGAAGCTGGAGACCTGGACTTTGGTATGCAACTAACATTGGCTGATACGACCACATCCTTGTCCATCCCAGACGGCAGCATCTTTGGCAACAGCCTCGGCTCAAGTGACACCGCCATCATATCTGTGAGTTAAAATCAAAGCACTCTTCTTGGAATCAGCGCCGATATTCAAATCAGTCGAAATTTGCATATAGTACAACCTTTCATTTTATTCATGAAATATTGGCAGAAATTCATGAATCTTTATCACCACAGGCGATGGCAACCAAGATGGATGTCAACTCTTTTGTGGACTCTGGAATGAATCTTGGTGATGGAACACAGTTCCTGAATATAGATATGATGGACGGGTTTGGTAACGCCATGGAGATCAAGGACACCCCAGAACCATTGAGGATTACCATTGCCAGAACGCCAAAGTACCCCAAAATGTCGTTCAAGGACACGAAGCTGAAGATCGCAGACTGGAACGATTTGTCCTACTCCCAGCTGAACATCACGAGGGAGCAGTCCTCCATACATCTAGAAATAAAAGATCTGGAGAAAAAGGACATCCAGATCATGGTCATCCTGAAGAAGGGGGAGGTGCCAAAGATCAGTGCTGACAAATGTGATGAAGTTATGTTCCTCCCGAAATCGCTCGATTACTGTGAGATTTCATTTCATGTGCTTCAATAAGAGTCATAGTAGTTTCTTTGTTTATTGTTACCGCTCTCGGCAATATTCAAGCTAAATGACAACGTCCTGTAAATAATCGAGCCTGGACTAGACAAACGACTGTCCAGTGAGTGATATTCTGATGACAGGTGTACGATGACAGACAATGAACTAAGTCTTCGAGTCTGTCCACCGATCTTTTTAATCGCCTCTTACGACAGGCATGGGTTTCTGGGGACATATTCCTCTAACGAGGGTGATGTGGGGAGAGGGCGTAGAGTTATACCAAAACTATTCGGGCAAGTTATAAAAAGGAGTGAGTAAGTTAGTGTCTACTCCACTTTTTGTGATCTTCCAGCAACATCACGTTGGGATATTCGCCTTCAGACATTGTACCCGTAGCGCGGGCAGTCGGGTAGCCTAGTGGTTAAAGCGTTCGCTCGTCACGCCGAAGACCCGGGTTCGATTCCCGACATGGGTACAATGCGTGAAGCCCATTTCTGGTGTCCCCCGCCGTGATATTGCTGGAATATTGCTAAAAGCGGCGTAAAACCATACTCACTTACTCACTGTACCCGTAGCGGGATGAAACTCGCATGAAGAGCGACCACTTTAAGCAATACACTTAGCAAACGTCTTTAAACCAGATAGAGTTTCTGTGAACCCTGTAATAGCTTGTCAAGTTGGTACTTTAAATATGGGACGGATACAAATTAACTTGAATGTTGTATTGAGTGATTTGTCAGTCCTGCAATGGTAACATGGCAGCGCTGAAGTGACGTTTCGATTATAAAAGTGATTACATGGGGAGATAAACAATTTCAATTACATATTTTTGAAATAATGATATGCCTGTTTTGTCCAATTTCAGCTAAGCCGATGACTGGCCGGATGAGATTTTTTATGAACAATGAAAAGGTAAACAATTATAAAGGTCCAGCATGGTTTGGCTTTAGAACTATGCCCAAGGGCTTTGATACGAGCAAGATTAAGACTTGTGCCGATCTGGATAACGTGGACATACCTAAGGGCCCAAAAGACAGCAGCCTGAACCTCGGTATCTACACCTTCACCAGCGGCTGCTATTTCTTTGACCACGACAAGAAAGACTGGGCGTCTGAAGGATGCACGGTAGGTGACCGCATATATTTGAACATCTTAAACGTTTGAAGACAGTGTTATGCCAGTAACGGTTCTTGAATAAGAATCGCAGAGCCCCGAAAGGGCGTGGGGTTCTTATTCCCGAGCCGACTTAAACCGTTCGTTTGTGGAAAGCATTTGAAACCAGGACGCTTTGTAGTCTGCATTTACTCTGTAACTGCACGGGTTGCACGTGAATTGTGTTGATGATCATGATGCGCGTGATGCCCGGAGGAAAACTAAATCGTGGTAGGAGGATAATCCCGTGTTATCAGTGGGGGTGGTCGATCCTCACCATGTTTATTTCATCGTGCGTGTGACCGGTCAAAGTGGACATTTTCATGCTTTTCGAGATACCATATGATCTATACACACATATATATGTATGGAATAGTAGTTAAAGAAAACACAATACTATATAACGTTATATGTTTAATGCCATTAGTCATTTCGGATCATATTAGGAAAGGTTTACCTTCTAACAGTATGTGAGGTGTTTGGTCTACAAGTCACCAAAGGGGGGACAGCGAAACATGTTCAGGGTCAATTTTTCATAAGTGCATAATTTCAGAGGCACGTGTATTAGCAGAACAAGCAAATTAATGAAAGACTGCATGGAAACAATTCTTTGAGCAAAACCTTAGAATGAAACTACCGTATTCGACGTAATAAGCGCCCCGCTTTTATAAACCCCCACGGCGATATTTGCTAATATATTGGCTAGTGAACAATCCCAATTGGCACCCATTCCGATTGATCAATGTACACAAGACTTATTTATCCGTGTATAATACGCACTTGTGTGTTATATGCATCCTTAATTATAGGCAATTACATTCTGGAAAAATATATCTGTCGTATATAAACATTTCAGGCTGTCAGCATAAACCACGAAATTTACGATCTTTCAACTCTTTTTTTTCACCAAAATAATATTCTAAGATCCCACTGTTTCTAATTTTGAGAGCGCCCTGGCCGCTTATTACGTCGAATACGGTATATTATTGTTTTTAAAACTTCCTGTGAAGCGGCACACCTCTTTGTTTAAGGTGAACGCTTTTTCCCCGATGAAGAATAGAGATGTAGAATAGGTCTTCAGCAACCCATGCTTGCTGTAAAAGGCGACTATGCTTGTCGTAAGAGGCGTCGAACGGGACTCGCTGACTTGGTTGATGCAAGTTTATCGTATCCTAATTGCGTGGATCGATGCTCATGATATCAATCACTGGATTGTTCAACATACTATATGACGCCGGTATGTTAATAATCGAGTCTGGGCCAGACAATTCGGTGATTGACATCATGAGCATCCATCAATTTGGATACGATGACATGCATCAACCCAATCATCAAGCGTGAGTTGCTGAACACCGCTTTCAGACCGGAATCTTGACGGGGCGAACGTGAAATAAATACAAACCAAACTACTTAGTTGTAAAATATATATATTGGATTCTGATGGGTTATTTAGGATTTTAGAGTTTAGTTTATAACACATCTTTTCTAAAGGTTGGCGAAGAGACGACTTATACTGAAACCGAATGCTACTGTAACCACTTGACAACATTCGGTGGCGGGTGGTCCGTGGCTCCAAACACCATCGACTGGAACTTCGTTTTCTCGCACGCTGATTTCATGAAGAACCCAACCGTCTACGTCACTGAGATCATCATTACTGCAATATACCTGCTCGCCGTCGTATGGGCCAGAAGAAGGGACAGGAAGGACCTGGAGATGGTGAGCTACCAGGAACTTTAATGTTTCTTTGAACAATATTTCAGTTATGTAATATTCTGGGATTAAAATACGAGGAAATCTCACACTTAGGTAGGTCGTAAACGTTGACCACTGTATTGAAAGCGCTTTGTTGTTATAGCGCTCGCAAAGGATTATGATGAAAAATATATGGTTTTTTTATGTTTGACACTACTTAAATTCTACCACGTGTTTAGCTTGGTGTTACTCCCCTGAAGGACAACGACCCCCAAGACAAATACTATTATGAAATTGTGTCCGTAACAGGCCTCCGTAGGAATGCTGGAACAGATTCTAAGGTAACGTATCTCATTTGCGTCAGACATATACTGTTCAAATAAAGTTAAGGATTCCTTCATATTGCTCTAATTAATTCGTTATGCCATGACAGATCAATTATAGTAATATGAAAGAATGGGGTGGCCCTTCGCCTTTTTCGAGCGGGATACAAGTATAGTAATCATAGTAATATGATATGTAGTTATGTAATACTGTATCGTGTGCCCTTAAACTGTTTTCAAGTGGTTAAAACATTTCGCGTACATTCATCCAACGAAACGGCACACAAACTTTTAAATCCAGTACATGTAATATTTCTATCTTATTTCTATCTTTATTATTAAATTCATAAATGGAATGAAAGAAAAGAAAGTATCAAAACGTACCAGCTCTGTGCATGGCTAATACAATGTGGGGCGGTCGGGTAGCCTAGTGGTTAAAGCGTTCGCTCGTCACGCCGAAGACCCGGGTTCGATGGGTACAATGTGAGTCTCCTCTGCCGTGATATTGCTGGAATATTGCTAAGAGCGGCGTAAAACCATACTCACTCACTCATTCACTCTAACACCATGTCGGAATGACATTTTTTAATTTGTTTTTAGGTATTCATTATTCTGTCAGGTGAAAATGAAGAGACGGATGTACGCCTTCTCAATGATGACAAGCGCAGTGTTTTCCGTCGAGGTGGCGTTGATGCCTTCCTCATGGCCGTTCCCGAGTAAGGTTCCTTTACTTATGCAAATCATCATATTTCTCTCTGATTTTCCCTCGGTGGCCCGTAAGGGGCATGACATGTTACTGATCGGCAAACGGTGCTAGAGATTTGGATTTGCTATCTCTCTGATGTACTGCTTATATTGCTTAATCGTACCGCCTCCGTGGTCTAATGGATCGAGCGTCTGCCCGGGGAGCGGAAGGTCGGGGTTCGATCCCCGGCCGCGTCATACCAAAAGATGGTACTTATTCTTCCCCTGCCTGGCGCTCAGTATTACGGTCTAAAACAAGGACTGGGCGTCTCGGAGTCAGTATTCTGTTTCTGAGTTGGGTATTCATGTTAAACTGCGGCATAGTATCTCAGTGGACTAGCACTATAAAAACGGCATAAGTCCGATCTGATACAAGCAGACACATACACACTTGCATGCACGTAACTATATAAGTGCAATGATCTCGAAAACGACGTGAAACGCCATTTCACCTCACCTTATTCTTATCCGTATGGGACCCGTGAAGACCCGGGGTAGAATAGGTCTTCAGCAACCCATGCTTGCGGTAAAAGGTGACTATGCTTGTCGTAAAAGGCGACTAACGGGATCGGGTGGTCACGCTCGCTTACTTGGTTGATGCATGTCACCGATCCCAAATGCGTTGATCGATGCTCATGATATCAATCACTGGATTGTCTGATCCAGACTTGATTATTTACAGACGGCCATCATATAGCTGGAATATTGCTGAGTGCGGCGTCAGACAACAAACAAACAAAAAAACAAACAAACCAAATTATCCGTATGGTTTGAATAAAAAATATAAACTTGCATTTCAACGATGGTTAGACAAACATCACACACACATGAGTTTCATGTTTTGATTCGTATATTTTGAATAAGTTGTTTCTGTGAAATATTTAGACGAAAATCAATAATAAGAAACTATCCTCTTTTAAGACCACTTGGATCTCTGAACTACGCCCGTGTGTGGCACGACAACTCCGGCAAAGGCAAGTTCGGGTCGTGGTACCTCAAGTACCTCGTTGTCAGAGACGTGCAGACCGATCAGAAGTTTGTCTTCATCTGTAACAGATGGTTCGCTGTCGAGGAGGACGATGGACAGGTGTGTTATTTCGGAGAAAAGCCTGTTCTGTTTGAAATTTTGAGGTGGTTCATCGTAACATTTAGCGGTGTTTAATCAACGGTGTTTAATTTAAAACAGAAAAGGTTTATCTGTATTCTGACATACATAAAAAGCGTTATTTTTTTAAACGGACTCGTCGTCCATTTCTTGGAATCACAATGGTACAGCCCATCGTTAGGTGTGTGTGTGTGGGGGGGGGACTACTAAAGAGACACGATAACTGAACGGTGTTTATGTCTTTCGGTCTATATTGTTGAAATTATATGTACTTGTGGTACAAAATAACCAGGAAATAACAGAACATTGATTTATGCAGGGCCTAGTTTTGCGTGGTGAGATCCTTATCAATCCAACACCCCTTCATTCAAATAGAGTCAGGGGCTGTCGGGTAGCCTAGTGGTTAAAGTGTTCGCTCGTCACGCCGAAGACCCGGCGTGATATTGCTGGAATATTGCTAAAAGCGGCGTTAAACCATACTCACTCACTCAAATAGCGTCAACTATGACCTAGATCAGGCCATGCGCGAAGTTCAAACTTGGTGACCTAACTGATGTTACCAATTTGAAAGAAGCCAAACATTCCAGCCTGAATACTCTCAGAAACATTAAAGACGGGGACAATGACAGCAACAGTGTTACTGGTATTCTGGGTCGTATTTTGATAAACTTTCTGCTGAGTAGCCGCCGAACATCGTGTGTTCAGTTTTCGATCAACAAACAGTGGACGTGGGATGTTTTTTGTTGTTATTTGAGAGGAATTGGTTACTTTGTCGCTCGCAACTATTTTATTTTCTTTATTTTTAAATTATTAACGGCTCTAATGTCTAAAATGTCGTTATTGTCGCTGATTGAAAAAGCGACTTATTTGTCTACATTATGCCGGGGTCATACCTTAAAGTTTAACACCGCACAAAGCAATATTTCAGCCTTTTGCCGGCGGTCTGTAAATAATCGAGTCTAGACCAGACACTCCGGTCGCCTTTTACGGCAAGCCTGGGTTGCTCAAGACCTATTCTACCCCGGATCTTCACGGGTCTAAAGTCAGAAGTGGTTATTGCTCATTAGTAAATTTAACCAATCAGATAAGATCATCCTTCAGTGTCATGGTAAAATGAAGAATAATGTACACCAGCAATAAGACTTAAAGTTCCTAAAGGTACTGGAGTGTTCTTGTCTAGAATTCAGTCTTCTTGTGTGTTGTGTGACTGCAGGTTGACCGTGTGATCCCCGTGGCTGGAATTGCCCAGATGACGGAGTTCGCGCACCTGTTCTCGGAGAGAACGAGAAAGAACCTTGTTGATGGTCACCTGTGGTTCTCAGTTGTCGCCCGACCCCCTCAGAGTCGCTTCACCCGTGTCCAGAGAGTGTCCTGCTGCCTGTGTCTCCTGTACGCAACCATGCTGGCTAACGCCATGTTCTACAAGAAGTCGGAAGATGAGGCAGGGACATCTTTCACGTTTGGCCCCTTTGCTTTGAGTCCTCAACAGGTAACGATATCTTCATTCCAATTGGCTTTACGCCTGATTCACACCCGACACAAAACAATGCCTCCTATCAGAATACTAATTGACAACGGATGTAAAATATTTCCCATTGTGAGTGTCAAAAGTGTAGATTGCATGTTAAGAATAAATTCTAATCTAGAAGGAAGGAATACACATTAAGTTGAAATTGTCAGTCACCTTGGAACATTGGAATCCCCATCTCTATTAATATGCTTACGCCTGCTGAGCATGTGCAGTGAAATTACATGAATTTATTACAATGCTTTGAACAACGTGAGGCGTGATGCATAATTTATGCCTTGGACTAATAGATATACCCAATTGGATACCTTATATTAACATTAACAAGATCAGCATATCTCATTTATACGTGAGCGCCGATTATGTATTTACAAATGTGAATTCTGTTTACAGATCTATATTGGCATTGTATCCAATCTGATCGTATTTCCTGCAAACTTCGTGGTCATCATGCTGTTCCGGAAGTCACGAGCGAGAAGAAAGCGTCCGTCTCGTCTTGAAGAAGCGCTGAAGAAAGTGCCCAGTGGCGGTACGACATCGGTCAGCGACGTTAAGCCGGATGTTGGAGGGATCTGGGCAATCGGTGGGAAATCGAGCGGTCAGATCCAGTCTAGACCCGAGAGTTCCTTCTCTCAGTCTTACGATCGCCCTCAAAGCAACTTGTCCCACAGGGGTGATAGAAGGAGGACAAGGAAACCGAAAAAAGAGCTACCCTGGTTCTGCCGCTACATCGGTTGGCTACTGTTATGGATGGTTACTCTTGGGGCGGCTGCCATGGTAACATTCTATGGAATCAGCTTCCAGGACGACAAATGCAAGAAATGGATCACGTCGATGCTGGTTTCGTTCTTCACGTCCATCTTCGTCACGCAACCCATCAAAGTGAGTGACAGAAACATAGGACTGTCCAATAACATACAGTAAACTACGGTTATAACGAATACGCTTATAACGAACTTACTGATATAACGAACTTACTTTTTTGGTCCCGACTATTTGCTGTAGTTATGCTGTATATATGCTTATAACGAACTACGGTTATAACGAACTTAAATTAGTAGTCCCTTTGAGTTCGTTATAACCGTACTTTACTGTATCTGAATGGACGGGCATTACTCGCAGGCCAGGATTTTTTTAATTTGTTTATTTTTTGAGTGCGGTTGACGTTTTGTATTTCTTGTGTGTCAAACGTCTGTTTCGTTGATGGGGAAATCGTCTGTATATTAGTCTTGCGGGCATCGTTCGTAAGTAATTATTTCTATACATATTTTTCTTTAAAGAAAATAGTGATTATCAGATTTTTTTTCACTTTTCATGACTTAGCGTAGTATATTCCGTCAACCTTTAAAGTGTTGCCTAAAGTCTAACATCAATATCTGAAGTTAAGAAACTATTCGATAGTTTTCGACAAAAGCCCATTTAAATGTATGGATGCAATTCTCCACAATGCTGGTATCCTTGACGTGTTCACAGGTGTTCCTGACGGCCATTTTCTTCTCCCTGATCTGGAAGAACCCTGGGGAGGCTGAGGATGATCAGCCCGAGGACGAGGAGGAACCACGGCTGGAACATGATGAAGAATTGCTTCACAAGCAAAACCAGGGTGACTATTCCTGCAGTGTCCTGAACAGTCATGTATGGTTATATGATCACCACGAACGTCTCTCGAAATGGACGTCCACTTTCCATTTTCTTATACTATTGAAAATGTTATTGTAAGATCGCTTTCGTTACTATTTGGCATGCTGACGTTTCAAAGTTATTGAATTTAAGATACTCATCGCTGTATTTATTTCTTTTAAACTTTTCCAGATAAAAATAACTTGTCCTCGGGTATTATCCAAAACACGTACTTGTTCACGGGACATGCTGGGTGTGCCCAAAACTAAGACAGTATGAGTGAAGTAGTGACCGAAACCACATCTTGTCACGAGTTTCCTTATTCATAAGAAATCTTTGCTAAAGGCACGATTCCGATTATATGACGAGCATGTATTTATAAATCACTGTCATATAGTAATGATACCAGGTGTTTGTGAAATCGTAAGCGTATCCTTCCCCATCAGTACTAGTAGCACCTATCACAAACACATGCAAGGGCAAGTCAACTGTTCACCTGAAAAAATACGAGGACCATATGGTACATGTCAAAATATGAAATTGCATCTGACGTCATTTTTATCATCTGCTTTAACGCCGCTTTTAACAGTATTCCAGTTATATCACGGCGTGTCAGCTTAATGTGGGAGGAAAGCCCGAAGTGGTGCAGGTCTCAGACGTTTACCACTTAGGTGAAACCCACGAGCACGGGTATGGTGCTGACAAACCTAGAAACAGCTCGGGGAGAACCGGGATTCGAACCAACAATCATAGGTTTCTGGCGTGCCAAAGGGACGCATTTCTGCACAGCGAATCGCGGCGCCTTAAACGACTGGACCACCCGTGCCCCCACCAAGGACTTGAATGTTGTAACTTTGATTAAACAACTTTTGAGCAAGAGTCTATGACGCTATTTGAATCGTACCATGACAGATAGAGATAGACATGAATGTCGTTAACTTGGTTAAAATTACATTCAGTGATGGACAGATATCTGTTTTGTTTGTGAATAAGAATTGTTGTTCTTCATTATCATTTCTCCGCAGGGTACGGGCACGCACGTCCTCGAAAAATAGGTTATAAGCCTCCAAATCCTACAGAACTGGAACAGGCAAGAAAGAAAAGATTGAATGAGATCAAGATGTGGGACATCGTCCGAGAGATCATCTTCTACTCCTTCTTCCTGTGGATACTGATGGTCATCAGCTACAGGAACAGGAGCCCGGACAGCTTCTACTACAAGAACAGTCTGGAGAAGATGATCATCAAGAACAATGACACCCTGCAGTGGTTTACACAGGTACGAGTGAACGTTTTGGGTTGGATAAGGCAGTTTCGGTGCTACAGGGGAAAATCATCAGTACTGTGTACGCAAATTTACATTTGATTTAGCATCCATAACGGTTCTTAATGAAAAAACACAGATGAATGAAGTAACCTTGTTCTCAAAGACCTGTATCCTGACTTACAGATTCAGAACACTGACGAGTTCTGGCTGTGGGCAAGAAGCGGTCTTGTGAACGGCCTACGAGCTGACAGCTACTACAACAATGCGCCGCCCCTGCTCCTGCGAGGATTCATTGGCGACAAGGTGTCCAGAATCATGGGATTTGCCACAATGCGACAACTGAGGGTTCAGAAAGGTACATTTTGTATTGTCTTGAAAACCAATGCGTATTTTGAAGATTATATGCAACCCAAGGTATTAATTTGGATTGCATTCAACAGCTTGATATGTTCCATTTTCAATTTATTTCTTATTTCAAGCTTAACAGCAGACAGAAACATTATTATATTCATAATGACATGTGCATGTAGGTTCTGACACACATCTTATCGTTGCAGACCTGTGCACCACCATCGATGTCGTGGCTGCCAAGATTGATGAGTGTAACGAAGACTACAGCATGTTCAACGAAGACAAGGAATCATATGCTCCAGCGTGGAGAACAAACGTCGATAGTTCCCCACGAAGAGAATACACCTACACACCTGCATCTGAGCTGAACGGCTTCCCCTACTGGGGCCTCCTAGGGGTCTATGGCGGAGGAGGATATGTCATTGACTTGAGAGGGTCTAAGCATTCACTGGAGAAACATATGGACATACTAGAGAAAGAACAATGGGTAGATAAATACACACGAGCAGTATTTGTTGAGTTCACTGTCTATAATCCTCAAGTGAACCTGTTTGCTATAGCTACTATCGTAGCCGAGTTTCAGTCAAGTGGAGGTATACTAGCATCATACCGCTTTGAGCCAGCGATGCTTCTACCCTACATGACTTCAGTGATGCTGTTCCAGGTTATCTGTGAAATGATCTACTTCTGTTTTACAATTGCATTCATTGTCAAGGAGGTCCGCAACTTAATCACACAAAGAGTAAAATATTTTAAGTCCTTCTGGAATTTGATAGAGTTGTCCATCATAGCCATGTCTATCTCCGCCATCGTTGTCTACTTCTACCGTCTCATTGTAACTAACTCACTCACGAGCGAATTCAAGCGGAACCATGGCAATGAATACATGAAATTCCAATATGTCGGTTATTGGAATGAACTGTTTACGTACATAATCGGCTGGTTGGTCTTCTTTGGAAGTCTCAAGTTCCTCAAGTTACTGCGCTTCAACAAAAGAATGTCCATGCTCGGATCGACCCTGAAGAACGGTGCCAACAGCATCCTGCATTTCAGTTTGATGTTCTGGGTGGTGTTCCTAGCCTTCATTCAGCTGTTCTATTTGACATTCATGTCAACCAGTCCCAGATTCTCCACCTTCATCAAGGCAGCTGAGTCCGGAATCCTGATGATGATGGGCAAATTTGACGTCCATGGAATGCTGATGGTGGAGCCAATCCTTACCCAGGTCTACGTCTTCTTCTTCGTCCTCACGGTCACCTTCATCCTCGTCAATATGTTCCTCTCCATCCTCAACGAAACCTTCAGCTCAGTCCGCTTGGACATCAAGAAACAGAACAACGACTACGAAATAGTCGACTTCATGGTTAACAGGTTCAAGAAATGGGTTGGTATTGGCAGTGTTCCCGCAACGCTCCCTCCAACAACGGCAGACAGTGAAGCCAGCAGCACCACGTTTCCGAAATGCGACACCGTTGAAGAGTTCCCTGACCGCATCGACCGCCTCCTAAACTCCATCTCCAACGTGTACATGGACGACAACCTAGAGTCCATCATTGAGAGCAACGGGCAGTCAAAGAAGATGGCGATGAAGCATATGATGAAGAGAGCTAACGCTGGCGACTTCGCTGAAGATGGACCCACCAAGGTACACACTCACTAGGTACAGAACAGATTCGTAAAGATGGGCAAGCGTCCTGTGCAAATAGGGCGATATTTCTTTAACATTGTGTTTATGTGGCATATTTTCTGACATAACCTGAAGGTTTAGGTGCATTGTAAAGTTGTTTTAAGCTCACTGTCTCAAGTAAAAAATGTTGTAACTATCCCTAATATGCTTTTTGACCAGTGGTCCAAAGTTGCTAACTAAAGTTCATGAATTCTCTATATGTTGCTCTTATTAGATAATTGATGTTGTAAGTAGGGGCTGTTGCAAAACGGTTTAAATAAAGGAAGTATATGTTTTCATAGTAAACATTAACCTACATACGCACAGAACTATGTATGATTCGACATTTTTTTACATAAACATAATTGTTTTATTTCGAAATACTAAATTACATCATTTCCATTTAGTCGTTTACTTTTCAAAGGGACCTCCATTAGTGTGTATTTAAATTAATCATGACGTAATTGTTTACAAATCAGGCGAAATAAATACATAAACTTACTCTTATCTGTGTTTTTTATTGTCACCTCTCACTGAGAATGAGAGAGATGATTAAACAGGAACGGCACAGACCTGTTTGCCTTATGAATAGAGCATCCACTTAAACATTAACACATATTTGGGATACGTGTGACCCATTCGTGTGCAGTTCGTTGTGCATGGTTGTGCCAGAAGCCTATCAACGTGGATTCGTATCCTGCTTATGTTTCTAGGTTTATCAGCACCATATCCGTGCTCGTGGGTTTCACTAACGTGGTAAGAGTCTTAGATCAGCTAGACTTGCATCACTTCCCTCCTACATCAAACTGACACGCCTTGATAAAACTGAAATATATTCGGCGTTAAATCGCATCAACCCACCCACTAACTTAACTCTGTTAACCCGTCGAGAACAGCAACCTCGTTGACAGCCAATTTTGCTTGTCATCGTGTTCAAGCTCATGGTTTACTGGTCAGGTATTCTCTGCGTATCTTCATTCTGTCGGAGAAATAATGGATGGGCGTTCAAATCGCTCTGATTATGATCCTTCAAGTTTGGAATTTCAGCTTTATCTGTAACAATTAGGGCTTCCTCATTTAAATGACACACGGTGACATAACGGAAATAGTGTTCATATATTCATTCACTCACATATTTTTACATATACAATATGTACAACCCCCTATCGATTTACATCGACAGTCTCACTGTTGTCAAACATAGGAGATATAGATAACTAAATATTTGATCTGTACTAGGCTTCTCAAGTGATCGATGTTAACCTTTTGCAGTATTTCCATCATTACAGCACAAGTTAGCTAAGCATGAGTTGCTTTCATATAGCTGGGGTCCATTTCATCAAATAATGTATCACGTGCATATGAAAGAATGATTATACTGGAGACAATTTTAAGAAAGATTGCACTGACAAAACAGACTAAAAAACTAATTGTCTGGGGCTTTAATATGCATATTAATCATCTATTCAATACACGGCTTCGCTTCCGTACATACATAATCAAATAAGTTTTATTCAATTAATTTTAACATAAAAACACGTATAACATAAATGGAATTTATAATAGTCAACATCACACAAAACGACACTTATGCGGTGGCTGCTGAGGCATTTAGAGAGTGTAATGTGTTAATTGAAAGTTGAAAGGCCAAGGTTAACCAGAAATCAGTACGTTCAGAACTAAATTGGGAAGTCAGTAATTGACCCGCAAGATCAATGAACATTCAACAAATTATAATGAATCACACAGATTAGGTTTACAATCATTAAAGGCAATGCAATGGGTCAAATATACGGCAGCAGCAAAATGCATGATATATAATATGCGCTATTACATGAGTCTACGAACTCACGAATGTCCAGTATTTGCCAATTGAATTGATAGAATGAGGCACGTGCCCGTTCTTGAATCCAGGAAACAGTGTTGGAAGCAGGTAGAAAAGTAGGCGATTTCAGATAAGTATTCCGTCCGCACTGGTCAAGTAGATAAGTAGCAAGTCAGGTCGTAAAAAGCCCCAAACTCGCCTTCTTCTCGCACGTCTATACCTATACGTCTATACAACCAGCCTTCTAGAGGCTTCTAAAACCGTGTATTGGGGCACGGGTGGCCCAGTCGTCGAAGGCGCCGCAATTCGCTGTGCAGAGTTGCGTCCCTTGGGCACGCCAGAAACCTATGATTGTGGGTTCGAATCCCGGTTCTCCCCGATTATGTTTCTAGGTTTGTCATGATCAGCACCATAGTGGTTTCAGCAAAGTGGTAAACGTCTGAGACCTGCATCAATTCGGGCTTTCCTCCCACATTAAGCTGACACGCCGTGATATAACTAGAATACTGTTAAAAGCGGCGTTAAACCCAACTCACTCACTCACTCAAACCGTGTAGGCAAACCCAGTGTCGATAAGTGTAAACAAGCTTCTAAACAAGCTCCTCACAGCGTAGCTCTTCTGTTTCGGGAGGGTAACGTATGTGTCAAAGCGCTGGGTTGGAGTCTGGACCATAAAGACCTGTAACTGAGGGAGGTAACTCTAAATTACTAGTTGTCATAAAGTCGATATTTAAAAAACGCCTCAATCAATTTGCTGCCACTTACAGTCATCGGGAATAAACTTTCAATAGATATACTGCCTCATAATTCAACAAACCAGTATATGGGCCATCGTGTGACTGGAATTTGGTCCATCACTTGATTGTCAGGTGTGTTTACAGGCCATCGTCGCATGGCAGGAGTACTGCAGTGTGGTGTCAGGCAATGAACACTTACTTTTGAATGCAATTTCAGTCTGAAACTAACATTTCAGGTGCTGGGGTTGTGTATTCGTGGTCTGGTAGCTATTTTCTTATCTGTTATGGAAATGGACTGGGCCAAGTAGTTGGAAGAAAAGTGTTGATAGATTAAGATTGTAGAATTTTATAACACAAATTATAGAATAATAACAATCAAGTATTGAATAATCACCAGCATTAGCGGATTATTTATTTATTTTACCTTATTTTGTTTTGTTTTTTTTGGGGGGGGGGGATTTCAAGTCACAGCCAAATATCAGGCAAAGATTGGCCCATGTGAGCTGGTTCTGATCCTGTCGTAGATGTCGCTCTATCTCATCCCGATCATGTTCTTTGGGGAGAGATCTGGAGACACAGCCGCATAGAAACAGATCCAGACCGATGCCGTCCCGGTAGCGTACTCCTTTCAAATTGTCATCAACAATGATGAGTTATGTTCTCCCATGAGTTAGTTTTAGTCACTCATGTGTCGCTAAGACGTTATCCAGGACGCCTATGAACCCTTGCCCGACCACCAGAGCCATCCAGATGAAACCGGGACTCATCTGTGAACAGTATACTGTCGCAGTCTTGTCTTCTGAACCTCAGATGCTTTCTGCACCAAGCTAGTCGTGCCTGAAGGTGACGTGGCAGCAACAATGGGCATATCGCTGCACGTCGGGCCGGATGACTTAGTATCATTATGCATATTTTTTATTGGAGTACATAGTTTTCCTGAGACACCATAGGATATCAATTTAATCCATTGTCCATACATCCACACATTAAATTTGAAAAAATTAAACTCGACAAAGACCCACAATATTTTGGGCATTTCAAAATTTTAGTGATGTTTTTTAGAATAAAAAAAAGTTGTTAATAGTACGAGTAGAGTCTCCCTTCCGGAATCCTGCTTGCGCTTCCGACAAAATAGCTTTGACTTCAACATACCGTGTTAAACATAGACTGATAATACTTATCCACACCGCGTAGACATTGGTTTTCAGCAAGTCGTGACATGCATGTAGCGTACGCGTTATTTGCTGTTAAACAGAATTGTTTTGTGAGCATCTGATAGCAACACAATCACTGTGTGTTGTTCACAATCAAAAACCACGTGCGTGAGTATCATGATCCCAAGAAACACACAAACATCCACATTGTGCGCCTTGTATGAACATGCATTAGGACACATCACAAACGAGACAGAGTACTGCTCCAGGCTGGTTGGAGTCAACAACATCAACGAACAACAAAAGCATGTTCGGTTTGAAGGGCATGTCGCTAACAATTGCATGCTGGGAAAGAGAGAGGATGTGTTTTCATTACGCTCTCATCAAGAGATGTGGAAAACTGATAGAAATGTGATTAAAAACATCGGGACCACAAATAAACTTTGTCAAATTTGATATAACATGTGCAAAGCAATATTTCTGACATTTATTGCCGTGGATGACTATATTATGTGGAGATATGGATGGATTGAGATCACCTCCTAATCTCTCATTCTGACAGGCATGTTTGTTTTTCGGGTGTAAATGTGTTGTGTTACCTTTCACATGGTGAGGTGAGGTGAAATGGGGTTTTACGTTGCGTCGAGGATTATTGCACTGATATAGCGACGTGCAATCACGTGTGTGTGTGTGTTCGCAGGTGTGGGGGGGTGGGGGGGGGGGGGGGGGTGGGGGGGGCTGCTTGTACTAGTCCGGACTGATGCCGATTCATAGTGCTAGCCCACATGCCGCAGTTTATCATGAATACCCCACTCAGACACAGACACTATGTATCGTGATAAGACCGAAGTCACAGAACAGGTGATCCTGCCAAATATTCGTAGGGGAAAGGGAAACACCGTCTTTTCTAGTCATGGTCCTATCCTACATGAAGAAACGTGAGATGGTGCAGATTGTGTCCAAGTCGAAGGGGGGCGGGGGCGCCCTTTACGACGAGCCAAAATCTCTGCCGAAACTCGTACATTCCAAGGGACTTGCTGAAACACGGGTAAGTAACTGTGTTCTATTTGTCAATAACTGGAGGACGCGGTTCCCCCCATCACGAAGCGTTCTCAGTTTAATCGAGTGATAAACTCTCTAAAATTGAAGCTGAAGTTCCGATTGTCTCAGATAATGATTATTGAAGCGCTGTGAGCACGTGTTTAGCTTCACCGATATCCATCTGTAATTTCACTATCACTACCACGTGCTTCTGTTTACACGAACATTGATCTAACAGGTACTAACTGTTGATTGGCTGACATTTCTCATTTGCATACTTATTATCCAATGCGGTCAGAGGAGCTTGACACCCTCATCGATCGATGTCATGTGACAGTTCGTGTGTAGGCCACAGGCACAGTCGACGAGTGGTAAACTTTCCACTGGCCATTGTAGACATACAGTCATCTCTGTGTATTTTGTCAACTAGCTTGAATTTGTTTTGAATACTAAATTTTTATAATATTGACTTTGTGATATGATTTGTAAAATTGTGGGATATCATGTGAGATACCTGATTGTAGGACCCGTGAAGACCCGGGGTAGAATAGGTCTTAGGTCTTAGAATAGTAAAAGGCGACTATGCTTGTCGTAAGAGGCGACAAACGGAATCGGGTGGTAAGGCTCGCTGACTCGGTTGATGTGTATCCTCGTATTCCAATTGCGTGGGTCGATGCTCATGATGTCAACCACTGGATTTTCTGGTACAGACTCAATTATTAACAGAAAACTGTCATATAGCTGGAGTGCGGCGTTAAACAACAAGTAAAGTAAAAAAATATGATTGTGGTGTGGGTTCCTCAAACTTTTTTATACACGTCGCTATTTATAGATCATTTGATTCAACGTTGCTGAATGTGACAATTTATACCGTGAACATTTAACTTAATTTGAACGCACATTATTATTTTTTTATTATTATTATTCATTTATTTATTGGTTTCTTTCTTGTGTTTAGTCCAGGTGCTTATTTGTTTTAGTTGGGTTTTTTAACGTTTGATTTTGGGGAAATTATCTTTGATCATACAGTTATAGTGTTGTCCTGACATTATGTATTTTGATCAGAAGATTATGTTTCTATTGACAGGACTGTCTAACCTGACAGATGATAAACTCATCTATTTCACTCATCTACGTATACTGTACATAATTATTTTGCTTATTCATCTGGAATACCTCATCATACAATCCAATATCATAGTTTTCTTTCTTTTTTTTTAACTTTTCTACTCTATTGGCCCCAATCATACTCTCGTCATGCTCATGCTTGACACGCTTATTGTTTTTATGTTTCTTTTATTTTTTAAATATCAACACACTGTGGTATCAACCAAGACAAAGACTAACTACGAAAAATAATCAGATATCATATCAAATTGTATATTTTATATAAGGTGGTGAGGTGAAAAGGGGTTTAACGTCGCGTCCAAGATTATTGCACTTATATAGCGACGTGCATGTACGTGTGTGTTTGTGTGGCTGCTTGTACTAGTCCGGACTGATGCCGATTTATAGTGCTAGCACACTGAGATACCATGCCGCAGTTTAACACGAATACCCCACTCAGACACAGTATACTGACTCCGAGCCGACCAGTCCTTGTTATAGCCCCTTAATGCCGAGCGCCAGACAGGGTAACAAGTACCATCTTTTAACATCTTTTGGTATGACGCGGCCAGGGATCGAACCCCGGACCTTCCGCTCTCCGGGCGGACGCTCTACCACCAGACCACGGAGGCGGTCATATTTTATATAAAAGGTTATGACATTAAAACCATGTTGTTTGGAAACTCTCTCATCTGAAGCAAATATCATGATCACACGAATAAAATCTGTTCATGCATGTTTCACCCTAGCAAAACGATTTGAAAGCCTTTAAAGCATGTCGGACATTTTTGTACGTTTATATATATTTGATGGTAATACATAATACAAATATTCTTGTATCGGAGAGGGCTTCATATAGGCATTCCGCCTGTTGACCAATCCATTTTTGAAGAAAGGAAAATATTGTTAAAACCACATACATGTATATGTGCAAATTGTCAATCCCGACCTGAAAGTCGAGGAGATGTCTTCATGAATACGTGTTGAAAGATGCATTATTTAATTACAGCATAAATTCATTTTTATTGAACTTTATATGAAGCACATGTACAGTTACTCTTTTCCCTGTTAGTAAATATTGTTCAATAAATCTAGATACATTTTCGCATCAAATTCACGTCCATATTCAAGTTTCAATTTATGTCCCAATTTATGCAATTCATTTCAAATTTAGATTTACGTTTAAATTTACAAACATTTGTGTAAATATATTGTGTAAATTCACCAATAAGTAAATTTTGTAAAGGAGGGTTTTTCTTTCAGTGAGCCCGGGAAGGGATGGGTGTGGATCAAAACTTAAAGCAATATTAAATTACACTAAGACTGGCAGTCATGAAGAGACCTGATTGTTAAATGATTGTCAGGCGTGTGGTATATGAGACGTGGCTTATAACCAAACTGATGATATAAATTAAAGTATAATTTATAAAGATTCTACTTTCAATATGTCAGTAAGCATTTCCTAATTATCATCAGACGTAATTTGAACTCATATGTTAACAGTCTCAGCTACCAATCAGAACGTATTCTTACCCGGACGTCATCAGCTGACAATACCCGCCCTACCCGTGTGCCGGACAGTCAGACGAGGCGCGTATGTCGACTATGCAGTGATGGCACTTCAACATACAGCGCTGTTTTTCTTCATATTGGTATGTATTAAATAATATATTTGTATTTGTTAAGATAAACTATGTAATACTTTACAGCGTTTTACCTTCGTATGATCAAATCTAATTGTTATTACAACATTTTTGTTGTATTTTTTTCAGTTTTACGAAGTGTTTCCAAGTGAAACAGGTAGGTACAATATGACTTGTACTATCTTGAAATTGACATCATGTACATTTCATTCGTTTTTGTTTTAAGAAGATATTTACGTTTGAGAGCGTACCGTGCCTAAACGAATTTTCAAGGGTTTGATTTTGTCGGTAAAACCGTTCCTTTTTATTTCGTGCTTCAAACACTCCATATCCGCGTTGCATGTACGTTTAATATTAAATTGGTTCATGTTTTATATTTCTATGTGATGATGACTCATAACGTCATCATCGTGACAGAAAATAATGATCCGAAAATATTTTTAAGAGTTGGGACAAAGTAAGATTAACATCCATTTTTACGACATGACCATCATTGTAACTAATGTTATATTTGGGATAACACTTTCTTATTAAAGTACAGATTCTCGTACTTTTTTGGGTTGAGTCCCATCCGGGATTCGAACCCACACTGACAGAGTGAGGCATCTAATCGCCAGCACACAAAGTCAGCGAAGTGCTGGCGATTAGGTGCCTTACCAAATATAACATCAGTTACATTTGACCACTTTCTAAATGGCATTGTGTGTTCATGACCATCATTTTCGTAAGTAAACGCGACAAAACCCCTTTCATAATCATAGGGAATCTCAACTAAAAGCTGAGTTCACCGTACGACTCCGACTATATCGTGAGCACGTGTTTATGAATCACTATCAAATGGTGATGATAACCAGATGTCCGCGAAAATATTAGCCATCCGTAACATAGGTCAGAAACACATGCAAAGGCAAGTCAATTGTTCACCTGAAAAAAACAAAGTCAAGTAAAAATAGGAAACTGCATCGGACTTCATAAAAACATTTTGAATGAATGTTGTAACATGGCGCAGTCAACAATATTCCAACTATGTGACAGCAGCCTGCAAATACTCGAGTCTGGGTCAGTGAAACCAGTGAATAATAACGTGAGGCAACGATCCTCGCAGATCGGAGCAGATCAGTACGATAACACAGGCCAGTCATGTGGCTAAAAAAAATTTATTCATTATTTTAACGATTATGGCAGATTGCATTTACCCATTAGAATACACATAAACTGGAATTCAAACACTTTCAGTTTAATGACACGAATAAAACATAATTATATATATCTGCACATTCAATCATTTAACCGTCGAGTGACGGGGTGAGTGAGTGAGTATGGTTTTACGTCGCTTTTAGCAATATTCAAGCAATATCACGGCGGGGACACTAGAAATTGGCTTCCCACATTCCATGTCGGGAATCGAACCCCGGTCTTCGGCGTGACGAGCAAACGCTTTAACCACTAGGCTACCCGACCGCCCCTTTAACAGTCGAGAAATCCAGTAAAACGCTTCACTGTCCTTAAGGCAGTGATAAGTACACTTTTTTTCTTTTTTCACTTTTTATTTATTTGTATCTGATATGATTTAGTCCCTATTAAGCGACACTGTTGTACCAGGGTCGTACTATATTTGTCACCCGTGAAAGCCCGGGTTAGTATTGGTCTTCAGCAACCCATACTTGTCGTAACAGGCGACAGACGGGATCGGGTGGTCAGGCTCGCTGACTTGGTTTGCGTGAGTCGATGCTCATGATATCAATCACTGGATTTCTGGTCCAGATTCGATTATTTACAGACTGCCGTCATATAGCTGGAATATTGCTGAGTGCAGCGTTAAACAACAAACAAACTATATTTTTCTTTCAAAACTCTCTAATACCCACTTTCTAGACTTTCCCCATTCACCACTACCTCGACTCAATACTACCAAGGGAAACGCACAATGTTTATACAATCAGGTCGCTACTTTGACATGTGTCATGCATACCATTGAATAGACGTTAAGGAAACTAATACGACAGGAGTATTTACCAAACATACAGTTGTATCTTAGATATGTAGTTCCAATCAGGTTTAAACTTAGGTGTTTTCATTAAACATTCATGTCTACTGTAAACATTTACACACACTAAAGCAACAGTCACTTAGATACAGAATGTACATATTCAGATTCGCGGTATCAATATGTCTGTAAACGATGAATCTTGATACTTTGTGTATGTCCCAACTTGTGAATAATTGATATGAACATGAATCATTAATAACACACGTGCATCTAATTCGCCGGAAAGTGGCGTGTGTTGAGTTGAATAGTGGTATGAGTTTGGGTGTACTCATACTGTTGTATGTCGGTCGCCATAGCGATCAGTTTCATACGAGTATATCGCTGATATAAGACACAGACAAGATACCTAGTTTCATATCAAACCGCAGCAGAAGATTTTGTTGTTGTAATAGTTATTACTATTTTGTCCTCCACTCCAAAATGAATCTGTTTCGGTGGATAATCTGGACTGGTTATTCTATTGCGTTGATAATTTATATTTGTATAAAGAATTTTGGCTCAAGAAAATAATGTCGGTTGTCGAAATAAAATTGAAATAAAACAGCATATATTTTTTTCTCAGAATGGTATCTGTCATAGAAAAGCTTACCTTGCTATTAGCCCATGCTGAAAGTAGCATCAATTTATAACCAATGAGACTGCAGAGCGCATTTACTCCGAATATAGTTCGAACTTCCGGTATAATTGAATGGCATCATTCGTCAACACTCGCATGTTTCTGTAACCTACAACAAGGTCTACATTCGGTACGTCCCGGAAGTGGACGAGTTGGTCACGAATAAAAAAGGCATGTGCTCTGTTTGACTTGTCCGTGTTCGCCCTTAATACTACAGCAACTAAATAGTTAACTTTGTAGCGTAAAACATATTAAATATTTAATATAGAAACATTCCGGAATCAATAGTCAACTTTTACTTTTATATATATATATATATATATAGAGAGAGAGAGAGAGAGAGAGAGAGAGAGAGAGAGAGAGAGAGAGAGAGAGAGAGAGAGAGAGAGAGAGAGAGAGACCTATATCTATTTTATATCACTTACATTCAGTGAATTATATTAACGGTCTCGACGTGAATACAAAATTATTTCCTCATAATTTTCATTGTATTGCTTATTGTGAAATATAGGATCGGCGGACCTGCAAATCAAGTCATAAAAAAACTTTCACAAAGTATCAGCGTCGAAAATGGGCTTTTGCCCGCGACACTATTAGTTTTCGTGAAATATATTACAGTCTCAGCGTAAAGTTAAAATGACTCCTCATAATTTTAATGTTATTCCTAAATGAATATTCATGTCATTTTGGGGTAATGTTCACGTTACAATACGTACGGGTCACTTCGAACAGAAGCGGTGGTCGTAACTTAGTCTTTGAAGGATACAAATATCGTAACAAGAATAAGCGTACAAACAGTATCTTGACTTGGTCACCATCATGTTGTACTGCCACCATCAACACCAAAGATGACCGTGTCACTAAACTTGGTTCCATCCACAATCCTCCTGCTCAATGCCAATGTCGTTGTTGACCATTTCCTGTCCGAAATGAAGCAGATGGTCAAGGATAACGCCGCACCTGTGTCACAGATTTTCAGAGAAGTTGAAAGAAATTATTTCATGTTATTTGATAAAGAGATTTTAATGAACGGGGCCCAAACCATCCAACCATGACCAAGTTTATTGATATGAAAAAAACAGAACAAATCTCTTTAAAATCCTGGTCATGCAAATTTGTAGGTGTACATAATAAAAAGGAAATATCTCTCTCTGTTATATAAAATATAGCTTCGCAACCATCGCTTCATGAGTTCTTGACACGATTCCCATACTGCGTAACAACGTGGCCAGGTTAAGCTTCCATTACGTGCGGACATAGCGATAGTAAGCCGTTACAATATAAAGGATCGGCGGATCCGTAAACAACGAAATATTGTAGTCGTTTATTTTAGTTTTGTTTCCATACCGACTTTAATGTTGTGTTTTGCTATTTATATTATGTTTTTATATTTCGATCAAATGTTCAGTGCTTTGTAATTCATATTTTTATTTCCATCATGTTTTTTTATTAAAAAGAATCCGTAAGCCAAGTAAGTGAAGAGTGAGCGAGTTGGGTTTAACGCCGCTTTTAACATTATTCCAGTTATACCAGGGCGTGTCAGCTTATCCCGAAGTGATACAGGCCTCAGACGTCTGCCACTTCGGTGAAACCCACGAGCACGGGTATGGTGCTGACAAACCTAGAAACGTAATCGAGGCGAACCGGGATTCGAACCCACAATCATAGGTTTCTGGCGTGCCCAAGGAACGCAACTCTGCACAGCGAATCGCGGCGCTTTAGACAACTGGGCCACCCGTTCCCCCGGGATTGAAGATAAATATAAGTCAGTGAAAATGAACCGCCTCCTCTATTTATTTGGACAGTATGATTAAGGGAGGAGCATGTTGGAGCTATAACTATCTTAGCACAGATAAGCAGTAATCATTTACAAGTGTACTCTTTATTCACGCGTTGAGGTTCTCTTTCCATGCATTTGTACGTTAACAGATAGTATTCATCTCAACACCTCTATAATGTCATGCATGCATGCAAACACATCACAAACACACATGCAAACACATCACAAACACACATGCAAACATGCATTTCGCTGCGGTAAAACGTGGAACCTTTCCGTGTAGCGAGGTATTAGTACTTTTGGACAGCGTGAATAATTGACGTGTCAGGCTACAGGAGTAAACATTAGGATTAGGGAGGTAACTCTCATGAAGAAGCGTGGTGCATGGTTTAAAACATACACACAGCGTTGTGGATTGTCATATCTGCTTGTCATTTATAATATAATTAAATTTTCGTTGTGTTCATTGAAATTCCTGCATTCTGATTAGCTGAATTGGTCACGTGTTATTGCATTCATTTTCCAATTAATGTAAATAAAAATAAGCCACCTCCACCGAGGCGCACTACTTGTATTACTGCGAAATGTCAGGGAATCCCGATATTACAGTCGAGGGAATTCCCTTTCTGCTCACGTGTATCGTCATGCACAGGACATTTAGCGACATTCATGCATATTCATTGTCCAAACTACCCTTTGAAACCGAAGGCTGAGAATGAATGAAACAGCAAACGTGCAGGCTCGCTCGCCTGTTTTTTCCCGCTCGCCTCGGTTCAAATTTTATGTATCCGGGTTTCATTCCTAACTAGCATTTTTTCCACGGTGTTTTCCCGTTTACAGGGAATTAATGTTTGAATCTGGCGGTAACTGACCATGTCATTTGAAACAGCCGCCTTCTCCCGGGCATATTTCTTTCGGTTCGTTACAGTCTGACTGTTGCAGTTCTTCTCGTCTCTTGCCTTATTTGACAGGCCCTATGAACATTGTTTTGACCCTACTCTCCGTTCATTGGCTGCTGACTGTGTAGGCGTGTCAAGTTATGTGCATAAATTAAACGATCACCTGATTCATGTCACGTCACAGTATGTATTCATACACCTGGAATGTTTATCAATCTTGTCATTTTTGTCTGCTTTGTTATATTTTAACTGATTTTGGTTAAACTATTGTAGATAAAACATGTTTTACGTTGTCGAATTTAATTATAAGCATTGACTGTGTATTTTGTTCGGTTCATTGAGGTATGAATCGAAAAACCGATGTGCAAACTTTTGTAAGAATCCGCCTCGCGGATTCATACAGTTTGCACATCGGTTTTACAACGATGCACTTTGAAGATATTATTTATGAAAAGATTATTATAATAATATTACTCACTGTAGACATATCAATGTCAACAGTATCATGTATACCACTATGATTGTGTCAACTTAATTCCTATTGTTTCGGGAAAACAATAACAAATGTTTCAGGAAGTCAATTTTGTGAAAATTCCATATTGTCACAATGTACGATTCCAGCGTATCCCTCCCCTAAAAGCGTCTTAAAGCCATTTATTTATAAAGAATTTCTTTTATGAACGTTATTGCCAATTTATGACCACCCAACAGAGAAAGACTTGCGCCTCTCCGTCCAGACGATATGGCAATGCGGTTAACTTATTCATATATATGAATATGAATATGAATATGAATACATATGAATAGATAGGTCATATTACATCAACATTCCAGATTTCGCCGATTCTGCCCTGTCTGACAGTGATAATCATAACTAGCTCTCAGTTATCTAACGTTCACTAATGATGTTCATATGCAATAAACACATAATATGTGATGCAAACATCGTTTAGTCATTTGGTCAATTGTTATGATGCCTTATATTATATATGATCAAATATGTTTGACATATTTAACATTATTTCCAAAATTAGCATTCACGTACATATTTCAATAAGTCAACCAAGAAAACCTGATGTAACCAAGTACATATTATAATTTATCACGGCGTGACGAACGAACGCTTTAGCCACTACCTTACTGCCACATTTTGAAAACATGTTTACTATAGCATAGAGAACATCAGCTTAAACAGGCTGCAAGAGCGTATACACTTACATACCTCAAACGTGAGATGTTCTATATAAGCACAACAGTGGATTGAACACTATCCATATACTTTCTTGTTATTCCAGCCGAGAAGTTGGGCTGTTTTAAGGAAAACAAAAGAGACCGCCACTTCAAACTAAGCCCGGGACACTATGACCCCCAATCCCTTACCCCTGAGACATGTTCGAGTGTGTGCGGAGCCTACATGGCCCCCTACGCTGGGATGACTGACGGACGGTTCTGCTTCTGTGGGTCCACTAAACCAGAACAGACCTACAAGGCACCGGACGGGGATTGTACCAGCACCTGCTCAGGTGACGGCAAGAAGAAATGCGGGAGCCCTGATCACATTTCAGTGTATCACACCTTTCAGCCTATCAAAAAGGTTGAGCTGAAAGTCACTGGGAAATCCATTGTAGCAACGGGTGATCCGGTGACATTTGGTGTTAACGCGGAGGCAGGATACAACATCTTCTACCAGATGAACTACGGGGATGGCACGGAGGGCATGGACAGAAACGCTACAGGGATGTTCACCAAAACGTACCACATTCCTGGCAAACATGTTGCCAAGGTCACAGCGTCAGATGATAGTGGTTCTGTGAAGGTTAGATGTGCATGTATAAAGTCAAGAATTGTAAGAAAAGTTCCTTTTTGGTTTAAATAAATAGCATGGTCTAGAGAAAACAGGATCTCGGAATGTAACGTAGGTTACTGCAACCGTACTTCACCATTCTCAATTTGATAGATTCTTTCTTTTTTTTACACAAAATTAGAAAGCACGATTTGTGCATTTTAGCCCCTTGCCAAATTAAATGCCATCCATAGGGTACAAAGTTCTATTCTTCTAGGTTAAACGTGTATCCATTTTGGCACCCCAAATCATAAAGTCAGAATGTCTCAATGTCAGAATAAAATGATTATCAAAAAGGAGATTTTGTACCTATTCCTGAGGTAGAACCTTTTTTTAACAAAGTTTTATTAACAACTAGGAAAATAAAATGCACTTTGTGTCGTGAGAACACTTCTTCATAGTGTATTTGTTAGACTTGGTTTGGATACTTTCCAAGTCATAATCATGTAAAAGTATATCTACTCGCCCATTGTTGCAGAAAACTGGCGTTGCGGGAGTAACTGTACAGGCCCCAGTGAACAACGTAACCGTCGTCTGTCCCGACTTCAACAGCTACGAGACGCAGGAGTGTACGGTAACCATCACCCATGGCACAAACCTCCTCCTCCACGACAAAGTCGACAACAAAGACAGGACTATTAAAATAGCAGGTACAAATCTGTAATCGGCAATTTTGGCCATGATCAGTTGATCCCCACTGGTCATATATTTTCCTGTGATGAGGATTAGGTAACCATAAGTTGCTGTTTAAGGGAGGGGGGATAACATATCATAATAATAATTCATCATAATTTTGGAGCTGTTCCCACAAGAAGATAGTAAAATGAGTTCCCAAACATTTATTTGAAATTGGTCAGGAAAAGAAGTTGTCATCAACATGTTTTCGACTTCTGTCTGTTACTATTCAAACATATTTTGTTCTGTAGATCCTGTTATCGGCGTTGCTGGCTGTTGCGTTCCCTATACGGCGAAAGCACAACCAGAGAGCTTGTCAGGAGATGATAATGCCATCTTCATCATGCCTGCTGCAGAGTTCAGATTTCATGGAGTTGTTACACACTGGGAGTTGTGGGCGGACACAGCAGGCAAACTGACAGTCATGGTAATATGAACTTGAATTTCATGGTGAAATGTTAATTTGTTTACTCAGATGTGTAAATACAATGGTTCAGATAAACGTTATTTATGCACACATTTATGTGTGTATTTATGTCCACTTATCGACAATCAAGAGACCTTTCTGAAATCTGTTTCATTATTCTTGCTGTTTTTTCTTAAAGGTTCTGAAGCCTGATTGTGATGACTACTGCTATGAGACAAACACATGTGGAGGGCAATGTAAAGGAACCACATGTTCCTCAGATACAGGTTACTGTCATCAAGCTGGAACCTGCTCCAAAGATTGTAAAGAAACAGACCGGTACCCATCAGACACCCCCTTAGTTGACTATGTAGAACGTCAATCCGTTGAGCTGACAGTTTCCAAGGGCCATCAAGTTGTAGAATGTCCATATATGGATATTTTCCCTGGCGATATCATCGCCTATAAAAAATCAACAGGGTCTGCCACCATTACAGTGTCAAAAAAAGAGACAACAGGTGATCGCAAATACGATGGGACAGAGAAAAAGTTTACTAAGAACTCCGGAAATCCAGTTTCCAAGACCCGTCACCACCTGAGGGCCATCTACTCCAGTCAGACAAAAGTTTCTCTGGACTATAAATTCCAAGTAGCTAAGAAATACACCTTGAGTGTAAACGTCAGTAATGTTGACATTGAAGGCTCTGAAACTGCTACGACAGAGATCGACGTTCAGGAGGGCATCAATGCTACCATCCTTGCTGGCCCCAAATACCTTGCCGTCAACACAGATGGCATCTTTACCATCCTCCCTCATACAGGTAGGTTCAACCATCGTGCAAACATAGCACACTTAGACGATAGAGTCAGTCTTCTGGTCATGAGTATGGCATCAGTCTTGAGTTATTGTTCATTGGTTTGTAGCCGCTCTACGCATTTAACACAAGGACATGCCTATTACGTTAATCATTTTTGTCTTAATGTGGAGTATCTCGTGTCCTAGTTTGGATAATTGGGTTTACCATTTTCGTTCACTGGAAATTTCTTTAAATCGGGTTGCAGGTTCTTCCGTTAAACGAGACTGGGATTTTGGAGACAAGAGTACATTCAACGCCACAAACACTGACCAATACAAACACACTTATACCTCCAAGGGAGTGTACAAGATAAAAATCAGGTGCTGGAATTCGCGGAATACCAAAGAGAACGCTTCCATTGTGACTGTGGAAGAGGTAATAGTTGGCATCAGTGTTAAATACGCTCCATGTATAACGTTGTCTAACTGCAGCTTTGAAGTGACCGTCACAGGAGGCTCCAACTATGAAATTACATGGGACTTTGGTGACTTAACAAGCAACATAACTACGGAAGCAGAGTACTTAGAAAGCCATGTGGTGAACCATGTGTATAACATGGGCGATAATCTGTCTGTCACTGCCAACTGTTCCAATCACGTCAGTTCCAAGTCTTTCACATTCTTCCTACCTGTGCAGGAGGTGTGCGCTGGGTTGTCTCTTATTAGAACAGGTGCAGAAAAGGACGTACCTTTTACAATTGCATGGACACTAGATCATGGTTCCGACTGTAAGTTTGACCTCACATTCCGTGGGCAGCCGATTGCAATTGAGAAAGCTAACGCGACCACTAAGAGATGGGAAAGTGCAAGGCAGAATGGTCTGCCTGCTAACATATATCCGCTGATCCTCAAAGTACACAATGCAATTGGTCATGATGAGAAGCATGTCAATTTTACTGTTGAAACTGCTATGAAAGGAATGAAATCCAACTGTAGTGCTCCTTTGATTAGCACTGGCGAAGAAGCATCATGTTTTGTGACTATCGAAGAGGGATCAAATGTGCGGTGCGTTTGGGACTTTGATGATGGAACAGTCGAACATTTCAACCAAGGCCCACAGGATTGGGCATTGCGAGCCAACACCCCAGAGGTCCGTAAACACGTATTTACAAAGGGCAAGAATTACAATGTCACGATTACCTGTTCCAACAATGACAGAAGCGAACCTCAATACCACTCAATTCTCGTCATGCATGGTGTCAATGATGTCGAGTTCGAGCATGAGAACGCCGTACTCTTCGCTAGACCTGGAATAGGCATATTTACCTTTAAAGCACCAGGTGCTGATCCTAATGATGCAAAAGTTCAATTTTCCTTTGGTGACAATCAATTTGACACAAAAGAACTAAAAATGAACTTTAACTACACCCACCGTTACCGTGATGCAGGATGCTACAGGCTTTATGTCAGAATCTGGAATATTGTCGGGGTAAAGATATTTAACAACAGCCAAATTTGTGTCATTGAGAAGATTGTCGGCCTGAAGGTTCTCACCGAACCTGTTGCTGCTATCATCAACCAACCTCTTGTTGCCAAGGTGATCATGGAGTTTGGACCTGCTGGAAGCCTTACAAACATAACCTGCAACTATGGAGACGGAGAAGGGAGCAAATCATTCCTAAGACAAGGTACAAATTTGTAACATTGATGTTGATATTACTCTGGTCACCTTGATTTATGTAATATCAATAAGGAGTTGCTTATCTATCATTCTTTTTTTATTAATTATATTTAAAACATTTAAAGATATTGCAGTAAATATTATCATGGTTGTTATTAGAAGTAGTTCTTGTTTCAACGTGGCACTAGTATTGTTACTGGCCTAAAGTATGTGTAAGTGAGTTTGGTTTAACCTGGCTTTGAAGAGTATTTCAGTTACATCAGGGCGTGTACCATGTCAACTTTATGTGGGAGGAAAGCCCTTTGACTCCATTTAACGGGTACCACTATGGTGAACCCTGCTGACAAATTTAAAACAATAATCAGGGTAAACTGGGATCACGATCATTGGTTTCTGGCGGGACGCAAACCTGAACTGACGACATCTTCCCCAGGCTAGAGCGTCCTCTAGCCTTTTTATCAAAGTCTTGTTTCCACCTCTGCCACATCAACCCACTTTTCTGTGCTAAATATAATTGGACTATGCACATATCGCTAGCCCAATCAGAGAACGTTTTACAAAATCAACATCCACGACTGGTACACATTCGTATGAAAGTGATAAACCGCTGTCCTTTCTTTGTTGATACGAATATGTCACAGTGTTTTCCATCTTTTGAACCCCCCAACGATTGCCTATGTTTTTGTGTAAGGGATGAAATCGCGAATGTTTTCGTTATGTGATCGACTAGGGCGTCGCCTATGGTAGTCGCCATCTTTGTGAATCTATACGAGATAAGAACAGTGATCTGATTAGATATCACGTTTTCATTACAAGGGGCACAACTCGTGATCTACGCGAGGTGGCGCCAGGGTCGCATGGCCACCCATGACCCGGCCTGTTTAGAGAGAATGGTATCTGCCTCTGTGTATGATCATTGTTGCCATATTCATATGTGCTTTTAACTGACAGCTCGCCATCTTAAACAAAACTGTTTCTGTAATATGTTCAGTCTCAGTGAATATCCTCATTATTTGTTCAAGGCAAACAGATAGATGGCGAGGATGTCAGGTCCATTACCTACAAGGAACTGGGGGAGAAGACTATCACTTGTGACATTATAACGCCCCTCGAAACTCTGACTGCTTCCTATAAAGTCAAGGTGGACCAGGAAGTGTCTACGAATAACTGTCACATCACCACCAATTACCCTGTGGAACACGGAAGTAAGTCGGTGCTCAGATAACTGACATATCACCACCAATTACCCTATTAGAACACGGAAGTAAGTCAGTATTTAGGCAACTGTCTCATCACCACCCATTACCCTATTAGAACACGGAAGTAAGTCGGTGCTCAGATAACTGACACATCACCACCAACTACCCTATTAAAACACGGAAGTAAGTCAGTATTTAGGCAACTGTCTCATCACCACCCATTACCCTATTAGAACACGGAAGTAAGTCGGTGCTCAGATAACTGACACATCACCACCAACTACCCTATTAGAACACGGAAGTAAGTCAGTGCTCAGACAACTGACATATGACCACCCATTACCCTATTAGAACACGGAAGTAAGTCAGTATTTAGGTAACTGTCTCATCACTGCCGATTACCCTGTGGAACACGGAAGTAAGTCGGTGCTCAGATAACTGACACATCACAACCAACTACCCTATTAGAACACGGAAGTAAGTCGATGTTAAGGTTACTGTTGCATCACCACCAACTACCCTATTAGAACACGGAAATAAGTCGGTACTCAGATAACTGAAACGTCACCACCAACTACCCTATTAGAACACGGAAGTAAGTCGGTGTTTAGGTATCTGTCTCATCATCACCAACTACCCTGTGGAACACGGAAGTAAGTCGGTGTATAGGTAACTGTCTCATCACCACCAATTACCCTGTTGAACCCGGAAGTAAGTCGGTACTCAGATAACTGACACATCACCACCAAGTAACCTATGAGGACACGGAAGTAAGTCGGTGTATAGGTAACAGTCTCATCACCACCAATTACCCTGTTGAACCCGGAAGTAAGTCGGTACTCAGATAACTGACACATCACCACCAACTAACCTATCAGAACACAGAAGTAAGTCGGTGTTTAGGTAACTGTCTCATCACCGCCAATTATCCTGTTGAACCCGGAAGTAAGTCGGTACTCAGATAACTGACACATCACCACCAACTACCCTATTAAAACACGGAAGTAAGTCAGTATTTAGGCAACTGTCTCATCACCACCCATTACCCTATTAGAACACGGAAGTAAGTCGGTGCTCAGATAACTGACACATCACCACCAACTACCCTATTAAAACACGGAAGTAAGTCAGTATTTAGGCAACTGTCTCATCACCACCCATTACCCTATTAGAACACGGAAGTAAGTCGGTGCTCAGATAACTGACACATCACCACCAACTACCCTATTAGAACACGGAAGTAAGTCAGTGCTCAGACAACTGACATATGACCACCCATTACCCTATTAGAACACGGAAGTAAGTCAGTATTTAGGTAACTGTCTCATCACTGCCGATTACCCTGTGGAACACGGAAGTAAGTCGGTGCTCAGATAACTGACACATCACAACCAACTACCCTATTAGAACACGGAAGTAAGTCGATGTTAAGGTTACTGTTGCATCACCACCAACTACCCTATTAGAACACGGAAATAAGTCGGTACTCAGATAACTGAAACGTCACCACCAACTACCCTATTAGAACACGGAAGTAAGTCGGTGTTTAGGTATCTGTCTCATCATCACCAACTACCCTGTGGAACACGGAAGTAAGTCGGTGTATAGGTAACTGTCTCATCACCACCAATAACCCTGTTGAACCCGGAAGTAAGTCGGTACTCAGATAACTGACACATCACCACCAAGTAACCTATGAGGACACGGAAGTAAGTCGGTGTATAGGTAACAGTCTCATCACCACCAATTACCCTGTTGAACCCGGAAGTAAGTCGGTACTCAGATAACTGACACATCACCACCAACTAACCTATCAGAACACAGAAGTAAGTCGGTGTTTAGGTAACTGTCTCATCACCGCCAATTATCCTGTTGAACCCGGAAGTAAGTCGGTACTCAGATAACTGACACATCACCACCAACTACCCTATTAGAACACGGAAGTAAGTCGGTGTTTAGGTAACTGACACGTCACCACCAATTACCCTGTGGAACACGGAAGTACATGTAAGTCGGTACTCAGATAACTGTCTCATCACCACCAATTACCCCTGTGGAACACGGAAGTAAGTCGGTGCTCTGATAACTGACACGTCACCACAATTTATCCGGTAAACATGAAGAAAGATTATTTGATTTAAACAAGCTGCTTGTTATAGTAAGTGATATTTTTCTCTGTTATTTTTATTTTTATTATTATTATTAAGTATTACCGTGTAGTGGGGGAGTTTCCATTTCTATTTTGCACTATAACACGTTCTCACCTAATTGGTTTTCACGATGTTGGATTCAGAAAAAAATATCTCTATGCTATTATTCAGAGAAGATCGTCTACTCTGTGGTGTGTGACAAGGACCCTATGCCTACCAACTCGTACATCACGATTGATCACGGTGATGGCACCTCTGAAAAGATCTCGTTCACTGGAACAGCGGGTGTTCCACAGACTATTTCCTACCTGCCCCCGAAGGACGGACATTTTATAGCCAAAATATCATTGGGCAACGGGGGGTCTTCGATGAATGTTTCTCTTCCGGTAAGCAGTGACATTTAAACTTTTTGGAAATCTGATGATGGTACATAGAACATAATGCATAGGTAATATTTTTGTTTAGGGCGTATCATTATTTGACATATACTGATAGGAATATGAACTTCAGTAATAGAACAAGAACTGAATGTAGTAATATTGCCAATAACAAAATGTGCACTAAATTAAACATATTTAAATATGTACATGCATGACTGCAAGAATCTGAATTTTGCCCAAAAATGTTGAATTTAGCCTTTTCGCATTCTTTTATAAGGCATTTTACAATGGTAAGTGCTTGAGGACTTGGAATAACCAAATCCTAAGAAGCTTGGTCTGAAAATCTGTGATTCTCGATGTGCCCATGAGCGTGACGCACCATACGTGACTTTCAATTTGACATCAATCTGGACATATATATGGACTCCAATTGTGCCATCAGTGTCCCCGTCGACAGTATTTGTTTATGTATGATAATACACGACTGCACGACCAGATCACTCCGATACAAATCCTTCGAAAACTCCGTATAAGTGTGCCTGACTTCTGTTTTCGTGGCCCACAACATCACAAATGTGAACAATAACAGTCTCTATAGATCTCTAGCGTAAAGTTCTAGGAGGAGATCACGGTTGTCTTTTCTTATTCCGATGGTGATCTTGTCCTTCGTTCGAAGCTGTCACTAACATGAAAGCAGAATTGAGTTTGTTGATTTTCACGCCTTCAGTAAAGGGTCGTACAGTTAACATAAACGTCTTTGGAGAGCACTCCACTGTTCTTTAACTAGTTTTGGGTAGTATACATTGATGCCAACCCCCATGCGTTTTACACAGGCTGGCAGCTACAAGCGCCTGGTGGGCAACCCTGGATTCAAGTGTCAGTACAAACAAGCCGTTCCAGTCAATAGTGGCTACAAAGACGGTATTGAAGGCATTAACAAGAACTTTCCCACATCCTCACCTCTCACATGCCGTGTACAGGTAGATGAAGGTAGGACACAAGAATCCACTACTTCAATAGATACCGTATAACCGAGGCCACTGGAATGGCTTTTACCAATTATTGTATTTCTTTTACTCGCAAGTTTTAAACTTCATTAAGCCGCCTCTTGTGAGGAGCACAATGTGTGAAGTCAATTTCTGGTCACAAATTTTTTTATATCCGGTTTACAAACGTTCTAATTTACAATTAATACAAATATATTTTACTTTGTTGAAGGCCTATTCTAAACCAATTACCATACCTTCACATCAGAATGAAGAGATCTGATCGGTCCACATGATCTTGATAAAATACTGTGCAGCCCGCCTAGGAGGGTAATAAATCTCTTATACCCCACCACGAGCAATACAGGCTGCACGTGGATTCGGAGAGACAGAATAAATCCCTTGAACCCCGCTTCAAAGCAAAAAGCCGCAAGCTTTTTCCGAGACAATGGAAGTCCCATGACATAGAATTCATGTTAATTCTTTTTTAATTCTTTGTAAAGTCGCACTAAAACATGTCAGTAAGATACATTTGGTGTAACATGATCACTCTCGAGACGCATAAGACCCCAAGTGCCCTTCGTGATCCTGCTACAACTTATAATGAAGTGGTATCCCATTCTATTGACGCTGAACTCTTCCATGCTTATCTTGTCAGGAACACCTGTTTACTACGAGATGACGGCCACACACGAGTCAGGAACACCCGTGGTGGTGTGTAACCAGACATCATCTCCTATCATCTGTTCGATCAAGAAGGTAACAGTATGCATTATGTATCCATGCCTGTGTACTCGATGCTGACAAAATAATAAAGGCATAACCTGTATAAGTGTTTTGGTTTTACAGCAACAATAGCTTAAAATATTAAGATAAGATGATTGTGTGCATACTCCCGTGAACATACTACTGTTATCTGTTTAGCGGAATGTTAATAGCGTTCTGTACTGTTTCAGTCCGGGCTTTATACTGCAACTCTTAAAGTGGGGAACCCTCTTGGAGCCGTCTCTGCAGATCCAAAGGATCTGCAAATGAAGGAGCCTGTGCAAGGCATCCATGTGGTCGATCTCACACCCAAGGCCAAGCCTGACGAAGAAAAAACTTTCAGGATATCTTTTGATTCCATGGGTGATGAGACCTGTATAAACATCGATTTTGGGGATGATGAAGGAGAAACGTACAACTATGGTACGGAAGACTGGTGCGAGAGAGAGTCATCATTCGATGATGGAGAGTTCATGGATGAGATGACAAATCCAATGGAGGTAACCAGAACATACTACGAGAACCAGAACTATGAACTGAAAGCAACAGCAGTTAACCTGTTTTCGGATGCAAGGGTTACATTCTCGTTCTCGGTCAGTGATCAAGACTGTAACAAACCTGAAGTTGACATTGAGGATGCTGTCACCGTATTTACTAGTCCTATGGTGTTCGAGAAGAGCAAAGGTATAGTAATAAGAGGTAAAGCCAATATCACATGCGCAGCGAGTTTGCAAAACACAAAATCCTGGAAAATCGAGGTAATTGACCCAGACTGGGGATCAGTAAAGAAGACATTGGATTTGCAATCTGACAAGGCTGAGTTTGTGGTTAAAGCAAAATCTCTTCCCTATGGCCTCTACAAGGCAACATACAGCATCCAGATGGACCTGTCAGATGGGACTAATTTTGTTGAATCTGCATGTTCATATTTCAAGGTCACAAAGTCGAAATTAGTTGTAGTCATGGAAGCAGGTGGAATAAGTGAAGTTGATCGAGGTGAAAACCGGATGGTGACCTTAAGCCCAGAAAAGTATTCATATGATCCAGATATCGACAGGTCTGTAGACCAGGTAAGATTTTATCAACTTTTTCTCATATTCTAAAAAAAGAAACTAAAATCATCTCATATCCTCCCTTTACTGTATCTCTGTCTTATAATCATGCGATTCCCGGAAATCAGTGATAAGTTATATTGAAAGGCAATTCCCTTTAAATTTCTATTTTCAACACCTTTTGTCAATGATGTATTACTATTCATTAGTTGCCTTCGATTCATAACATGCAAATAGTTTATGGAAAATCTTTCTATACCCTAGGGCTTCGAGAGTTACACATGGAATTGTAAGTTGATGAAGAAAGTGTCCTCCAAGTCGGCGTGCGAGTCCTTGTCCAAAATGACCACTGGCTCCATCTCCTTCAATAGCAGCATCTTCGAGTCCGGGGAACAGATCCAGCTAACATGCAACGTCACGAAAGACTCTCGCTCTGCCGTCGGAAAGATCATGATCAACTTCATTACGGGCCAACCACCTAACCTTTATATCGAGTAAGTCAACTGAGATATATGCAGAGTAGCAACTTCTGTGGAAAATCGACCTAAAGCTAAAGGAACCTCTATTTAAAACTCTGTACCATTTCTACCTACATTCCCAAAGCATTATACTTACCAAAAGCATCCGCAACGTGGTCGAAGGATTTATTTTTCTTGGGTGAACACTGTATGGAGACTGAATTGTTTATCTAAATAGGGATCATGCTCCACAATCTGTTCTCTTTAGACGTACTTTTAGTCGTGAGTGAGTGAGTGAGTTGGAGTGAGTGACCCATTGTGTTGCCTTTTATGATTGTAAACCTATTCTGTGTGATTTATTATAATTTGTTAGGTGATTTACGGACTTCCCAATTTAGTTTTGAACGTACTGATTTCTGGTTAACCTTGGCGTTTCACCTTGTGAATTAACCCATAACACTCTCTAAATGCCAATTAATACCCTCAGCAGCCACCACAGATGTGACGTTTTGTGTGATATTGACTATTATATATTCCATTTATTTGATACGTATTTTTATGTTAACTTTAATTGAATAAAACTTATATAATTATTTATGTACGGCCGCGAAGCCGTGGATTGAATATTGAGTGAGTGAGTTTGGTTTTAGGCCGTTTCGGGCAATATTCATGCATCATGGGGGACACCAAAAATGGGCTTCACACTGGTGAAAGATTGATATACATCACAAAATCTATTAGGACAAATAACCAAAATGGTGCTTCAACGACTTGACTAAAGCGCCAGTTTATCAGCAACATTTTTCCTTTAATATGAACTTTGACCATATAAAGAACAATCTAGAAAAAGTCAACGCTAAATCAATCTCGAATAACCTTTTTTAGATCTTTGCCTTTTCCCTTTCACAAAAACACCTTCGCCAAGTGACAGTATTACATTATGTACCATAATATTTGGGCGAAATCCTTGTGCTGTAAATTGATAGAAATCAGCGGAATAAGGCAGACTGTGTATAGTGTGACCAGTGTAGCCAGTTGTTGCTTTTAGGCCTGTCGGCAGCAGTAGAACGGTTCAGTTGACCGACTCTAAGATGGTGTCCTCTGAGGAGAGGTTGGCCCTGAGGGTTCGCTGCAAGGACTGTGAGAAGGTCAAGCTGTCCTGCGAGTGGACGGCCTATTCGTATGTTGTTGGCTGGCCTTGGAGAGACTACTCCGACAACGAAGTGGCTGGTAGAATTACTGGTGGGTATGATGACGTATAGGACATATTTCTGTTAAATGTTGTGTAGATAAATAGAGTTGACAGAGATCACTGCTGAATCGCAAACTGGGGAATACGCGGGCTGGTCAAAAGGTTATGAGCCTAACAATGAAAACCAACAATTGTGAAAGTGTTTTAAATTATATTTTTCAACATAATCTCCCTGCTTTTCAATACACTTCTCATATAGATAGTGAAGCTTTTCTCCACGAAGGTGTTCATTCACTTAAGGAAACAAGAGGAAATCATTTGATGCAGGTCTGGCAAATATGGAGGGTGGGGAAGCTCTGCTAACCCACAATGTCACATAGCAAGTCGAGAGAAGTGAGAAGAGGCATTGTCATGAAAGTGTAGAACTCCAGCAGTCAGCATTCCTCGCCGTTTTTCTTTGATAGAATGCCTCAGGTGATGGAACAAATCAGCAACGTTGACACCAGTCACTGTCTTTTGACTTTCCAAGAACAAGAACAAGAATCCCACCCTTTGTATCCCAGAATACAGTGGCCATAATTTTATTCCCTGAAGACTTTTCTTTGATATCGGAGAAGTGTAATGGTACCAATCCAAGGATTGACGTTATGACTTGGGATCATAGTGGTAGACCCATGTTTCATCAACCGTTACTGATCTCTTTTTGAATTTGAAGAAATCCTCCTCAATTAGCTCTAACTTTTCTCTGGCAATGTCAGTTCTTTTTCCTTAAGATCAGAGTTTGGAAACTTTGGCACCCAATGAGCAGATATCTTATTCATCTGTTAATGTTCATGAATAATAGTTTCAATGGATTCATTGCTCAGACCTGTGTCTTCCACAAGTTCAGCAATGGTAATACGTCTATCTCCTTCTTTGAATCTTCATTGGTTGAAGATGAGTGACGTCCAGACCTAGGGTCGTCATCATAAAGGCTTATTCTCCAAGCTTTAAACATAACTGCCCAACGTTTAAAAGTGGAATAGCTGAGACATCTATCCCTATACACTTGTGACATGCGGTCATGAATTTCTTGGGGAGTACTTTTCTTTTCTTTAAAGTCAAAGTCAAAAACCTGATGACTGCTCTGTATTCGTCCTTTTACATATCTGTATCCATTTCGGCCCCAATCACGTTCAACTGGCTGTCACTAATATCCAAACGGCCTCAACAGACCAAATGCACTTGCAATGAACTTCTCAAACAATGTACCACATTGACATGGTCACTTTGTTATGGCCTACAGTTGAAAGTTAGTCAGGCTTAGAACTTTTTGACCATCCATCGTATTCTGAATTATTCTGTATTGAGTTACTGTAGTAAACGTAACAGAAGGGGAATTAGTCCAGTGTATTCTGCTTTAAGGAGTAAAAGTAACCGCATTCTGGTTATCGTGTCCAAAGAGTTAAATGCCTCCTTTAGGCCGTATTACTAAGCTGTGTGGTACATAAAGGTTCCAAATTCATTCTGAATATAACGCTTGATGGGGATATTTCACTCCAAATCTATCTTCAATCATCATCTATTCTTAATTGATAACACATCATGTTGTTCACATGTATTATATTTTTAATTCTAATTTAAAGAGAAGGAAGGCACTAAATATGTCACTGTGACGCTCGCCGGTCATACCAGGCGGTCATGTTTCGGTCTCGCGAGGCAACGAAAACGCAAAATCAAATGTCAATGGCGGGAGCCATTGCTTTTCAGCCAATTTCCGTTTTTAAAATGCTCCTGTGTCAAACGTGGAGTTCAATAAGAAATGACCGAGCGACACCAAGATATAGAAAATCATAATTTTAAATCCCTATTGCCTCTCAATAGGAAAGAAAGGTATCGCTGATCGGTGGTATATACATTTAATGCTGGACATAAACAAATTCTTGGTTATTCTTGCTTTACAAAAGGTATGAAAACAGAGACGATTTCAATCAAACCATCCATGTACAAACTCCACCCCGATGTGAAGAAGTACCGCTTCTCCTGCAAGTGCCGACAGGGTGATGGAGACTATGGCAAGGCTTCCCTCAACATTGACCTGAACCCTCCTCCCCAGCCCGGCAGCTGTGTCATATCTCCAAAGAACGGCACCATTGGCTTCGACAACAAAAGCCCCTTCAACGTTAAATGTAGCGGATGGAAGGATGAGACAGAGATTGTGGAATATAAGTTTTTCTGTGAGTAAATTGCACTTATTGTGTATTGCTGAATTGAATTTTGTGCAAATGATAACCATTATTACACATACATTTACATTGTGTTATTTGCTTGACACTCACTCACACCGAACCTGTCACTTTAATTGATATGCGTATTGGCAGGCATCATGCCCAATCCTGTTTTGACGTCCAATCAATCCGATGAATGGGTGGCTTTATTTCAATGCTATGCATAAAACGAAATCACTTTGATGACCAAAATGCAGGGTACCGAATGTGCCTGTTCCTGACAACTGGGGTACACGTTACTATCATCATCAATAATTCAAAGATGTCTTCTATGATCACAAGGCCAGGAACAAACTTTATCGAAAACCACCACTGTTGCTTCGAACAAATGATCTCTAGAACGTGGTTCAACAAAACAAACCGCTTACAAAACCCAAGAGAAGATAATTGTTTCATGTGCAACAAAAAAAATTCGAAGTTAATATCGTATGCACTTGATGTGGTGTCCAGGCGCAATTTGTCCAGTTTATATTGTTCCTAGACTGTGTTCTCGTGTTTATTCGTTGGGTCTGTGTACAGACAAACGTCCCTTCTCTGCAGTATACAGTATGTCAGCCTTAAGGTTACCTTGCTCTATATGTAGGCACTCACAAGAACAGCAAACTGCACCAACAAATTACCACCTTCGAAGAGGCCGAGGACGTCACGATTGACCCGCCACTCGGTGCTGATGATGATCAGTACCGCGAACACGTCTACGTGTCTGTCAAGGACTCCATGGATGCAGCCTACGTCTACGACCTCGGAATCATACAAGTAAAATTAATAGGCTGCTTGATTCTGGCTTCCTGAAAGCATTCTCTAAAAGTATGCTTTTAGATTGTGGTATTGCACACGGAACTCATTAGACTGTGTTCTAGATTCTGGTAACATTCAAGTAATCTTACCACACAATGTGCTGGTGTTACAAGCTGCCCTCTTGGCCTTGTGGGTAGTGTTGTTAAATTCATGTAAGACTCTCTTCAGCTAACTGACTATGTGTCTGGTTGTGGTTATGCACAGCACATGTAACCATTAACACTAAGTACTACAGTGTGTGTGGGGGAGGCGGTCGGGTAGCCTAGTGGTTAAAGCGTTCGCTCATCACGCCGAAGACCCGGGTTCGATTCCCGACATGGGTACAATGTGTGAAGCCCATTTCTGGTGCCCCCCGCAGTGATATTGCTGGAATATTGCTAAAGGCGGCGTAAAACCATACTCACTCACTCCAGTGTGGACCCGTGAAGATTCCGGGTTAGAATAGGTCTTCAGCAACCCATGCTTGCCGTAAAAGGTGACTATGCTTGTCGTAAAAAGCGACTAAGGGGATCGGGTGGTCAGGCTTGCTGACTTGGTTGATGCATGTCATCGATCCCAATTGCGTGGATCGATGTTCATGGTATTAATCACTGGGTTGTCTTGTCCAGACTCGATTATTGTGAGTGTGAGATTTAAGGTCAGGGTTGACTCGGGGTTGAATCCTGTATGATTGACCGTTCACATTGCGGAGAGTCGGAGTTGAATACTGTATGGCTGACACCGACTAACAAGACACAGAGTAAATGTGGAACATAGTATAGTTGACTTCTCCCATGGCGGAGCATCAGGGTTAGTAGTGTATGGCTTATATTTTTGGTCGAGCATTGCATGTTTGATATCTCGACATGACACCTAGTCAGTGCTGAACGTTCTATGGTTGTGTCGCCGTGACAGGTGTTCCCCAACACCGCTAACATGGGAGATTGGTCAGCTCAACAGAAGAACAACGCCTTGAACGAGATCGAAAAGGTTACTGCTTCTGGAGATCAGAAATCAGTCACGGAGAAACTCACCAAGCTGGCCTCCCTTCTCAACGCTGACAGTAAGGGATATAATTAACTATTACCAAACTATTAACCATATCTTCCAGCTTACACTTTTCGAGAACGCTTGGTGTCGACACTGATTTTCAGTGATCCATTCATATAATCTGCACCGCTTTTTGTCTTTTATGCCCATTGGAATCAGTTTCGGTGGATAATCGAAACTTCATATATAGAAAGACGTAGGGGTAACCTTGCTACAAAGCGGCAAAGCAAAGACGTGGTAGACGTGTTAACAGCGACAACACCCTTCCCATAATCATAAGAGTCAATTGTACGATTCCGACTATATGTATCATAAACATATGTTCATGAATCAGGGTTGAATCTTGTACGCTTGACTCCTTACCTGGTGGGGAGTCAGGGTTGAATCTTGTACGCTTGACTCCTTAAATGGCGGAGAATCAGGGTTGAATAGTGTATGTTTGACTCCTTACATGGCGGACAGTCAGGGTTGACTAGTGTATGTTTGACTCCTTACATGGCGGAGAGTCAGGGTTGAATAGTGTATGTTTGACTCCTTACATGTTGTAGTGTCAGGGTTGAATAGTGTATGTTTGACTCCTTACATGCTGTAGAGTCAGGGTTGAATAGTGTATGTTTGACTCCTTACATGTTGTAGTGTCAGGGTTGAATAGTGTATGTCTGACTCCTTACATGGCGGAGAGTCAGGGTTGAATCGTGAATGTTTGACTCCTTACATGTTGTAGTGTCAGGGTTCAATAGTGTATGTCTGACTCCTTACATGGCGGAGAGTCAGGGTTGAATAGTGTATGTCTGACTCCTTACATACTGTAGTCTCAGGGTTGAATAGTGTATGTCTGACTCCTTACATGGCGGAGAGTCAGGGTTGAATCGTGTATGTCTGACTCCTTACATGCTGTAGTCTCAGGGTTGAATAGTGTATGTTTGACTCCTTACATGTTGTAGTGTCAGGGTTCAATAGTGTATGTCTGACTCCTTACATGGCGGAGAGTCAGGGTTGAATCGTGTATGTCTGACTCCTTACATGCTGTAGTCTCAGGGTTGAATAGTGTATGTTTGACTCCTTACATGTTGTAGTGTCAGGGTTCAATAGTGTATGTCTGACTCCTTACATGGCGGAGAGTCAGGGTTGAATCGTGTATGTCTGACTCCTTACATGCTGTAGTCTCAGGGTTCAATAGTGTATGTCTGACTCCTTACATGGCGGAGAGTCAGGGTTGAATCGTGTATGTCTGACTCCTTACATGCTGTAGTCTCAGGGTTGAATAGTGTATGTTTGACTCCTTACATGTTGTAGTGTCAGGGTTCAATAGTGTATGTCTGACTCCTTACATGTTGTAGAGTCAGGGTTGAATAGTGTATGTTTGACTCCTTACATGTTGTAGTGTCAGGGTTCAATAGTGTATGTCTGACTCCTTACATGTTGTACAGTCAGGGTTGAATAGTGTATGTTTGACTCCTTACATGCTGTAGTCTCAGGGTTGAATAGTGTTTGTTTGACTCCTTACATGCTGTAGAGTCAGGGTTGAATAGTGTATGTTTGACTCCTTACATGGCGGAGAGTCAGGGTTGAATCGTGTATGTCTGACTCCTTACATACTGTAGTCTCAGGGTTGAATAGTGTATTTTTGACTCCTTACATGGCGGAGAGTCAGGGTTGAATCGTGTATGGTTAACGTATCCGACTCAACTGGTACGGTACGAGTCATAATTGCATTGGGATTGCATCAGACACCATTTATGTCACTGATGCGTCTAATATGTTAATGTCCCCTGTATGTCTACCCAAAAACTATCAGGCCTTAAGTGTTATAACTTATGACACTTATTGAATTATTCGTAGAAAGAAGTAGTCATGTAGATACCAAAGTCTGGAGTTGCTGGAATATTGCCATCTTGTGGAGAGTTGTTTGTAATGTTCTCAGTCAGTTTGATGATATTTAGTGAGGCATTATACCAGACACGTTGACACGTGAAAATTACGATGTCGAGAATTTATCAGATTTGTGACAACAGTTGAAGGTGCACGACGGCTCTCTGAGGTATGGTTTATGCTTTCAGAGGCACACAATAAACCAGGGGCTCCGGGTCTGGCATTGACAGAGTTCCAGCCCATGGGCGGGGTGAGTATCCCTGGTACCCTGTATTATCGTTCAGATTACAGTATGCCTGTATAAAGGTGCATATGGGTTTTTCTCATCAGCCATGGATTTGCTAGGCAAATGTGCATTTCTGTTGTTGTATACTGAATGAAATGTTATATTAAAAAACTATTGTTCTCTTTCCTTCAGGTGGGTGTTGACATCAGTGGTGTTGCTGGACCATCAAACATGGGCATGGTCAATTTTGGAAACGCTGGGGCGGGTGCCCCAGGGATGGGCAATTTTGGAGCCGGTGGGGCGGGTGCTCCAGGGATGGGCAATTTTGGAGCCGGTGGGGCAGGTGCTCCAGGGATGGGCAATTTTGGGGCTGGTGGAGCGGGTGCTCCAGGGATGGGCAATTTCCAGCCTGGTGGGGCCGGGGCACCCGGATTACCAGGATTTCAAATGGCTGGCGCTGGGCCACCAGGATTACCAGGATTTCAAATGGCTGGCGCTGGGGCACCAGGACTACCAGGACTACCGGGATCTCCAACTGGTGGTGCGGCTGGGTTACCTGGCATGGGCAGTTTTGGAGCTGGTGGTGCAGGGGCTCCTGGGATGGGCAATTTTGGAGCCGGTGGGGCGGGTGCTCCAGGGATGGGCAATTTTGGAGCCGGTGGGGCAGGTGCTCCAGGGATGGGCAATTTTGGAGCTGGTGGAGCGGGTGCTCCAGGGATGGGCAATTTCCAGCCTGGTGGGGCCGGGGCACCCGGATTACCAGGATTTCAAATGGCTGGCGCTGGGCCTCCAGGATTACCAGGATTTCAAATGGCTGGCGCTGGGGCACCAGGACTACCAGGACTACCGGGATCTCCAACTGGTGGCGCGGCTGGGTTACCTGGCATGGGCAGTTTTGGAGCTGGTGGAGCCGGAGCTCCTGGAATGGGCCAGTTTGGAGCAGGCGGGGCCGGCGCTCCTGGGATGGGCCAGTTTGGAGCTGGCGGGGCCGGGGCTCCTGGGATGGGCAATTTCAAGCTTGGCGGGGCTGGGGCACCAGGACTACCAGGATTTCAAATGGCTGGCTCCGGAATACCAGGGCTACCAGGTTTACCAGGTGTTGGTGGTGGTGAAGGAAGTGCACTTGGCAATGGAATGGTTCTTTCAGCTTTCAAGACTGCGTCCGGCGTCGGAGGCCTAGATTTTGTAGTAAGCTGCTTTTGAATCACCATATACATACCCCGACTCTCTGTTGTATGCATCTCTATTTATACTGGCGGATTTGCGGTATATTCTTTTAACGTTCTTCTCAGTAGTACACAACTCTGAATAAGTCAGTGTCTTCACAGCACGTAAACCTGCCAAACCTTACACTCCAGTTTGCCTCTTGATTTGATCCTATTAATATTTTGAGTTATTAATATTCCTGCCAATGTATGTAGGGATCTCCAGCAGAGCGTGAAGCACTCATCCACAAGGCTGAAGAGGAACGGGATAACAAGGCCAAGGTAGATTTTATACTTCAGCCTTTTTAGAATATAGACATATGTTTTTTTACAACATAACGAGTAGACTCTCTAAACCCATCAATCTCTTTAGGGGTACTCTCCTTATGTTCTTGGACACTCGTCACTCGTTATATAGCGTGCTCTCTGTTAACTCCCCACAAACAGGCGTTTCTATATTAGCATGATCTCTTTGAGTGAGTCGGCGTGTCAGCTTAATGCGGGGGGAAAGCCCGAAGTGATGCAGGTCTAAGACGTTTACCACTTTCATGAAACCCACGAGCGCGGTATGGAGCTGACAAACCTAGAAACATAACCGGGGCGAATTGGGATTCGAATCCTTTATCATAAGTTTTAGCGTGCCCAAGGGACGCAACTTATGAATTACCCCGCCTTACACGACTGGGCCATCCGTGACCCCTTATCTATATGTATATGAACCTGCTTCCCAATAAAGCACCATTCTCGATAGACCGGTTACTCTGTAATAGGGCATTCTCTATGAACATGCTTCTCTAAAGTGTGAAACCACAGTGTCTCTATAACGGAACACTAATGACATTGGAACCCAGATGGAACCCTGATATTTTAATTTGTCAGTAAGCCTTTTGAGACTTAGAATTGGTCTTCAGCAACCCATGGTTGTCATAAGCGGCCACTAACGGGATCGGGTGATCTGGCTTACTGACTTGGTCGATGCATGACATTGCATCCCAATTGCGTAGATCGATGTTCATGATGTCAATCACTTGATTGTCTCGTCCAGATACGACTATTTACACACCGCCGTCAAACAGCTGGAATGTTTCTGACTGCAGCGTTAAACAACAAACAAACAATCTTTCTGTATTACTGTAGTTATAGCAAACGGCATCGCAACAGCTCTCAATGAATCTGAGGCCGTGCGAAAAGGCCACATTGTCCCTGCAATCAATCAAAAGGGCGCTATTGTCTCCATATTACTCTCTAAAAACATACCTCTTCATAGTGTGCTCCTTTCTTGTTCTCTGTTAGATTGGTCTATAAACCCCGCTTCTCTTACCAACTCCAGAAATCTGCCTTTCTGTAATGCCTTATTGTCTATAATTAATAAACTAACCTTTCTACCAATTCTCTAAATGACTATACTAATTAATCTACCTCTCTGTAAAGTTACACCCTCAATAAACCGATTTTTTTAAAATACGCTACTTAATTACAATGACTATTTGATAGTGATTCACATGCTTATGATTCAGACGGAATCGTACAATATTAATTACATTGCCTTTAGCGGAAATTATGGAAAGGGTTTTGTGGCTTTTACGTAAATATTCCTCTCTGTAAACCGGCGTCTGTCTATAGCGGTACAGCATAAACCTACCTCTCTGTAAAGTGATCCCTCTATAAACCGATCTCTTTTTATAACAGTATCACATAAACCTATCTTCGCGTAAATTAATACTCTCTGTAAACCGACGTCTCTATGTAGCGGTACTATCATTACGGGGTATTTTCAGATATTTCTTTTTTCATTCAATTATTGTATGTTTCAGCTCCGAGACACTATAGCAGGCGCATGCGCCAACATGACCACGCCAGACCCCACCGCCATGGAGCAGGTCCTCACCTGTCTACATACCAACGCCAAGGAGTCCGCAGAATGCACCAAGTTCTGTCAGGTAACTCCGCACTGTGGTCGTCATGGGTTTCAACTTTACCCACGCGTCATGTTCAATGGTCGGGGGAGCATGTCTTTAGAGATTTTATACATCATATACCCAAATCCGTAACATTACGAATATTACTGCCGTTTATATATATAATTACTTCTTAGAAAGTTGTATTTTTGACAAACCAACAGAATATGAAACTCATTTTCAATCACATTTTTAGAATCACATTGCTCTCAAATGTTCAATTCTTTAGCTACCTTCCTATGTCTGCCTACTTCAATCAGAAGTCAATGGGAGCTGCGTCTAAATATATATTGTGATAGCGCGTTTCTGAATCTTTTAATTTCTATATCAAACATGTAGTATTCCGATGAAATAAGTGTCTTTAAAAGCTTGTAATGATTACATTGTTGTAAACATAAAACTTGTGATGACCATTTTCTAAGAAGATATCCTTAAGGCTTTGGTGTACAGATAATAGGAACGAATCTGGATTACTGGGTACAAATATATAATAGCAAATATATTCATACCCGCATTCATTTAAAAAGGATTTTACATCATATACCTATATACATAATATTACGATTTCCATTTTGTATACATCATAGTATAGCAATTCCTGTAATCTATCAATAGGCATTTTAAGAAACTTGAAACAATACTTAAGGATTCTAATATATCTTAATATGTAAAGTTTCTTTAGTTAAGGATATACTTTACCGATTTTGATCCTAATGCTGTAGGATGGTAAGATGAAAATATACAAATTAAACAAGGTGTTTAAACGTGTTATCGGTAAAAACGCTGTCGACAAGGTGAAGTATTAATGTATTAATTGCAAAAGGATGCTTGCCCTACTGAAGTTACTTTCTTTGAAGTTTTTGTTCATTACTGAATTTTGTTAACTGGTCGTCGGGCAGAAATATACTTCTCAAATGTTTTTTTTTAACTTTGGGTCAGTGTATCCGGAAACGAGGTATTTAATGACTCATGCTGGTCAACTAGCTTATATTCACAATGTATGATTTATAAAGAAAAACATAAATATCAGGAACATTCATATTTGGTTGTTTCCTATTTATGCATTATCTGATGATCGCAAAATGACATATATACATAAAAAGCAGATATACATGTATTAACAATATGCATTATGCTTACCATGCCATATCGAATATGAGCATCACGAAGAATGTTTCAATGAATTGTCTTAAATGAATATAGGTAACAGTTAAGTACAGAGCGGAAAATCATCATTATCCTTTTTTGGGGAATCTAATGAGTTTTTAATGATTCTAGAAAGCAACAATGATGAAAACACTGGAGATAACAAAGGAACTGTCACATTTGAACACATCGTCTGAAAACACAAAGGCACTGGGCACGGCTCTGCTCAACGTTGCCCAAGAAGCTGCTGCGGTTAGTCTGTTTTACCTTCTTTAGAGTTTCTCTCCTGTACATTATGTGGTATCTCTCCTTTAGACAGCCAATATACTATGTTTATATGATAAAGTGTTGCTACTTAAATACCTCACACAGCATGCACACATAATGTAGTGTCTCTCCTTTAGATACCTCACCTCACACAGCATGCACACATAATGTACTGTCTCCTTTAGACAGCTCACACAGCATGCACACATAATGTAGAGTCTCTCCTTGAGACAACTCACACAGCATGCACGTATAATGTACTGTCTCCTTTAGACAGCTCACACAGCATGCACACATAATGTAGTGTTTCTCCTTGAGACAACTCACATAGTATGCACACATAATGTAGTGTCTCTCCTTTAGACACCTCACACGTCATGCACACATAATGTAGTGTCTCTCCTTTAGACACCTCACATATCATGCACACATAATGTAGTGTCTCTCCTTAAGACACCTCATAGAGCATGCGCACATAATGTAGTGTCTCTCCTTTAGATACATTACACAGCATGCACACATAATGTAGTGTCTCTCCTTTAGATACATTACACAGCATGCACACATAATGTAGTGTCTCTCCTTTTGATACCTTACACAGCATGCACACATAATGTAGTGCCTCTCCTTTAGACAACTCACAGAGGATATGCTTATATAATGTATAATATAACATAATGATATATGATTATTGCTTTCCTTAAAATAATCTACATGCTTTGTGCATGCATAATGTGATAGCTTTTCTTCAAATAACCAAGACGCTTTATACATGCATTATGTGATTGTTTTTCTTCAAATAACCAACATACTTTGTGCATGCTAAATGTAATTGCTTTTCTTCAAATAACAAATATGTTTTATGCATGCATAATGTAATTGCTTTTCTTCAAATAACCAACATGTTTTATGCATGCATAATGTAATTGCTTTTTTTCAAATAACCAACATGCTTTGTGCATGCTTAATGTGATTGCTTTTCTTCAAATAACCAACATGTTTTATGCATGCATAATGTGATTGCTTCTCTTCAAATAACCAGCATGCTTTATGCATGCATAATGTGACAGCTACTCTTCAAATAACCAACATGTTTTATGCATGCAAAATGTGATTGCTTCTCTTCAAATAACCAACATGCTTTATGCATGCATAATGTGACTGCTACTCTTCAAATAACCAACATGTTGTATGCATGCATAATGTGACTGATTCTCTTCAAATAACCAACATGCTTAATGCATGCATAATGTGACCGATTCTCTTCAAATAACCAACATGCTTAATGCATGCATAATGTGACTGATTCTCTTCAAATAACCAACATGCTTAATGCATGCATAATGTGACTGATTCTCTTCAAATAACCAACATGCTTAATGCATGAATAATGTGACTGATTCTCTTCAAATAACCAACATGCTTAATGCATGCATAATGTGACTGATTCTCTTCAAATAACCAACATGCTTAATGCATGAATAATGTGACTGCTTCTTTTCAAATAACCAACATGCTTAATGCATGCATAATGTGACCGATTCTCTTCAAATAACCAACATGCTTAATGCATGCATAATGTGACTGATTCTCTTCAAATAACCAACATGCTTAATGCATGCATAATGTGACCGATTCTCTTCAAATAACCAACATGCTTAATACATGCATAATGTGACCGATTCTCTTCAAATAACCAACATGCTTAATGCATGCATAATGTGACCGATTCTCTTCAAATAACCAACATGCTTAATGCATGCATAATGTGACTGATTCTCTTCAAATAACCAACATGCTTAATACATGCATAATGTGACCGATTCTCTTCAAATAACCAACATGCTTAATGCATGCATAATGTGACCGATTCTCTTCAAATAACCAACATGCTTAATACATGCATAATGTGACCGATTCTCTTCAAATAACCAACATGCTTAATGCATGCATAATGTGACCGATTCTCTTCAAATAACCAACATGCTTAATACATGCATAATGTGACCGATTCTCTTCAAATAACCAACATGCTTAATACATGCATAATGTGACCGATTCTCTTCAAATAACCAACATGCTTAATGCATGCATAATGTGACCGATTCTCTTCAAATAACCAACATGCTTAATGCATGCATAATGTGACCGATTCTCTTCAAATAACCAACATGCTTAATGCATGCATAATATGCATTAAACAGGCCGCCGTCGTGAACATACAGTGGCCGGTTCTGAGTGACAAGCTCACCGCTATGGATACCTCGGCATTCGAAGATTACGATACAGATATCGAGTCGAACCAGACAGGTGAGAATAGAGCCAGTGTTAGAGTTGAACAGTATTTCAGTTACTTCACGACGTGTCAGAGCTTGATGTAGGAGGAAAACGCGAAGTGATGCAAATATTGGACGCTTACCACTTCGGTGCACGTGCTGACACACCTGGAAACGTAATCAGGGCATTCGAACCCACGATCATAGGTTTCGGGCACGCCTAAGAAAGAATTTAAAGTCAATTTATATTGATGACATCTTTTTTTATACTGCTTCGGCGTGTGTCAGGCGTTATGGTAGGAGTAGTAGTAGCAGCAGTTATAGAAGTAGCAGCAGTAGTAGTAGTAGTAGCAGCAGCAGCAGTACTAGTAGTAGTAGTAGTAGCAGTAGTAGGAGCAGCAGTACTAGTTGTAGTAGCAGTAGTTGCAGCAGCAGCAGCAGTAGCAGCAGCAGTAGTAGTAGTAGCAGTAGTAGCAGCAGTAGTAGTAGTAGGGACAGCAGCAGTAGTAGTAGCAGCAGTAGTAGTAGTAGCAGTAGTAGCAGCAGCAGTAGTAGTAGCAGCAGTAGCAGCAGTAGAAGTAGGAGTAGCAGCAGCAGTAATAGTAGTAGTAGTAGCAGCAGTAGCAGCAGGAGTAGTAGTAGTAGTAGTAGAAGCAGCAGCAGTAGTAGTAGTAGCAGTAGTAGCAGCAGTAGTAGGAGCAGCAGTACTAGTTGTAGTAGCAGTAGTTGCAGCAGCAGCAGCAGTAGCAGCAGCAGTAGTAGTAGTAGCAGTAGTAGCAGCAGTAGTAGTAGTAGGAGCAGCAGCAGTAGTAGTAGCAGCAGTAGTAGTAGTAGCAGTAGTAGCAGCAGTAGTAGGAGCAGCAGTACTAGTTGTAGTAGCAGTAGTTGCAGCAGCAGTAGCAGCAGCAGTAGTAGTAGTAGCAGTAGTAGCAGCAGTAGTAGTAGTAGGAGCAGCAGCAGTAGTAGTAGCAGCAGTAGTAGTAGTAGCAGTAGTAGCAGCAGTAGTAGTAGTAGGAACAGCAGCAGTAGTAGTAGCAGCAGTAGTAGTAGTAGCAGTAGTAGCAGCAGCAGTAGTAGTAGCAGCAGTAGCAGCAGTAGAAGTAGGAGTAGCAGCAGCAGTAATAGTAGTAGTAGTAGCAGCAGTAGCAGCAGGAGTAGTAGTAGTAGTAGTAGAAGCAGCAGCAGTAGTAGTAGTAGCAGTAGTAGCAGCAGTAGTAGGAGCAGCAGTACTAGTTGTAGTAGCAGTAGTTGCAGCAGCAGCAGCAGTAGCAGCAGCAGTAGTAGTAGTAGCAGTAGTAGCAGCAGTAGTAGTAGTAGGAACAGCAGCAGTAGTAGTAGCAGCAGTAGTAGTAGTAGCAGTAGTAGCAGCAGTAGTAGGAGCAGCAGTACTAGTTGTAGTAGCAGTAGTTGCAGCAGCAGTAGCAGCAGCAGTAGTAGTAGTAGCAGTAGTAGCAGCAGTAGTAGTAGTAGGAGCAGCAGCAGTAGTAGTAGCAGCAGTAGTAGTAGTAGCAGTAGTAGCAGCAGCAGAAGCAGAAGTCGCTTTGTTTACCTCATACACGGGTTGTGTGTTTCAGGCGTGGCCTCCTCTAAGGATCCGACTGGTCAACATCTTCTCAACGCGCACAAAGCCAGCCAGGCCAAGATTGTAAGTGAACAGCCATGTTGCCTGGCAGTATGTGTGTTGCTCGTTATAAATGCACAATGATCTTATGCTGGAAGGATCACACATACGATTATGTCATGGTCATGCGTGCTGTCTGATGTATTCTATATTGAATACTAAATCGGAAAAGGGTGATAACATCATTCACTGCCCAGAACAACAAGAAAATGTTAATGAAAGAGTATTGGCTCATTAAACAAGGAGTTTCTTGTCTGTGCTTTCTGCTCTTTTACATAAAGCAGCCACCGCCTGTCCTCAATAACCATCCCGCTAAAGAAAATGTAAAACAACAGGTTTTATTATATATTCACCCATTCACCGTCTCTGCTGAAATATGAACACATTTCCGTTTCCATAAAATAAATACCCGATATATTGTATCGGAAAGATATTTTTTTTAAAAGGAAATAATTCTTGATATAGCCTCGTCCTGTGAGAAATCACAGGTGTTAAAGCCCTCGACATCGATACAGAAATTTGTTGCGCTATATTAAAACACAGGCTGTTTATGAGCACATGTGGTTTCAAATAATAGTAACCAGCTTTAAACTTTGAGGTAAATACTCAAATTGTAAATAGTTTGGATACATATCTAAATATACAACCAAGAATTTATAACTGATCAAACACAGGTAGTTTGGTTCGGTTTCGTTTCACTTTCACCCACCCACTTCCTAGACGTCCCGTGAAGATTCCAGGTTAGGATTGGTCTTCAGCAACCCATGCTTGTCGTAAGAGGCGATTAACGGGATCGGGTGGTCGGGCTTGCTGACTTGGTGGATGCCTGTCTTCGTATCCCAGTTGCGTAGATCGATGCCCATGATGTCAATCACTGAATTGTCTGGTCCAGATTCGATTATTTCCAGACCACCGTCATGTTACTGGAATATTGTTGAGTGCGGCGTTAAACAACAATCAAAACTTTGGAGATAGGAAGTAACACCAATATAACATTGATGACATAAGGTATCCGGATGAGCTACGTTTTAAGGTCTATAGCCTCCCTCACTCTTTCTTGATTGTCTAGGCGGCTGAGGTCGCCGACATGGCACTTCAGACCCAACAGCTCGCTGTTCAAACGCTGGGTCAGACTCTCACCCCCGGGGAGACGCTGGAGTACACCACCCCCGCTGCATCTGGCATCATCGGTCATCTGGACAGTGAAGACATGATGGCCGGGGTGGAGATTCAGATGCCCGGGACAACCACTTCCATCTCCTTCCCTGAAGGCAACATCTTTGGCGACAGTATCGGTGTCAGCGACAGCGCCATCCTGTCAGTGAGTGAAAACAGTAATCATGGTTTCAGAGCACGTTTTGTTTTCAGAGCAGGTATAAGGCGTATCAAACTTCTATCTTTTCATACGTTGGGACTATGTAATAAATAAACTCCTTGTTAGATTGGTATATTGTATTGGGCCAGGAAACTCGACTGAGTTGGGATTAAGAGTGAGTGAATGAGTGAGTATAGTTTTACGCAGCTTTTAGCAATATTCCAGCAATATCACGGCGGGGGACACCAGAAATGGGCTTCACACATTGTACCCATGTCGGAAATCGAACCCGGGTCTTCTGCGTGACGAGCGAACGCTTTAACCACTAGGCTACCCGACCGCCCCTGGGATTAAGAGTATTCCAGTTATATCACGGTGTGCCAGCTTGATGTTGGCGGACATTGATGCAGTATTACCACTTTGGTGAAACCAACGAGCACGGGTATGGTGCTGACACACATAGAAACATGATCGGGGCGAATCGGGATTCGAACCCTCGATCATACGTTTCTGGGGTTCCAAAGGGACGCAACTCTACATAGCGAGTTGCGGTGCCTTAGACGACTGGGCCATCCGTATCTCCCATGAAAATCGAACGCACAATGACCCATTGACCGGGAGAATGATATTGCGTTTTTTGTTCATTTGGGTGTGGATTTGATGTATTATATTGTAAAAGGTAGGGTTCCAAGTCGTTAAAGGCACCGCCATTCGCTTATCAGAGTTTCTCCCTCAGGCGCGCTACGAACGTATGGCCGTGGGTTCGAATCCAAGTACGACCTGATTATGTTTATAGGTTTGTCAGGACCATGCGCGTGGTCGTTGGTTTCACCAAAGTGGTAACTGAACGTCTGAGACATGAACATATCACTTTCCTCCTACATCAAGCTGACACGCCATGGTATAACTGGAGTACTGTTCAAAGCAGCGTTAAACACCACTCCTTAAAAAATACTTTAAAGATTATCAGAGCGACGAACCGCCTTCGTGGTCTGGTGGTAGAGAGTGCGCCCGGAGAGCGGAAGGTCCGGCTGCGTCATACCAACAGACGTTTAAAGATGGTAATAGTTGTTACCCTGTCTGGCGCTCGGCATTAAGGGGCTAAAACAAGGACTGGTCGGCTCGGAGTCAGTATACTGTGTCTGAGTGGGGTATTCATTAATCTGCAACGTATCTCAGTCTGCTAGCACTATAAATCGGCATCAGTCCGGTCTAGTACAATCAGCCACACAAACACGGACATGCACGTCGCTATATAAGTGCAATAATCTTGGACGCAACGTTAAACCCCATTTGACCTCACCTATTAGAGCCACGGTCAATCTCCTGACTCTACCTCTATGTCGGATGTAATCATTCAGACCAAGCGCTCCGTTACAGAAAAGAATCCCATGCGTACAACATATTTTTAAACATATTGAGACCCGTGAAGATCCAGGATAGATTACGTCTTCAGCAACCCAAGCTTGCCGTAAAAGGCCCCTATGCTTGCCGTAAGAGGCTACTTACGGGATCGGGTGGTCAGGCTCGCTGACTTGGTTGATGCATGTCATCGATCCCAGTTGCGTGGATCGATTCTCATGATGTCAGTCAATGGATTGTCTGGTCCAGACTAGATTATTTACAGACCGCTGTCATATAGCTGGAATATTGCTGAGTGCGGCGTTAAACAACAAACAAACAAACATAAAACACATTGACGTTTTGTGTGTGAAAGTTTGTAATTTGAACACAATGCCTTCACTGAATGAATACAATGTATACTACTCAACCAAGGGATAGGAATACAGAGATATTTTAAATTGTAAGGAAACTTAAAATAGCAGCTAAAGTGACAGTTATATAAATAACTTTCGATTTGTAATGATAATGAAAATGAGTCTGTTCCAAGGCAGTATCGAATGCTACTTGCATGAAAACTTGTCCCAACGATCAGTCGCATTCAGTATCCCTATCAAAAGTCGAGTAGTTCATGTCCAGTTCCTTCTCGGGGGGCACGGGTGGCCCAGTCGTCTAAGGCGCCGCCATTCGCTGTGCAGAGTTGCGTCCCTTGGGCACGCCAGAAACCTATGATTGTGGGTTCGAATCCCGGTTCGCCCTGATTATGTTTCTAGGTTTGTCAGCACCATACCCGTGCTCGTGGGTTTCACCAAAGTGGTAAACGTCTGAGACCTGCATCACTTCGGGCTTTCCTCCCACACGAAGCTGACACGCCGTGATATAACTGGAATACTGTTAAAAACGGCGTTAAACCCAACTCACTCACTCACTCACTCCAGTTCCTTCTCAATTTGCAAGGCGATGACAACGAAGCTTGATGTCAACACGTACGTGGACTCGGGAATCAACTTGGGTGAAGGAACTCAGTTCCTTAACGTCGACTTGATGGACGGGTTCGGCAACGCCATAGAGGTCAAGGACACCCCGGAACCACTCAAGATAACTATTGCCCGAACCCCAAAATATCCAAAGATGTCTTTCAATGAGACCCATCTGAAGATTGCGGACTGGAACGAGTTGTACTACACCCAGCTGAACATCACGAAAACGGCGTCCTCCATACACCTGGAAATAAAAGAACTGGAGGAAAAGGACGTCCAGATCATGGTTATCTTGAGGAAGGGAGGTCTGCCCAAGATCAGGGCTGACAAATGTGACGACGTTGCGTTCATCCCCAAATCGCTGGACTACTGTAAGATTCATTAGTTGTTGTTTTCATTTTTTTAAAAGATGGAATTGTGTGCTGCAATATGATTAGCTGAAAAACGCTTTAGAATGTAATTCGAAGTGCCTGAGAAATAATTGAAATACTTAATTAATTCCAAATTTTAAATAAAAACTGGTTATCAGGCATTCTGGTTTTAATATCGTATTCTTATACAATAAGATTAATTAATCTTCCCCTGTTATGACTCTTAGGAATATTGAGAATGAATCGTCTAGATGGACTTAAGATAGTGTTGTGAAGGACCACGGGGTAGTAGCCTCGTAGGGAAAGCATTCGCTCGCCACGCCTAAGCCCCGGGTTTGATTTCCGGTATTGGTACAATGAGCGAAGCCCATTTTTGGCATGCCCCGCAATGATTTATCTGGAATATTGCTAAAAGCGGCGTAAAACTATTCTCACTCATTATTTCTGCAGCCAAGAAAGTGAAAGCGCGGATGCGTTATCTGATGGACAACAACAAGGTGGACAACTACTTAGGCCCGGTGTGGTTCGGGTTCAGGCCTATGCCCAAAGGCTTCGACTCCAGCAAAGTGGAGTCTTGTGCTGACCTAGACAAAGTGGATGTCACCAACGACAAAAACTACACCCGCATGAATATTGGTATCTACACCTTCACCAGCGGCTGCTACTTCTTCGACCACGACTTGAAAGATTGGGCGTCACAAGGTTGCACAGTAAGTGAGGGCAACAATCGATAGTTGCACAGTAAGTGATGGCTACAATCGATAGTTGCACAGTTAGTGAGAGATACAAGCGATAGTTGCACAGTAAGTGAGGGCTACAAGCGATAGTTGCACAGTAAGTGAGGGCAACAATCGATAGTTGCACAGTAAGTGATGGCTACAATCGATAGTTGCACAGTAAGTGAGGGCTACAAGCGATAGTTGCACAGTTAGTGAGAGATACAAGCGATAGTTGCACAGTAAGTGAGGGCTACAAGCGATAGTTGCACAGTAAGTGAGGGCTACAAGCGATAGTTGCACAGTTAGTGATGGCTACAATCGATAGTTGCACAGCTAGTGAGGGCTACAAGCGATAGTTGCACAGTAAGTGAGAGATACAAGCGATAGTTGCACAGGAAGTGAGGGCTACAATCGATAGTTGCACAGTTAGTGAGGGCTACAAGCGATAGTTGCACAGTAAGTGAGAGATACAAGCGATAGTTGCATAGTAAGTGAGGGCTACAAGCGATAGTTGCACAGTAAGTGAGAGATACAAGCTATAGTTGCATAGTAAGTGAGGGCTATAAGCGATAGTTGCACAGTAATTGAGGGCTACAAGCGATAGTTGCACAGTAAGTGAGGGCTACAATCGATAGTTGCACAGTAAGTGATGGCTACAATCGATAGTTGCACAGGAAGTGAGGGCTACAATCGATAGTTGCACAGTTAGTGAGGGCTACAAGCGATAGTTGCACAGTAAGTGAGAGATACAAGCGATAGTTGCACAGTAAGTGAGGGCTACAAGCGATAGTTGCACAGTAAGTGAGAGATACAAGCGATAGTTGCATAGTTAGTGAGGGCTACAAGCGATAGTTGCACAGTAAGTGAGGGCTACAAGCGATAGTTGCACAGTAAGTGAGGGCTACAATCGATAGTTGCACAGTTAGTGATGGCTACAATCGATAGTTGCACAGTAAGTGATTGGGATCGTTACAGTTGCAAATAGAAATTGAATTAGAAATAGACTCGCATATCACAGGAAAAGAACAAATGTATCCGTTATGTATATTTGGCAAAATGTAGTGTCTATTTCTCGACGTTAAGAAAAAGAACAGTTCAATGTACAGCGTAAGCTGAATTAATATACAGGCTGAGAAAATCGCTTCTCGTCTTCTCATATTTAAATAAACTGGTACGTTTCTGATACGCTGAATAGTGTGTCTACTTGGTATGTCTTATCAGTTGCGTGATCGCGAAACATCATAGATCGTAGATCAATCCTGTGTTTCACAAGGACGGCCGTTTACATAATTACCGCTGTGTTGAAAAAATAACATAGATTATTGGACAATTTTGTAGAATGTAGAGCCAATGATATTGTCATTGGATACGATTCTCTTACTCTTTGCCATTGCTACATATCAAATATTGCGCGATTCGCTGTGCAGAGTTGCGACCCTTGGGCACGCCAGAAACCTATGAATGTTGGTTCGAATCCCGGTTCGCCCCGATTATGTTTCTAGGTTTGTCAGCACCATACCCGTGCTCGTGGGTTTCATCGAAGTGGTAAACGTCTAAGACCTGCATTACTTCGGGCTTTCCTCCCACATTTAGCTGACACGCCGTGATATAACTGGAATACTGTTAAAAGCGGCGTTAAACCCAACTCACTCACTCACTCACTCAAATATTGCGAGAATAACGTACATGAGGCCATATAGGACTTAATCATAACGACAACAGGTTAGTGAGGGAACGAACTACACGCAGACAGTCTGTTACTGCAACCACTTGACGACATTCGGCAGCGGTTGGGCTGTAGCCCCAAACATCATCGACTGGAACTTCGTCTTTTCCAACGCCGACTTCTTCAAGAACCCAACCGTCTACGTCACGGAGATCGCCATTGCCATCTTCTACATGCTCGCCATCGTCTGGGCCAGACGCAAGGACCGGAAGGACGTAGAGGCGGTAAGACAGACAACACGCTGATGTAGTTTCATCTTTAAACTGTTTTTCACATCAACATTAATCTTCACAACATTTAATATTTTTAAAGGAATCAATAAAATATTACTTAATCATGTTTGTTTACAAAATCCAAACACTTATGAAGATTAAGGGTGCGAGTTTTACGCGCATGAAGGGACATCTGGTAACCACATGGTGAGAGCCCGGAACTCGCTGTACAGAGTTATCGGCCCTTAGGTTCCATGATCCGATGGTTGTTGGTTTGAATCCCAGGTTCTGGATGGTTCTTGAATGTTACAACTGTGCAATTGTCTACAAAAAGGAGTATATGCCTTATTAAGCCACCGTTTGTTTGTTTGTTTGTTTGTTTGTTGTTCACAGCACTATTATAGCGTTATGACCATGGCCTATTAATAATCGAGTCTGGATCAGACAATCCAGTGACAGATATGAGCAGCGATCCACGCCGTCGGGTACGATGACACGTCATCACGGACCATGACCACCCGATCCACTAAGTCGCCTCTTACGACCAGCATGTGTTGCTCTTCAAACACTAAATCTCTCAACTTCCATTTCACTCACTCACCCACTCTATTATTCCACAGCTTGGCGTAACGCCGTTGAAGGACAACGATCCAGGAGACACATACTTTTACGAAATTGTGACTGTTACAGGCAGTCGTAAAAACGCCGGAACTGATTCTAAGGTACGGTGACACGTTTATGCTTAAATGTACTTTCTTTTCACGATGAATTTGGTCTTCAAGCACGTCAACTATCGGGGGGTACGGATTGTATGAGCAAAATGGGAAGGTCTCGGCTGCGCACTCCTGACACGGATCTGAGTAACGTGATCACAAGTGTCAAGATTTAATTTCGGTGAAATATTTATGTGTGACAATTAAATCTATGATCTGTCCATCGGACTTACCGCCATCTTCATAGGATCAAGAGACTCAAGTAAGTGACGTCACATCAAACATTATGACGTCATGATATTTGTACAGGCCGATGAGCTGACTTTGCAAGGCGACGACTACCCAATCAGAAAGCTAATTTCTTTAACGATTACACATGCTGTTTCAGGTATTCATCATTCTGTCTGGTGACAACGACGAGACAGATGCGCGCATGCTCAGTGATGACAGACGGAAAGTCTACACCCGAGGCGGCGTGGACTCCTTCCTCATGGCGGTGCACTGGTAGGGTGGACAATGGGTGAAATGATTTGCACAATTTCAGCCATTTGCACGGCGAGATACAACTATAATAAGCATCACAAGTATAATAATCATATACAGGAAACACAACACCGTTTGCTTTTTCACAAAGCATACAATGTCCTAGGTAGGCATGATGAACACAATTTCAGCCATTTGCACGGCGAGATACAACAATAATAAGCATCATAAGTATAATAATCATATACAGGAAACACAACACCGTGTACTTTTTCACAAAGCATACAATGTCCTAGGTAGGCATGGTGTACTTTAACAACGGTAGGACATTATTTATCACGAACACCTGGAGTCCTCACTGATTTTCAATGATCCATTCATATAATGTTTACTGCTATTTTGCCCTTCCTTTTAATGGAATCCGTTTTGCTGATAATCGAGACTGGTTATTCCCTGGCATTGACGTTATATATTTCCTTGACTCGAATGTACCTTAGATGTGGATGTCTTGGGAGATTGTTACCTGAGACTGAATATCCTGGGCAATCTGAGAATAGGTACCTTTGTTAAGGACTAATCATTTCTGAGATACAGTGTCCGGCGGTCTGTGTGACAAGGGACTTCAGCGTGACCAGCCAAAGTTGTAACAACAAGGCTATCCACAAATGGCCGTAAGATTCGTTAACCGAGATAGCGAGTGCCAAGCATCATTTAAAGCATTATTGTATATTCGAGAAAATGTATTCAATTGCTTTTATTTCGTTTCGCATTCAACAACTTGATCCACTTCCTTACCCAGCCCACTGGGATCTCTCAACTACGTCCGTGTTTGGCATGACAACTCCGGCAAAGGCAAGTTCGGGTCATGGTACCTCAAGTACCTCATTGTCAGAGATGTGCAGACCGAGCAGAAGTTTACGTTCATCTGTAACAGATGGTTCGCTGTCGAGGAGGACGATGGGCAGGTGAGTTATTTGAGAACCGGTTATACCAGCAATTAACGGTGGTAACGTGCGTTAAATGAGAATAATTTATACAAGAAATTGACCATGGGCTGGTGCGTTATTTGAGAACCATTTCTACTGGCAATTGACAATTGGCAGGTGTCTTATTTGAGAACCATTTCCACTGGCAATTGACAATTGGTAGGTGTCTTATTTGAGAACCATTTCCACTGGCTATTGATGATTGGCAGGTGTCTTATTTGAGAACCATTTCTACTTCTAGCAATTGACGATTGGCAGGTGTCTTATTGGGAACTATTTATACTTATAGCAATTGACGATGGGCAGGTGTGTTGCCATTTTGGTTTAACTGCTTTGAACAGTATTTCAGTCATACCACGGCAACTCTGCTTGAATGGGAGGAATACCGGAAGTGTATGTCTTAGACGTTTAACACTGGTCAAATACAAACTTGGCGAGTTTAAAAGAGGTCAACGGATGCAAAAGATCTACATTATATGATATTTTTCACTCATGCAAAATGTTTGAGCAGATTCAATTAGTATATAAGTACTAACGAGATCATTATCAGCAGCAGCAGCATAATTATTATTATCATCATCATCATCATTATCATCATTGCAGGTTGACCGTGTGGTCCCTGTGGCTGGACCTTCAGAGATCGCGGAGTTCGGACACCTCTTATCTGAGAAAGGTATGATGGACCTAGCCGATGGTCACCTCTGGTTCTCTGTGGTCACCCGCCCCCCTCAGAGTCGCTTCACCCGTGTCCAGAGAGTGTCCTGCTGCCTGTGTCTCTTGGCTGCCACCATGCTGGTCAACGCCATGTTCTATGAAAAACACGAAGACAAGGCTGGGATAGACTACACATTTGGACCGTTTGTTCTCAGTCCGAAACAGGTACATTCAGCTTGGTACCACCTGAATCTGGGAAATCTGGTTATTGGAGTACTTTCAATCTTGACAGAACAGTTCATTGTGAAGACGTCCGGTTTAGCAAATGTCCGGATTAACGAATCATGGATAATATAAATGAGTCAGTAATGAGTTCAGCGATGTTCCAGACACATGACAATGATGAACACAGAAATGTTCTTAACACAATGTTCCAATGTGGGCAATTGAACAAAGATCTTCGGCGTGACGAGCCAACGCTTTAACCACTATGCGTCCCGGAGTGATGTAGCTCTGTATGTATTCGCTCCAAACAGCAGTCGTCAGTGGTTTCCAGATGAAAGGATTGATACTAATTGACGTTAACTGTGTGCCTAAATTTACTCAGTAACACCCACATCACGGTCGCTCCAAACAGTAACCGCCCTCAAAGACTTAATGTTTCCTAAGTGTTGTAAGTGTTTTAGGCCAAGCTGAAGTACGCCGTACGAGGGGCGTTCAATAAGTTCTGCAACTTCACTTATTCCATTTGTCCTTCAAGCTTTTAATACCACTTTTATAGAAATCCGCAGATTGGCACTCTAACCACGCCTCTGTGGCAGCCTTTATGTCCTCGTCATCCTGGAAGCGTCTTCCACGAAGGGCAGATTTCATTTGCCGGAACCGGAAATAGTCACTGGTGGCTTAGTCTGGGCTGTAGGGTGGTAGATTTAACTGTTCGAACCCAGACTTCATGGTGAATGGAGATTATATTAAAAAATAAAAGTGCAAAAGATATTCTGCGACTTGGTCTTATATTGAAGTTGCGAAACTTATTGAACGCCCCACATTATTGTGTCTTACTGTACGATATGTGTGTATTCAAATGCATCCAAAATGTCATGATTCAAGAAAATATCGTTGTAAACCTCCTACATGAGTATGTGAAATATGTGAATGAAATGAACTAGTCCTTTCACGAAATGCCTGATTTCAGGCTGACTGTAACATATACCTACTTCAATTACAGGTCTACGTCGGCCTGATAGCCAACCTGGTCGTCTTCCCAATCAACTTTGTCATCGTCATGCTGTTCAGGAAATCTCGAGCCAGGAGACTGAGACCTTCCCGTGTTGAAGAAGCACTGAGAAATGCCCCAAGCAGGTGCTCGACGTCACTTTCTGACGTCAAAGCCGAGGTTGGCAGTGAGTCTCTGAAGGGGGTGAAGTTGAGTCAGGTCCAGCCATCAAGGCCTGGCAGTTCTTGTTCCAGTCTGAGAGAGAGATCCCCTAGCAGCATGTCCCAGGGAGGTCATGGACGGAAGAAGATTGAACTGCCCTGGTTCTGTCGCTATCTTGCCTGGGTTCTGCTGTGGGCGGTCACATTCGCCTCGGCAGCCATAGTGACGTTCTACGGAATCAGCTTCCGGGACGAGAAGGTCAAGAAATGGGTTACCTCAATGCTGGTGTCCTTCATTACATCTATCTTCATCACTGAACCTATTAAAGTGAGTAGACGGGTGATCCTTTAAGAGTTGCCTTACAATGAGTGAGTTTAACATAGTAAATGTTACAGATTTTAATACAGTGACATAAAAGGCCACCGTTTATTATAATGTTTTCGGTTTACGGATTCGATCTGTCAAAACTAAAATCGTTAAAAGATGGTACTTGTTGTTACCCTGCCTGGCGCTCGGCATTAAGGGGATATAACAAGACTGGTCGGCTCTACTGTGTCTGAGTTGGGTATCCATGTTGAACCTGGTAACATTTAAGCAATTAAATCGTAAATGTCCGAATTGATCTTGAAGTATGAACTTAGACTATCACTACCAAAGACATTCAGGTGATATTTTATGAGGACGAATAACCAATTCAAACACAACCATGACTTCTAGCTGACGGAGGTTTACAGAATATTCTTTCAGTAACGTCCACGTTGTTGCTGCAGGTGTTTCTGACTGTCGTCATCTTCTCCCTGATCTGTAAGAAGCCTGGGGATGATGAGGACGACCGGCCCGAAGATGAGGAGGGCTCCCGGATGGAGTATGACGAGGAGCTACTCCACAACCAGGTCCACGGTAAGCAGGAGTGCATGGTCGTACAGGGTATGCATTGACGTGAGTGAGTGAAATTGGTTTAACGCCGTTGATGCAGTTCAGTTATATCAGCTTTATGTGAAAGGCAAGACCGAAGTGATGCAGGTTTGAGATATTAACGCTGTGGTGAAACCCACGAGGGTTTGTGCTGACAAACCTAGAAACATAGTCAGGACAAATGTGGGATTCTAACACGCATAAGGGACGCAACCCTGCACAGCTAATTACGGCGCCTTGGACAACTGGCCCTTAAACTTAAGTGTCGGGTATATCGATGATCTGATATCGTTCTACAATGGTCAAATAGCCAATTCCCTTCGACTAATCTACCCACCTGAACTAGAAATTAAGGAGACCACGAAGACACATTTAGAATGACTAAAACTTTCAACAAAGAATGTATGACAAAAGGGATGACTTCAAATTTCCACTAGTCAGATTTCCCTTTCCGTCGAGCAATATCAGCATCTCTGTGGAGTCTATCCTTTACAATGTTTGAGGTACAAACGAGCGAGCTCTTTCTACAAGGATTTCATTGAGCGTCATACGACTCTTGCTCAAAAGTTTTTGACTAGGTTTACATCAAGGCCAAAGTAAATCTTTAAAATGTTTTATGGAAGACTTTTGGGGCACATTACCAAATTTGACGAATCAGTGTCCAAAATAATAGCTGGTTCAATATTCCCTATTTTGTACCATATGTTCTCATGTTCATTCAGGTGAACATATGACGGATGACACCGGTGGGGCGGATGTCCTCACTTATAGAGAAAACCTCTTGTCACTTTTCGAGAGATATTCATAAACGCATGTGTATGTTATAGTCGGAATCGTAAGATTTCGTATGGTTAGGGAAAATCTTTTTTCACTGTTTATTGTAGTGAGTGAGTGAGTCTGGTTTAACGCCGCTTTTAACAGTATTCCAGTCATATCACGGCGTGTCAGCTTAGAATGTGGGAGGAAAGCCCGAAGTGATGCAGGTCTCAGACGTTTACCACTTCGGTGAAACCCACGAGCACGGGTATGGTGCTGACAAACTTAGAAACATAATCGGGGCGAACCGGGATTCGAACCCACAATCATAGGTTTCTGGTGTGACTAAGGGACGCAACTCTGCACAGCGAATGGCGGCGCCTTAGACGACTGGGCCACCTGTGACAGCGCGGCCAAGCGCGGATACAGTTTGAAGGAAACTTGGGAGGAGTGGGTGTATGCATTTAACATACAAATTGCAAGATGAATGCATGTGATTCGCGAAACAATTAGTCGTGATGGTCAGGTTATGTTTGTGGTAAACAAATTGCCAAATGATTTAGACGCACACACGCAAACACGCACGCACTCACGCATGCCATGGCAGATTAACTGTAATAACATGAAAGAATCTGATGGTGCTTAACTTCTTTTGAGTAGTATATAATTTATAGAAGGGACGTAAGTGTACACAAAATGATATCGGTTCGCAATGTGAACTGAGTTTGGAATATTTCTGGCGTAGGCATAGATTATAGGACATTGGTGGAAATGTTAACCTGACCTCTTGGGGGTTCCTGTAATACAACAATATCCACACGCACAGGCGCATTGCTCTTAGCTCGCCTCTTGCACTCAATGTACATGCTTCTATTGCTGATAGCCCTTTCAAATGTGGACACGATTTAACATGCATTTGAGAGGCAGACACTTTAATGCATTTGGGGTGCCACGTGCAACTTACCCACATGCGCCCTGGAAGAAAAACAGAATGCTCTTCGCCAGAGATAAAAGCAAGCATATTGATATATTTGCATTCCAAGCAAAATACATACATGTTTAATGTGACTCACATATTGACGTTATAATCAAACACCTTCCCCTCCTGAATGAAATACATCCTTCCTCCACCAAATGGCCTGTTACAGCAGCGGACATGTTACAAGCATGTTTAGACTACGCTGTTCAACGGTGGTGATCACCATGTGTTTTCAATGTGGTGCTATTGTATGAAGGCTTGCGCCAGGGCTGCGTCCTACAACCGTGTGTTTTGGAGAATGTGTGCCACGTGTTGCCTACTGCTTGTGTGCCATGGGGATGTGTAGAAATAGGTTCTGCTTTTTAATTTGATTCCATGATATTGTGAATCATGTATTTATGACAGTAATTCGTGTGTGAAGAGAACATGCACATGGGTGTACTGGAGCCAGGAAGGTTTGGATGACATTTAATCACTGAATCATGCCATCACGGTATTATTTAAAGAAGCAAGGTAGGGTTTATTTTATATTAGCGTTTAACATCCGGTGAATTCACATCTTGAATATCATTTGTGTATGTATATTATTAATCTCTTTGATAACTGTTCGATGCTCTCGTTGCCATTATCAATATGTTTATATTTGCCTGACATTTTATATGACAGAGACTTTGTATTGTGTTGACATTATCTATATACCCACGTTAAGACGAAATGGGGTGTTTTATGTTCTGGCAGATTTATTTCAAGGTGTATTCACTCACTCGCCTTACCTGCCAACCAACCCAACCAACCCACTCACTTGATCACTGGCAGGACCCAGGCATGAATTGTGTTTGTTTGTTTGTTTGTTTGTTTGTTTGTTTGTTTGTTTGTATGTTGTTTAACTCCGCACTCAGCAACATTACAGCTTTATTACACACCCTGTAAATAATCGAGTCTGGACCAGACAATCCAGTGATTAATATTGTGAACAACTAACACGCCGTCAGGACTGACAAGCTGATCCATTTGGTTCCCTCTTGTGACCAACATAGGATGCGGGGGACCTATTCCAATCCGGAATCCCCATTTGGAGGCATGATTCAAAATGTCAAGAGTCCATACTGGTAGACTGAGTACTGTACCTGGGTACTATCCTTTCATTCCAGTTTTTCTGACTTCTGTGGCCTAATGCATGGACAATACGAATCCCACTACATAGAGCAATGGCCCAAGCACGAGTAGGAGATGCTAAATGCTTTTTAACGTAATATTTACAGTTAAGTCTTTTCCCAGAAAAGCCGAATCTTATCGAGTACCTAGTTCTTTATAAGACCCATTTCTGTACGATTTCACTTCAAAAGTTGAATGTCATAGGGTTAAAGAGTGAGCGAGTGAGTTGGGTTTTAGGGCCGCTTTCAACAGTATTCCAGTGATATCACGTCGTGTTAGCTTAATGTGGGAGGAAAGCCTGAAGTGGTGCAGGTCTCAGGCGTTTACCACTTCGGTGAAACCCACGAGCACGGGTATGGTGCCGACAAACCAAGAAACATAATCAGGGCGAACCGTGATTCGGACCCACAATCATAGGTTTCCAAGGAGTAGTGGCGTGATGCTGACAAAGCTAGAAACATTATCGGGAATTATCTTGATAATCGGTTCCTGGCATGCCAGGCGTGGGGCGTTGCTCATATTATCAATCACTCTTTGTCGAGTTTAGATTCGATTATTATCAGAACGCGTCATATACCTGAAATACTGACAAAGAAAAAGACCTAGGGTCCCTCAAGACAGGTGCCCGACTCTGTGTGTAATATTTGTTTTGTTTTCAACATGAGTTGTTTGGAAGTATATCTCCTTGTCCACAGCCTACGGGGCTGCACGTCCTAAGAAGATCGGGTACAAGCCGCCCGATCCCACAGTGCTGCAGAAGGCGAGGAGACAGAGGCTGAATGAGATCAAGATGTGGGACATCATCAGAGAGATCGTTTTCTACTCCTTCTTCCTGTGGATACTGATGGTCGTCAGCTACCGGAACAGGAGCCCGGACAGCTTCTACTACAAAGACAGCCTGGAGAAGATGATCATCAAGAACAATGACACCCTGCAGTGGTTTTCAGAGGTTAGCCAATGACGATAATCCTAGGTCATCAGTAATGATGCATGGCGTATTCCGAAGTAAAGTACAATCTGATAAATGTATAGCGTATTCCGAGTGAGTGAAGTTGGGTTTAACGCTGCTTTGAACAATATTTCAGTTATATCACGTCGTGTCAGCTTAATGTGGGAGGAAAGCCCGAAGTGATGCAGGTTTTAAGCGTTTACCACTTTGGTGAAACCCACGAGTACTGGTATGGTGTTGACAAATCTAGAAACATGATCGGGGCGAACCGGGATTCGATCCCACGATCATAGGATTCTGGCGAGTCCAAGGGACGCAAATCTGCTCAGCGAATTGCGGCGCCTTAGACGACTAGGCCACCCGTGCCCCCGCGTATTCAGAATTAACGTGCAATCTACGAAATTTATGGCGTATTCAGAGGTTGCCAAAGTCTAATTGTTGCTATAATTGCTTGCTTGGTGGATTATTATTATGGGGTGGGGTGGGGGCTGCAGCAATTTTTCTTGAGGATGAATTACTTTTTCCCAGCATTTTCGGGAACATATTATTTTTCTTCAAACAAAACACAGCCGCCGCCACCACCATCACCATCGACAGCAGTTTCCGCATCCTGAAACAGCATTCGAAATAGAGTTTTAAATAGAGTTTCATTTCATGGAAAAAACATCCACGTTTCGGAACGTGTCTTACATACAAACAGGTATGTTAAATAGCTTCTTAGCGGGTACCAGTTTAACAAACGCGCCACAATAATCCAAGAACGATAATTCGTGTTTTCCTGTTTACTGCAGACTGTTACACATTTAAATCAACTTCCAGATCCACAACACTGAAGAGTTCTGGCTTTGGGCAAAGAGCGGTCTGGTGAGCAGTCTCCGTGCAGGCAACTACTACAACAAAGACCCTGCCCTGCTCCTGCGAGGCTTCATCGGGGACAAGGTGTCCAGAATCATGGGGTATGCCACCATGCGACAGCTGAGGGTTAAAACAGGTTGGTAGCCAAAACCCATACCAGCTACATACAAACTTCCCGCCGTTATCGTATCCCTTCACCACTTCCCCATTTACGATATTTTCAATATAATTTTTTCTATTTCCTGTTTCTGTAAATAATCGAGTCTCGACAAGACAATCCAGTGATTGACATCACGAAAGTCGATGTAGGCATTTGGGATGTGATAACATGCAGCCTGTCAAGACAGCGAGCCTGAAAAGCCCAACCATTTAGCCGCATCTTTCGATAAGCATGGATTGTGGGGACCTATAGTCATACCCAGAATCCCCTCTGGTATTTCTATATGTCGTTACTGTGGGCTACGGATCTGCCCGTTAAAAAACCGATCTGCCAGTGTGCGCTGGAGGATGACTTCTACATAATCCTACCCAGATTGGCTACAAACCACATTATAGTATTTCTTACAATTATATGCCATTCTCTACCTTAACCACTTGCCTTACTATGTGTGTTTATTTAATTGAAAGTAAACTTCGAAATAAGAAACCGGTGGTAATTTCGAAGAGGACGCCATCTTGTTTTCCCAAACCCGTACCGGTTTGGTTTTGGATCTGGAATCCTTATTCAATGTTCACTTTCGATTAAATAAAGTACACGTATTTGGAGGTAAGTGTAAATCCTACCGCGCACATAGGCAGACATTTCTTACGAGACTGTCCGGAGGTCCCAGTAGTCATATAGAGAAATCGTGTGGTCAAACAAACAAACATACAAAAACAAAACCGTGTGTACCATCTTGTGTTGCGCATAGAAACAAACTACTAGTCTACCTGGTCAGGACTTAAAACATACAGCTGGCAAATTGCTGTCCGCGGCGTAAAATAACAATCAATCAATCACTTTCATGTGAACGTTTTTAAGTACACTTACACATAGAAATCAAGGTAATAGCAGCTTCATAGAGTCATATGATCTGTGATCACTCCAGTGATTAACATCATGAGCATCGATCAAAAATATTTTCCTATCTCAGTATCCCTATCAAATGTTGAATAGCATAACAACACCCACATACTACATATACTGATATATATCTTTGCAGGTCAGTGTAGTACGATCAACGTGATGTCCTCCGCCATAGTACAGTGCAACGAAGACTACTCCATGTTCAATGAAGACAAAAAGGCGTATGGTGCCCGATGGAGTCCCTATGACCTGAACACTCTAGCACGAAGAGAATACACCTACACACCTGCATCTGAGCTGAACGGGTACCCCTACTGGGGACTTCTCGGAGTCTATGGTGGAGGGGGGTATGTCGTAGAGCTAAGAGGTTCTAAGGACAAACTTGATAAAGCCATGACAACATTAGAGAAAGAAAACTGGATTGACAAATACACGCGTGCAGTTTTTGTAGAGTTCACTGTCTATAATCCACAAGTGAACTTATTTGCTATATCCACCATCGTAGCCGAGTTCCCTTCAAGCGGAGGGGTACTGGCATCATATCGATTTGAACCAGCGATGCTTCTTCCCTACATGACATCAGTGATGTATTTCCAGGTTGTATGCGAGGTCATATATTTCTGCTTTACCATCGCGTTTATCATCAAGGAGGCTCGCAACTTCACCAAACAAAGATCAAAGTACTTTAGGTCCTTCTGGAACTGGATAGAGCTATCCATTATAACCATGTCTATCGCAGCTATCGTTGTGTATTTCTATCGCCTCTTTGTAACAATCACACTGACAAGTGAGTTCAAGAAAAACCATGGGCATGAATATATGAAATTCCAGTATGTTGGTTATTGGAATGAACTGTTTTCCTACATGATTGGCTGGTTAGTCTTCTTTGGGAGTCTCAAGTTCCTCAAACTGCTCCGCTTCAACAAACGTATGTCCGTGCTCGGGTCAACCCTCGAGAGCTGTGCCCAGAGCATCCTTCACTTCAGTTTGATGTTCTGGGTGGTGTTCCTAGCCTTCATGCAGCTGTTCTACCAGACCTTCATGTCAACCAGTCTCAGCTTTTCCACCTTCATCAAGGCAGCTGAGTCCGGAATCCTGATGATGATGGGTAAGATCGACATCTATGAAATGCTGATGGTGGAGCCCATCCTTACCAAGGTGTACGTCTTCTTCTTCGTCGTAACGGTCACCTTCATCCTCGTCAACATGTTCCTCTCCATCCTCAACGACACCTTCGGCACCGTACGTGTCGACATCAAGAAAAAGAACAACGACTACGAAATAGTTGACTTCATGGTGAACAGGTTCAAGAGATGGGTTGGTGTTAATACCCCACCAACTCCCACCTCCTCATCCAGCAGCAGCAGCAGCAGCAGCACGAAATTCCAAACTTGTCACACCGTTGAGGAATTCCCAGACCGCATCGACCGCCTGCTCAAATCCATCAACAACGTGTACTTGGATGGCAACCTGGAGGCCATGATTGAGAGCAACGGCGAACCGATGAAGATGGCCATGAAACAGATGAAGGGGAAAGGAGATGGCGACTTCAAAGAAGATGGACCTACTACTGTACACACCCACTAGGACCTGAGTCCGATATCCGACTGATATGTCACGACGTTGAAACGTCAAGTTTCCAAAGGACATTTTCCTGTATTTCCTTCTGATTGCTGCACTGTGCTATCATATTGACCGTAGCTGCATAACACAGCTCTAATGGTACTTAACGTTACATTTTCAGTTACAGTTTGTGAAACGTAATCATTTTAATTGAAAATTGTAGTGAATTGTTCTTGTCAACGTTGTTTGAGAGCTTGTATCGAAATAACGTTGTGTCAATTTCTTGCTCCTCTCACTGTAAGCCGAAACTATAAACAATGTGAGAATTACTCAAAATAATACTGTTGCGTGTTGCCTCTATGTATTCCCGTATTTGATAATACTTTAAGAACAGATGCTTAAGGGGAGACATGTAAATCTTGTTCAGTTATTGAAATTCCATGCACAACAGAACAATAAACAAAACTCCCGTTGCAGTCTCTGTGTCTACATGTTAAGTGCTTTATGAACGGTGCCAAGGGCGCACATATATCCAGACAGATTTCAGCATGCAATGTCGCACTCACTAGTTAAGAGAATGCCTCCGTGGTCTAGAGGTGGGGCGTCTGCCCGGAGAGCGGAAGGTCGGGGGTTCGAGCCCCAGCCGCGTCATACCAAAAAAAGATGGTACTTGTTGTTACCCTGCCTGGTGCTCGGCGCGCGTCGCAATAATCTTGAACCACCACCATCTCGACTAGTTAAGCCATGAAAGGTATATTCACATAAGAAATCTATTTTCTAAAGATAATGGCAGATAAACATACGTTTTTTTTATTTTTTCTCATCCTACACCAAACTTCTTCGACCAGGAACCCTGGTGGCATTGTTTTCACAAGGGAACATAACTTTTGGGGGGAAATTTGGACAATCTGGACATCCTTGGAACCAATACAAAACCACGGACGATATGCGGGACAATACCAACAATTCAGTGAAATGAGAACATTAGCATGCGGTGCTTCAGATGCACTTCGGCACGATGAGAAACTTTAATTGTATCTTTTTCATGGACTTCGCGAGTCCATTGCTCAATCTAAAGTTATTTTCAAGTCACGCTTGTCAATCATACAAGATTTGTTTTTGAAAGGATAGTTTCTGGATTGTTAGGTTTTTTTTATTATTTCTAAATAAACCGACAAAACACAGTTTTAAAATATAAATAGCGAAACTTTCGTTAACTTTTCTGAACCAGAGAAATTAGATCGAGTCATCAGTAGTTCGAAATCATATTGTGGAATGTAAAATAGTCTTTAGGGAAATTTAGTATCGAGTTATTGGGGAGATTAACGAGATTTTAATGTTGGTGAACATCTGGCCATTTTAAGATAAATTAGTTTCTGAGCATTGACAAAAATGCATTGTTTGGTTTGACATGTCCGAAAACTCGACCATTGGGTTGCATATAAAGCTGGCACTGACCTGTCGCTGACCTTTCATGTTTAGTTGTCTTGGCCAGGAAGTGTGTTCTGGTCACGAGATTGACATGTACGGGGGACATGTCTAAGGCGCCGATATTCGCTGTGCAGGGTTGCGTCCCTTGGCCACGCCAGGAATCTATGATTGTGGGTCCGAATCCCGGTTCGCCCCGATTGTTTCTGGGTTTCTATGTGCTGACACAACATTCCCGTGCTCGTGGGTTTCACAAAGTGTTAAACGTCTAAGATCTGCATCACTGCAGGGTTTTCCTCCAACATCAAGATGATGCGCCGTAATATAACAGTTACTGCAATACTGTTCAAAGCGGCGTTAAACCAACTCACTCACTCACACTAACTGCATGTACGTATCATATTGGAGTCATCCCTCGGTAAACTGAACGCTTCTGTTTCAAGGGAAAACGTCGGCACAAGCAAATCTCCAGATTAATGAATCATAGTTAGTTGGGTAGTTAGTTCTACACCGCTTTGAACAGTTTAGCAGTTGGATCACTGTGGGTCCAATTAAGAAACCTAACCTACCACACGGAAACCACCATCTTGGTCGTGGGTTTCACCGAAGTGCTAAACGTCCGAGACCTGCATCACTTCGGGCTTTCCTGGGGCGGTCGGGTAGCCTAGTGGTTAAAGCGTTTGCTCGTCACGCCGAAGACCCGGGTTCGATTCCCGACATGGGTACAATGTGTGAAGCCCATTTCTGGTGTCCCCCGCCGTGATATTGCTGGAATATTGCTAAAAGCTGCGTAAAACCATACTCACTCACTCACTCGGGCTTTCCTCCCACATTAAACTGACACGCCGTGATATAACTGGAATAATGTTAAAAGCGGCGTTACACCCATCTCACTCACTCACTCGATGGTGATTTATTTGATACGGGTATCATAGTTGTGTTTTGGAGCTACAGCTTGCAGTGTTCCGGCGACAGTTTTCAGCCAAACTTTGATAACGTATGTTATTATTTGGTGAAAGACAGTTATTAAGTGTATAGTTTCTTTTTGGTAATAATATTGTTTTCAAGATCAGCAGTTTTTTCCAGGAATACTTACACACGAGACCAAAATAAATTCTAATGTAACTCGAGAATATAGAAGTTCTCAGGTGTATCATTGAACAAGTGAATGAAATTGTTTTATAATATCAAGCATGCTGTTTCTACCAAGATTTTAAAAAATTTGCTCAGCAGTTGTGTGATCAATGTTACAACATTCAATGCCTCAGTAAAGCTTTCAAAAAGTTTTATGGTAGACATGTGGAGGACATTTGACGCATCTGTGACGAAAATTATTTCCGATGCAATTCCCTATTTTCATTTTTTTTTGGCCATATATTCCCGTGTTTTTTCAGATGAACAATTGACTTGCCTTTGCATGTGTTTGTGACGGGTGCCACCGGTGGGGCATGATACGCTCATCTTTTCACGGACACCTGGTCTCAACACTATTTGATAGTGATTCATAAACACATGCTCATTGTATACATGTAGTCGGAATCGTACAATCGACCCTGCTTTATGCAGAGATTTCTGTTGGAGGTGGAAAGGGTTTTGTCGCTTATTTACATCGAGGGCAGCAATATACAGGCTATATCACGCCGGTCGGAAACTAATATAATCTCGGACGATAACCCAGTGTTATTTCATACAGACAATATAACGTGCTTCAATTTTTTCTCAGTTACATAAAAAAAACATACAAAAACTATCTTTTAGAATAACGTTTATTAAAACTTTGTATACAAACTATTTAAATAATGTAACTACACAATGACACGTGACAGGAACACATAAAATGAATGGTACTATCACATGTTAGACGTCACCATGCATAGACTGCTCTGTGTCGGGGACATTCAAACCAGGAATACTATTATCAACCAGAGTGAAATATTGCGAAGTTTATTATATTGCGGTTGCTTACTCTGTGCACATTAGGGTATGCCTGACAACTGAACTATTGATAATTTCTCAAAATTGATATTTCTTAATCTAACAGTTATCTCCATTTATATATTTTGCAAAAAGACTATTTTACACTTCCCTGATATTTAGAAAGCTTATAGCAGGTGGTGTATATCAACACAACCCTTTGATAGATATAACGGTGCATGTTCATTGTTGAAGACCATACGTAGCCGTTACTAAAGATCCAACGAAGAGTTGAAACCACACACAGATCGCAGACTTCACATTGTGACGGCAGAGTTTATATGATGGTCGAGTGCTGGGTGGATGGATTAGACCGTCCCCCGGGCACTTACTTCTTGTAGGTCCCCTCGTTTTTGTAGCCTCCTACGTAGCCGGTGTTTGATGCCTCTTCCACCCTCCCGCCCTTGCCCTTGCCCCTGCCTCCTTCATCGAACCGTTCCTTGTGCGCGCCTGTGTATTTGGATGTGTCTGTGAGTCTGCTTGTCACGTCATCCGTCTTCTTTGGGCCCTGGAAAGAAGAGTAAAAACTTGGTCGTATTGATCTCTGTTACCATAGGTTTATTGTTATCCCCGGAGACGTGGCTGTCGTCACCATTCAGTTATTTATCTCTGTCACTGCAGAGTTATTTATATCCGTCGCTGTAGAGTTCTTTGTCTCCGTCATCATAAGAGTGTTTTATATGTCAGCATAGAGTTATTTACCACCGTCACCATAAAGTGTTTTATATACGTTACAATAGAGATATTTATCTCCGTCACCATAGTTATTTATCTCTGTCACCACAGAGTTGTGTATCTCTGTCAACGTAGAGTTATTTATCTCCGTCACCATAGTTATTTATCTCCGTCACCATAGTGTTTAAAATGTCACCGTAGAGTTATTTATCTACGTCACCATAGCGTTATTTATCTCCTTCACCATAGTTATTTATGTCCCTCACTATAGGGTATTTTATATGTCTCACCATAGAGTTATTTATCTACGTCACCATAGAGTTATTTATCTCCGTCACTGTAGAGTTATTTATCTCCGTCACCATAGAGTGTTTTATCTCCGTCACCATAGAGTGTTTTATATGTCAGCATAGAGTTATTTATCTCCGTCACCATAGTTCTTTATCTCCGTCACCATAAAGTGTTTTATATACGTTACAATAGAGATATTTATCTCCGTCACCATAGTTATTTATCTCTGTCACCACAGAGTTGTGTATCTCTGTCAACGTAGAGTTATTTATCTCCGTCACCATAGTTATTTATCTCCGTCACCATAGTGTTTAAAATGTCACCGTAGAGTTATTTATCTACGTCACCATAGCGTTATTTATCTCCTTCACCATAGTTATTTATGTCCCTCACCATAGGGTATTTTATATGTCTCACCATAGAGTTATTTATCTACGTCACCATAGAGTTATTTATCTCCGTCACTGTAGAGTTATTTATCTCCGTCACCATAGAGTGTTTTATCTCCGTCACCATAGAGTGTTTTATATGTCAGCATAGAGTTATTTATCTCCGTCACCATAGTTCTTTATCTCCGTCACCATAAAGTGTTTTATATACGTTACAATAGAGATATTTATCTCCGTCACCATAGTTATTTATCTCTGTCACCACAGAGTTGTGTATCTCTGTCAACGTAGAGTTATTTATATCTGTCAGCATAGAGTTATTTATCTCCGTCACCATAGTTATTTATCTCCGTCACCATAGTGTTTAAAATGTCACCATAGAGTTATTTATCTGCGTCACCATAGAGTTATGTATCTCCGTCACTGTAGAGTTATTTATCTCCGTCACCATAGAGTGTTTTATCTCCGTCACCATAGAGTGTTTTATCCCCGTCACCATAGAGTGTTTTATATGGCACCATACACGAATAATGTACAATACGACAAATAGCACAATGATCAGTTTCTTTCGCCCCTGAGTATAAGTGGTTACTTTGGCTTCCGCATCTTGTTTGGCTTGTTCATCAGCAGCTAGTTTTTTGGCCATCTTCTCTGCCTCTTTCTCGTCACCTTTCGCCATTTTCAGGAAGAAATCTTTGCTGACAAATTTGGCCAATGTCAGTTTGCCCCTGTCAAAAGATCAAAGGTAATTTAATAACGGATCCTCCTTCAAAATAAAGAATCTTGGTCATGTTCTCACACGATACCAGCACTTAGCCAGCACCATTCTAGAAGAGTACTTTGTTGCGATCCAGAATATTGAAAAATGGATTGGTTGGTTGGTTGGTTGTGTAACACCGCACTGCGCAATATTCCAGCTATATGCCGGTGGTCTGTAAATAATCGAGTCTGGACCAGACAATCCAGTGATTAATATCATGAGCATCGATCCAAGCAAATGGGATCGATGACATGCATCAACCGATCCCGTTAGTCGCCTTTTACGGCAAGCATGGGTTGCTGAAGACCAATTCTACCCCGGATCTTCACGGATCCTTGAAAAAAGAGACGTGTGAGATCACGAAAAGAAAAGAACTTCCCCAAAACACCAAGTCCTTAAATGGCATTTAGAAGTGGTCCACACAAGAGAGGTAATTTATGTCAGTTTCTGTATTATAACACAACGTTTCGGAGAATACTCTAACTCCCTTTTGGGTACCTAAAAATATTTTGAAAAATTATAGTACATTAAAAGACTGACAGTTTTCTGATGTTAAATCGGGTTATAACGAAGTACGGTTATAACGAACTCCAAGGGACCACTTATTTTAGTTCGTTATAACCGCAGTTCGTTAGAAGCATATACAGCATATATACAACAAATGGCCGGGGCTAAAAAATAAGTTCGTTATATCAGTCAGTTCGTTATAAGCGTGTTCGTTATAACCGTAGTTTACTGTATTAGATTGACCGATATATTTTGTTCGGGTGTGTATGTGTTTGCTTACCCTGTTGGCTTGGCGGCTGCGGCAAACGCACCGGTCTGGATATTATTGTACGCTGCTGTGGGGATGATTTTTTTTAAAGCTGAGAGTGTTGCTTTATCTCCGTCTCCTCCCGCCGCCGCGCCTGTCTTGACCCCACGCTTGAACGCTGCCTTGACCAGCCCGAGGTCAGCCCAGCATGACACGTCTCCTTCTACTGCAGCCTTCGCCATTGTAAATCTACAACAGTGAATGAGTGGTTTGATATTGTATGGACATCACAGTCACAATACACTGGCGGCAACAAGGAGAATAGAATAACGTCAAGTCCCTGCAATAAAAAATGTTGGGTTTTTTGTTAATATAGAAAGGGGACTAGAAAATTATTAATTTCCAGAAACTAAAACGGACGAAACGTAGAGTATATCTGCATGGGTTTGTAAGACTACACGGCGGTCTGTTATTTATCGATTCTGGATCAGACAAACCAGTGATTGACAGCACCGAGCCTCACCATTTGGGTACTGTGATATGTTATCAGTCAAAAAAAGATCCGTGAATAAAGATCCGGGTTGGGATTGGTCTTCAGTAACCCATGATTGTCGCAATAGGCGATTAATGGGATCAGGTGGTCAGGCTCGCTGGCTTGGTTGATGCATGTCATCGTATCCCAGTCGTGTAAATTGATGCTCATGATGTCAATCACTAGATTGTCTGGCCCAGTCTCGATTATATTATAGTGTTATAGGGCAGTGTATTTTATTGTTAAACAATAAATGTAACTGTATTGCATTGTTTCTGTGGAAATTTGGTAGAAGCTCATTGCGTTGTATTTGGACAATGATTAGTTGTCAGTAATGTTGTACTATTTAATGTAAGCAGTGGTGAGGAAGTTATCATTTTAGATGCGCGTGCCTGTCTTATCCCACATTTTATTTGACATGACATCAAGACCAGCTTTCGTGTGAAGATCATTCATCACCCCGGATTCTTAGCCAAGGCCTATTTCCACTGTCGCTGCCGGGTGAATATATTATTATCACTGACTTTTGCTATCATCACTGGCTTTTGTTATTTGATACTGACCACTGTCATCATATTATATATTGACATTGAACATTGTACTCCCACTCTATTGTGTACCGCCATTGTAATTGCTGTGAGGTACTTCGTATTGATCTGTACACCTAGGCCTTTTGTAATACATTTTTTGATTGAACACCATTTGGTGGTTTCAAACTAAATTCTTTAATTTATTTCGACACGTAACAACAATTACATTACCTTTAAATTATAATGACATCACATTTACCTTTTTATATTGTTTTACACCTCTAATGTGGAAAGAAAGTAATCAGAAACAGCATCACTTGTGTAATTTACACTAGCATTTGAATTTGACATTTTGAATTAGTGTAAAATTTTACTTTTTCAGAAAGCCTATCGGGTCCATGCAACACCGGGAGTTAACGAGCAAGTTTATTTACATAGTTTTTTTATAATTCAACTTATATATGATTCAAATCAATATAAGGGCATTTCATCCAATAAGTTGGATTAATTAATTGGTCAACGCAATTAAGCACCTATTATTTTTACAACGAAAATGAAGTGCGTTAAAGTGCTACGCATATAAACCTATTGAAGCGTTCGTACAATATCCGTGCGTGTCACAGCTAAATCTATTTTGCAGTGTGCACGGTCACCGCAGTAACATTCAACCCACGGTCTATGGTACATTGGTCGGGCTATAATTTTACTCTGCGTGATCAGATAGTTATGTTTCAACCACTATGCTACCCTCTCTCTCTCTCTCTCTCTCTCTCTCTCTCTCTCTCTCTCTCTCTCTCTCTCTCTCTCTCTCTCTCTCTCTCTCACACACACACACACACACACACACACACACACTCACTCACTCACTCACTCACACGCACACATACCACCACCACGCCAAGACTTGTTGTTACCCTGCCTGGCGCTGAGCATTGAAGGGGGCAGACAAGGACTGGTTAAGGACAAGTCAGTATACTGTGTCTGATTGGTGTATCCAGGTTAAACTGGGGCACCGTATCTCAGTGGGTCAGCAAAATAAAACTGAGTAAGTGAATGGGTGTTGGAAACCAGTCGTTGATAGCATGAGCAAGGTCGTTTGGTACGATGACGCAGAATCACACATCAATATCGGATCCTGGGCCCCGTTCCACAAAGCGATCGTAACTACAATCAATCTTAGAGACTTACGTCGATTTTAAAATTGTCTCAGCTAAAGTTTAAAACCGTTCCACAACGCGATCTTAGGGCGATTGTAACTTTACAAGTTCTTAAGTAGCCGATCTTAACAAAGATCGGAATCTTCAGCCATGAAGATATGAAAGTTTACCTTAGAGTGGCCTCCCTTGGTCATGTTTAGCAGACGACGCATTTCCTTAAAAGTCGCCATCTTTGTTGTTATGGTACAATATTTAAGATCGATTTTAGCGATCCTAAGTTGGTCCGGAGCAACGTAGCATTTTGATCGTAACTTACAACTCTCTTAGTTAAGATTGCTTTGTGGAATGGGAGGCTGATCGTAACACAAATTTGAGTGAGTTACAATCAACTTAGCCCTAAGATCGCTTTGTGGAACGGGGCCCTGGTTGTAGTCGACACTTACAACCGAACGACCATGCGATACCTCAGGCCCAGTAACTCAGCATTGTTGTATTCCCACACGGAATGAGAGTGAGTGTTTGTTTTGTTTATTTGTTGTTTAACGCCGCACTCCGCAATATTCCAGCTGTATGACGGCGGTCTGTAAATAATCCAGTGATATACCTCATGAGGATCGATCCGCATCATTGGGATCGATGACATGCATCAACCAAGTCAGCGAGCCTGACCACCCGATCCCATCAGTTGCCTCCTACGACAAGCGTAGAGTGAGTGACTGACTTACAGTCTTACGTTTGGTTTAACGCTGTTTATTTCGTGGTATCGCATGTCATCTTCATGTGGGAGGACAGCGCATCAGTGATACAGCCTCTAAGCGTTTACCACTAAAATGAATATGCCTACAAACCGAAGATTATACAATTTAGCGGATCGTTGTATTTCTCTATAACACGATTGCAACTCCCATGCATTAAGATAGACTTACGACAGTCGTTGCGCTCGGGCCGTTTGTAAGATGGGGCTCAGAGGTCAAAGGCGCCGATATTATCTCTACAGAGATGCTTCCCTTACCTATGTTAGGATATAGATCTCTGATCACGATTAACAAGTTGATCTTACTGAAGTTGTAAAAGTCCACGACATTTGTCGTGAGGATGGGTTTTCCTCGTCGTTTCGTTGACGCGGTAATATCTCCGTTCAAAGCGGCATCAAACTCTACTCATTCACCCACTACAGGAATAGCGTTAGTACGTGCGGTCACGCTAACCTAGCAATACAATAGCCGAATGTATTCACAACTATGTGCCTGTCAAACAGTTGGAATAATCAATAGCATTATGGACAGTATAGCATACAGCAATGAATAACTAACAAGTGTGCGTTGTTTATGGCATACAACCCATTCGTCAAAACTTGTAACAACCAGTTCACAATCACAGCGCTAAAGCGAGTAACAACCCAACTCTATCTTAATGCACTCTTGCTAAGACAGGCCAAAACAGGCCAAGTAGTCTCGACAATACAACTGCTCCATGGTCAGTGAACAAGAAGAGTTTAACGGTTCAGTTATACAGCACGCAATTCGTACACGAGAATCCTTAGTACTTGACGTTAATCGATACTGTTATATACGCCGCTCTTCTTAATAGTCCAAAAGTCCCGTTAGAGAATCATTTATAACAGTAAACATCAATACTAGCCATGTAAACAACATATTCCGTTTATACCAGACAACATATTTACGTTGCTTTCTGTTTAATACGAGATAAGTGTAATGTCTAGGTCGTATTATTATTTACATTCGGCAATAGCTGAAATCGGTTCAAACCAAAATGGTCGTTCAAGGTTTCAGAAATGTCGCCTTCGTTTTTCCGAAGAGACGCCATTTCATTACATCATCTGTGTCAGTTTACCGGCAGCTGTTGCACGCTGCCGACTGTTGATTCGAAGCAGCCATATTGCTCAAATAAATTTAGGTCTCATCTCTGTGATTACATACCTTGTATCTGGAGTAGACCTTCCTCACACAATGAAATCCCGGGAATGAGAGATTGGACGGACAGACACAACCACCCGTCCCTGTAACCAACGTAAACAAGACGCCCCGCGGTTGCTGCTTGTACAGACCACGTGACTCGCGATCAGTCAGCCCCAATAAGATACTTCAGTCAATATCTGAGATATAAAGTCCTTACAAATCACACCCTTCAAAAGACTCGCCGATACATGCAGTCAACCTACATCCGTTAATAAGTTGTCAGGAATGTTTTGTCACCCAAGCTTACCGCTTGACTAGATTAAACCATTGCTTGAATACCGTGTCTGTGACTATCCTCATATTTGACGGTGGAGAGTAGTGTTTGACGAAACAGATATATAGCTCAACACTTTCTTTGATCCGATAAAAGCAGCACGACTGCCTTGTATTTGTACGGATAATCCATGTTTAAGTAACTAAACAAAACAATGCGTGACCTGTTTGTAAATGGCACATGACTCGGGTGTAGGCGAATATAGTGTCTGCTATGACTGGGGTATGAATGCTAGCGCCACTGCACCATCCATTATCAAAGACTTCTATTGGTGTGTCATACAGTTGAACCGTTTATTGATTATTGGTGACGACACGGGCGGGTATGAGTGGGTGAATATTATATCTTGCCCCAGGAACCATATGACAATTCGCGTTGCAGGTGCGACTGATATTCAGACTACCTTCATGTGTTAAAGCCAGTTGACCCATGAAGATCTGGGATAGAATAGGTCTTCAGCAACCCATTCTTGTCGTTAAAAGCGACTATGCTTGTTGTAAGAAAAGACTAACGGGACCCGGTGGTCAGGCTCGCTGACTTGGTTGATGCATGTCCTCGTATCCAAATTGCGTGGAGACCCGTGAAGATTCCGGGTTAGAATTGGTCTTCAGCAACAAATGCTTGCCGTAAAAGGTGACTATGCGTGTCGTAAAAAGCGAGTAACGGGATAGGGTGGTCAGGCTCGCTGACTTGGTTGATGCATGTCATCGATCCCAATTGCGTGGATCGATGCTCATGATGTCAATCACTGGATTGTCTGGTCCAGACTCGATTGATTACAGACCGCTGCTGAGTGCGGCGTTAAACAACAAACAAAACAAAAAAATAAAGCCAGCGATTGCAATTGCTGTATGATTAGCTGGATGAGTGAGTGAACATTGTTCACTGTTGCAGACAGAACCGGTCAGATTACGATCAGCCTGTTGCGTTAGCATATCGTGCTTACACTACTTAACACATGCGCCACGGTGTGTATTGTTCTACCCAGAACACTTTTGTAGCGTTACATTTGCCCGTAAGACTAAATTGACACCACAAAGTTATACAAACTAACCCATGAAGATCCGGGGGAGAATTGGTCTTCAGCAACCCATGCTTGCCGTAAAAGGCGACTATGCTTTTCGTAAGAGTCGACTAACGGGATCGCGTGGTCAGGCTCGTTTACTTGGTTGATGCATTGAATCCCATTTGCGTGGATCGATACTCGTGATGTCATACACTGGGTTGTCTGGTCCAGACTTGATTAAATTCAGACCGCTGTCATATAGTTGGAATATTGCTGAGTGCGGTGCTAAACAACAAACAAATATTGTTCAAAACGGCGATAAACTCAACTCACTCACTCACTCACTCACTGTAAGATTTGAAGCCAACGCGTTGTCAATAGAAAGCTTGTTCATTGTCTTTGATTGGCACATATTAAGGTAGTTCGAAATATTTATTTGTATTTGTTTGTCATTAAAGAAATCGTTCACGATAGAGTCTGTGATTGTTGTCCTGTAACGTTGTACAAAACACGACATAAAATATGGAATTCCAGTGGGTTGCACCCAGAAACCAAAATACATGCCTTTTCTATCAATTACCGTATTTCCTCTGTTACATTGCACAATTTTAGGCACCGCATCTTTCTGTTGAATGCTGGCACAGTGATCACGCACTACTTTACCGAATCCCAAATGCTACAGGTACACAAACTGTACATTTGCAGGAAACCGTCATTAATAATCACCAACATATCACAGTATTAAAGACCCGGCGTCCATTGTGTAACGGAGCGTATGACCCAGCGTCAATGTGTGTATTGGAGATCTGTCGTATAATAGAGGGAATACGGTATTAACCGTCGGATTGACTCCTTGATAAGGTGATATTTGCAACATGTAATTTACAAAAATACACTAGAGTAATAATGTTTTATTTAACAAAACTAAAACAATGCTAAATGATCACAAAGGTGAAATTTGGTTCTCTACGTATATTGTGTAACAACATTATGCGTTGTACGTTGTATATTGATGATGATAATATCTAGGCAATAGATAACTTGAAACGGGTTTCACAGGCACATTAACCTATAACAATATAGTCTAGCACTATCTATTGCTTATAATGTATAAGGGATCGAAGGACGTATACACATATGACACTGGACAATAAAAGACGCATAATTTAGGCACAATATAAGTTAACTTATAAAATAGTTATGTAATAGGAGGTATGTTGTATATCATTAACCATGTAAATAAATAGGCGTTATGACCAAGAGAGATGATTTAAGAAAATATTCTTAACGAGAGTAAGGAATGTTCGACAGGCACTTCTATGGGTCCTCAAGTGAATTGGTCTATGGAAGAGATGGGGGGGTGGGGTGGGGGGGGGGGGGGGGGGTCCTTCTAGAAAGAGACTTGTAATTATCAAATATTTTCTACATACACATGAGCTGGAAAAAGATATTGGTTTTCCAACACAATATGCACGATACGAATGAGACAACAGGCATCAGACCCTTCCTGTAGCCAATTCCAATATATACTACTCAAAACAAGTTAAGGAACACCAACAATTTGAAGGCTGTGTGATACAATACCCGCCAGCCATTACATATTAACTACAGTCATAAGTCCAAATGTGGTTTTCTTTAATTTGGGGGGATTTAATGTACCTCAAGCAAGTAACATGAAAAGAAACATGTTTTACGCATAAGTAACCATGTGCTTTGGACATGATATATCAAACGCTGTTAAGGTGGTTCTTCTGCAACCAGTGCAGCTGCACTTATACGCCAATTGTTCGTCAAATAACCATGAGCCCTATAGCTTTTTGTGATATTAATTGTATGCTAAAATTTACATGAATTGGCTTGATAAGTAGGAACACGATCAGAAAGATGTGTATTAGATCAAATGTTACGTTAGAAAGGTACGGAAATACGAAACGAATTCACTTGCACCTCTCAGATCAGAGCCATTTCTTCTCTTGTATCACGTGATGCTGAAAATACAGCATGTACCCCATGAACCCACAATTCTACGGAAGCCTTTCAAGGCCATTTGGGTTTTTACTTTTTTTCTTGAAATTTTAAGTTGTTATGTTGTTTGTTGAATTTTTAAGATACTACGTTGAAATTTCAAGATGCATACTAAGTTGAAATAATGAACTTGAAATTTTAAGATAATAAGTTGAAATTTTAAGATTATCACTTGAAATGTTAACTTAGTATCTTGATATTTAACTTAGTATTTTGAAATTTCAACTTAGTATCTTGAAATTTCAAGAAAAAAACGAAAAAAACAAACGGCCCGAAAAAGCTTCCGTACAAATCACTCATTCTATAGATATTGAATTCGCCAATAAAAGGAACTCATGAACTTAATAACGAGTGTTGTGACCATATATGGCTATAATCTGTATCTATTATTTAGGCTACGTTGAAATAGCATAGAAAACTGTGGTTTCATGGTGAGCTGCCAAACGTTTGGCACATGAGAGCACTGTTCAATCCTTCCTTCCTCTGAGGCCACATGGAGAAAGGGCTGCATCTACCATGAGAAGTGTCTACGATGAGAGGCCCTACTTCTTGTCGAAGGTCCCCTCTCCCTTGTAGCTGCCTACGTAGCCTGTGTTTTCCACGGTTTCCTTGCGACCCGTTGTTCCTTTTCCTTTCCCGTCCTCGTCGAACCTCTGCTTGTGGGAGGCAGTGTACAGCTTGGTGTCGGTCAGACGCTTTGTGATGTCATCAGCGGCATTACCCGTTCCTTTGTCTTTCTTCTGCGGCATAAATACGGTTACATGAATAATAGGTGAGGTGAAATGGGGTTTAACGTCGCGTCGAAGATTATTGCACTTATAAAGCGACGTGCATTTACGTGTGTGTGTTTGTGTGGCTGCTTGTACTAGTCCGGACTGATGCCGATTTATAGTGCTAGCTGAGATACCATGCCGCAGTTTAACATGAAGACCCCACTCAGACACAGTATACTGACTCCGAGCCGACCAGTCCTTGTTTTAGCCCCTTAATGCCGAGCGCCAGACAGGGTAACAACAAGTACCATCTTTTAATGTCTTTTGGTATGACGCGGTCGGGGATAGAACCCCGGACCTTCCGCTCTCCGGGCGGACGCTCTACCACTAGACCACGGAGGCGGTCTTACATGAATATAACGACACGGGGGGACTATTTGTTTCCCTTACAAAGAATATCAACAAGCACAACTGGGCACACATTAAACTCATCTTCTATAATCCAGGGCTCGCATTCCGGTAAGCTGCACTCACCGCTGGATGCCTGCCGTAGTTTACGCGAACTCAGATTACCTGCCCTTGATTTATAAATGCCAATTTGATTAGCTGCGCTACTCAATCTAACGGACCAATCAGAATACGAATTATTCCCATTGATTACGATAGAGAGAACTTCAAATTGACTGACACGAAAGCCCTCAAAATCTCTTTGACAGAAAGGATGTTCACCATTTCACCTCACCTATTATTCATGTCCATTAAAACTTGCGCTGGCTTTGGTTTCTAGGCAATACGAGTTACCTCCCTTATCCATTTCCTTTTTCCTTATCTCGACTTTTGATTGGTCGGTTTTAGTAAAAGTCAAGGGACGGGTAATTTGAGATCGCGAGAGCCACGACAATGGGTCCAGATGCAGAGGATGAAATTGAAATCGGCCCTTTCGTACAATGTCAGTGGTCAAGCATGATGTGCATGCCATATTATTCACCCTGTCAACGGAATTATGTCCGCGTATTTATTCTCTTTTTTTCTTCACGAAATGTTCAATCATTAATATGCATGTTAAAAACACTGTTTCAATGTGGAATGTAGGAAGAGCGTAACTACTCCTTTCTTCTTAGTAAAAAACGGTTCAGTACCATGACAGCTTCACTCACCCCTCCTTTCTCAAATGACCCCTCTCCTTTGTACTCTCCAACATAGCCGTCGTTCTTGTGTAGGTACTTCCTCCCCGCTATACCCTTGCCCTTGCCCCCGGCGTCGAACCTCTCCTTGTGGGAACCGGTGTATTTGCTGGTGTCGGTCAAACGACTGGTCACGTCGCTGCCCTTCTTCGGACCCTGGTCACATAGATGTCAGATTTGATGAAGGTTAATCAATCAATTTCTAACCATTTTATGACTTAATAATATGTTGTCATCGAACCTGTATTCGGGTGTCACCGGTTACCCAGTCATCTAAGACGCGATAGTTCGCTGTGAAGGGTTGCGTCCCTTGGGCACGCCTGGGACCTATGAGTGTGGGTTTGAATCTCGGTTCGCCCCGATTATGTTTCTAGACCTCACTCACTCACTCACTCACTCACTCACTCACTCACTCACTCACTCACTCATGCGTGTAGGAGATCTGGTCTGTCCGTCTTTGAGTACCACATACACGTCTTCCACCCAGCAGTTTACCCCCGAAATACCCTGTCCATTCTCCTCAACGTCATACGGCAATTCGCTGTGTAGAGTTGCGCCCCTTAGGTTTGTCAGGAACCTATGATCGTGGGTTTGCATCCCAGGCTCGTTATGTTTCTAGGCTTGTCAGCACCATACCATGCTCGTGGTAAACGGGTGAGATACGCATCACGTGGGGCTTCCCTACCACATCAAGATGACACGTCGTGATATAACTTGAATACTGTTGAATACTCACTCACCCACTCACAATTCATGAACACATGCTCATGATCGAAAAATAATGTGTCATCGGGTTTTACAAAAATATAACTAGCCTTCTGAAAGTAAGCTTTTGTTGGTTACTAACACTTTCCAATATCATGGTGACAGGCTGTGAAATAACTGAAATATTGTTCAAAGCGGCGTTAAACCTTTTCACTGAATCTCTCCTCACTTGACACACTGACCCTCTTTTCACTGACTCCCTCCTTACTGACTCTCTCCTCACTGAATCACTCCTTACTGACTCACCACTCTCTGACTCACCGACTCACTGACACCGACTACCCCCTCACTGAATCACTCCTTACTGACTCACCACTCTCTGACTCACCGACTCACTGACACCGACTACCCCCTCACTGAATCACTCCTTACTGACTCACCACTCTCTGACTCACCGACTCACTGACACCGACTACCCCCTCACTGAATCACTCCTTACTGACTCACCACTCTCTGACTCACCGACTCACTGACACCGACTACCCCCTCACTGAATCACTCCTTACTGACTCACCACTCTCTGACTCACCGACTCACTGACACCGACTACCCCCTCACTGAATCACTCCTTACTGACTCACCACTCTGACTCACCGACTCACTGACACCGACTACCCCCTCACTGAATCACTCCTTACTGACTCACCACTCTCTGACTCACCGACTCACTGACACCGACTACCCCCTCACTGAATCACTCCTTACTGACTCACCACTCTCTGACTCACCGACTCACTGACACCGACTACCCCCTCACTGAATCACTCCTTACTGACTCACCACTCTCTGACTCACCGACTCACTGACACCGACTACCCCCTCACTGAATCCCTCCTTACTGACTCACTCCTCGCTGACTCACTCCTCACCGACTGACTGACTCACTCCTCGCTGACTCACTGACTCACTGACTCACTCCTCGCTGCCTCTCTGACTCCTCGCTGACTCACTGACTCACTCCTCCTGACTCACTCCTCACTGACTCACTCCTCACCGACTCACTGACTCACTCCTCGCCGAGTCACTGACTCACTCCTCATCGACTCACTGACTCACTCCTCACCAACTCACTCACTCCTCGCTGACTCACTGACTCACTCCTCACCGACCGAATGACTCACTCCTCGCTGACTCACTGACTCACTCCTCTGACTCACCTCAGCCGCCGCTGCCGCCTCGTCCTCCTGCTTCTTGTGCTCGGACTCCGCCATCTCAACACACCACGCCTTGGCGCAGTCCTCATCCTTCCCCGCCATCCGCCAGAAGAAATCCTTCGTGACGAACGTCGTGATGCTCAGTTTACCCCTGCAATTAGCATTTGAGTTTCATCTACTGTGCTTTTTGTGAAATTAACCCAGGATATTCAATTCTAAAAGATATAAAATAGACCGGCATTTCGTGTTACTAAGTTAAGAGACCAGTTTCAAAAACGTTATCGTCATTCATCTTGCACGAATGCTGTAAGACGCCACAATTCGCTTTACAGGCTTGTTGCCCTTAGCCGTACCAGGATCCGCTGATTATTGGTTAGAACCCCTGATTCGACCTTATTACAACCCCTTCTGCAAACAGTGTTTTAAGACGCCGTATGTAGTGACAATGTAGTGTTGCGCCTCATAGCCGTGCCAGGATCCTGTTTCTCACAACTTACTACCCTTGATCTGTATTTGGAAAACGTCTGCGACGAAAATCACTTCGGGCTTCCCTTGCACATTGAATTGCCACGTCAATATGTAACCAAAATACTGTATAACACGGTGTGAACTCAAGTCACTGACGCCAGTGGGAACAACTTGGACTTGATGATCGGTCTACTCACTTGGCGTCCTTTTTGGCCGCTGCATACACGCCCGTGTTCAGCTTTTCGTAAGCTGCCTTGGGGACAACGGTCTTGAGAGAGGTGAGATTGCCACTGCTTGCTTCTGCGTCTGTCAGCTTCTTACCCCCCGAGCCCTTCCTGACCCCCCTGCGGAACGCCGCCCTCACCATTTTGATGTCTGCCCAGTCGGACACGTCGCCTGTTGGTCCTGACATCGTCGGTTACTGCAACAACAGATATGTGTTCTAATAACGTGTGTCGGTTACTGCAACAACAGATATATGTTCTCATAACACGAATTGATCATTGCAACAACAAATATATGTACTATAAGCCGTGCCGGTTACTACAACAACAGATATATGTTCTATAAACCGTGTTGGTTACTGCAACAACAGATATTTATGTCGGTTACTGCAACAACATATGTATGTCCTCATAACGCGATTTGATTATTGCAACAACAGAAACACGTTCTATAAGCCGTGTCGGTTACTGCAACACTAGATAAATGTTCAATAAACCGTTACTGCAACAACAGATAAATGTTCTATAAGCCGTGCCGGTTACTGCAACAACAGATATATGTTCTATAAACCGTTACTGCAACAACAGATATATTTTCTATAAACCGTTACTGCAACAACAGATAAATGTTCTCTAAGCCGTGCCGGTTACTGCAACAACAGATATATGTTCTATAAACCGTGCCGGTTACTGCAACAACAGATCTTTATCTCGGTTACTGCAACACTAGATATATGTTCTATAAACCGTTACTGCAACAACAGATATATGTTCTATAAACCGTGTCGGTTACTGCAACAACAGATCTTTATCTCGGTTACTGCAACAATACATATGGAGGAGCGCTGATACCTAGCTCCGTGGATTCGCGAGTCACTGGTTCGATCCCAAGTATGGACTTTGGTTCTTCAGTGCCATACCAGTACTTTAAGTTTCGGAAATGGGCTTTGGGCTTTCCTTCCACGTCGTAACATAAGTGAACTATTGGTTACAGTGACATTCTAACATCTCACTCAATGACCCGTCATATGTTTGTTTGTTTGTAGTTTAAGACCGCACTCAGCAATCTTCCAGCTATATGACGGCTGTCTTTGGTGACAAATTTAGCCACTGTCAGTTTGCCCTGTCAAAAGATCAAAGGTAATTTAATAACGGATCCTCCTTCGAAATAAAATATCTTGGCAATGTTCTCACACGGTACCAGCACTTAGCCAGAACCATTCTAGAAGAGTACTTTGTTGTATATGAACACGAAAGAGATTTTAATTATCATTATTTTTGCACAGACGATCCAGGATTTTGAAAAAAAGGGTTGGCCGGTTGGTTGGTCGTTTAACGCCGCACTCAGCAATATTCCAGCTATATGACGGCGGTCTGTAAATAATCAAGTCTGGACCAGACAGTCCAGAGCTTTTGACATCATGACCATTGATCTACGCAATTTGGATACGATTACATGCATCAATCAAGTCAGCGAGCCTGACCACCCGATCCCGTTAGTCGCCTCTTACGGCAAGCATGGGTTGCTGAAGACCTACTCTACCCCGGATCTTCACGAATCCCCATCATATCTTAAGGTAGGACAAGAGAAGATTCCCCATATACATGTGTCAAATACAACACAAGACGGAAGATGTTTCAACGCCGGTCCTGCTGCATCCATAACGCTGCATCGCGAGACCCCAACAAATATAAGTGTTTGTTTGTTTGTTTTCCAGATATATCACGATGGCCAAAAATGAGTCGAGTCTATGCCAGACAAGCCAGTGATTGTCAGCATGCTCCCCGATTCACGCTGTTGATGCTGACTAAGATTCAGGCAAGTCGTGGAGCCTAACCACCTGATCCCCAGTACGTGGTACTTGGAACCCATGGCAACCAACACGGTTACACTGTTCACACTGCAACCGTATCCAAAACTTCGTGAAAAAGATCTGAGAGTTGAGGGTGGCGTCACGTTGCATTTCAAATCCAGAGCTTGGTATATGCGTTTCCAGTAGCTACCCTCACGACACACGCACACTACACTACATGCATACACTACACACATACACTACACTACACTACACACAGGCAACCACACAACAGACCACTTGTTTTGACACGTGAACAACGAAACCATGAAGTGCATTTTACTAAGTCAGGTAACGACCCATGTTAACCCTCGTATACACAACACATTAAGATTAATCACATCTTACAAAGCTTTGTACTCTGATGGTAAATCAATACATGTTGGTTGTATTTATAATTGATTCTAGCGTTCACTGATTGACCGTGCACAATTAACATTAAGTAAAAACACTACGTCCGCGTGATCAGTATTTATAACATGATCACACTACAAACTATTGTTATTGCAATGATAACAATAATTATTCTTACTTGGTTCTATATACTCAAATACTCCCGACGGTACAATGATGCCAATATTAACCCTATAAAATCATCACAGTATAATCATACCAAACTACAACGTTAATCCTATATAACATTGCAGTACAATGATGCCAATGTATTACATTAACCCTATATAACGACACAGTAAAATGATGCCAACATATTACGTTTACCCTATATAGCCACACAGTACAGTGATGACAATATATTACGTTAAATCTATCTAACCACATCGTATCATATACATCATCATTGAATAACTATTTTGTGTTTGTTTCATTAGCCCCCATCAAACACGGGAGTATATTTCCTTTTGCCCGGCCGGCCGCCTCCGTGGTCTAGTGGTAGAGCGTCCGCCCGGAGAGCGGAAGGCCCGGGGTTCGATCCCCGACCGCGTCATACCAAAAGACGTTAAAAGATGGTACTTGTTGTTACCCTGTCTGGCGCTCGGCATTAAGGGGCTGAAACAAGGACTGGTCGGCTCGGAGTCAGTATACTGTGTCTGAGTGGGGTATTAATGTTAAACTGCGGCATGGTATCTCAGTGAGCTAGGACTATAAATTGGCATCAGTCCGGGCTAGTACAAGCAGCCACACTCACATACACGTGCATGCACGTCGCTATATAAGTGCAATAATCTTGGACGCGACATTAAACCCCATTTCACCTCACCTCACCTTTTGCCCGGCAGTTTATTACCTTGCATAATTACAGTGATCCTTCTATACCACCTTATTATCCGACAGACCCGTGGAGATTCCGGGGTAGAATAGGTCTTCAGCAACCCATGCTTGCCGTAAAAGGTGACTATGCTTGTCGTAAAAGGCGACTAACGGGATCGGGTGGTCAGGCTCGTTGACTTGGTTGATGCATGTCATCGATCCCAATTGCGTGGATCGATGCTCATGATATTAATCACTGGATTGTCTGGCCCAGACTCGATTATTTACAGACCGCCGTATATAGCTGGAATATTGCTGAGTGCGGCGTTAAACAACAAACCAACCTACCAACCTTAATCCGATAGAAGCAGGACAATGATGCCAATATGCAACTGTTCCTCTAAGCCAGGCGAAAATCTTCAGTAACAATGATGCCAATCATATATTACCAAATTCGCTTTGAGGAGTTCATAGTAAGTTAACTTATCACAAGGGATTACATCTTTAATAAGCTGCATTATGAAGCAATCTTAACTGCAAATGTCAACAAAGATATTTATGGCCACTTTCAACCACATAGGCAAACAGCGTACCAGTGAGGTCATGAGGTGTGACAGTGTCGCGAGTTTCCTGGGGGTGTTTAGACTAATAGTGGTTATAGCTATGTCCTGTTCAAATATCGGCTCCTTCCCTTTCACTGCCGAGGTCAGGTCCACTGAGATCCAACCTTCACGTCGTAGCATGTACGCCTTGTAGCGGGATTGGGAGCACTCGATACCCTCTGGGACGGCCATTGACGAACACGACCCTGCTCAACCAGCATGCAGTGATGGGGTGTTACACACTACTCAAAAGGAATTAAAGAACGCCCGTCGTATGAAAAAATCGGTGTTGTTTAACTTCTTTTGTGTAGTATATATGCAGTGAGGCCTTTTATATTTTAATATAATATTATATTTTAATATTTTTAATCCTTGGTTTTCGGATTTGTTTACTGCAAAAACAATAAAATTGCATAAAGTGGTCATAAGGTGGCTGTAAACTAGTAGCATTCGTGTTTTGAGGTGAGGTAAAATTGGGTTTAACGTCGCGTCCAAGATTATTGCACTTATATAGCGACGTGCATGCACGTGTATGTGTGTGTGTGTGTGTGTGTGTGTGGCTGCTTGTACTAGTCCGGACTGATGCCGATTTATAGTGCTAGCCCACGGAGATACCATGCCGCAGTTTAACATGAATACCCCCCTCAGACTCAGTATACTGACTCCGAGCCGACCAGTCCTTGTTTTAGCCCCTTAATGCCGAGCGCCAGACAGGGTAACAACAAGTACCATCTTTTATCGTCTTTTGGTATGACGCGGCCGGGGATCAAACCCCGGACCTTCCGCTCTCCGGGCGGACGCTCTACCTCTAGACCACGGAGGCGGTCCATTCGTGTCTTGAACAATCATATCTAACATATCATTCCACAGATGGCTGTGTCCCAAAATGTTGCATAAATCGTCCAGGCAACAGGTACGTGTGTCTCGAACTGCTATATTAGGGGCGGTTGGATAGCCTAGTGGTTAATGCGTTCGTTCGTCGTGCCGAAGATTGAGTTCGATTCAACAGCATACGCTTTCACAACTAGGCTGCCATAACTACTCGTGTCTCAAACTTCATAAACAGCATAATAAGCAGAACAAAGGCTTCAAATACATTATAGGAAGCCCAACTGTATCATAGACTAGCCACATCGATTATAAAGTTTACTGATAGTCTAAAGCAATTCATTTTTTTAATAAAACCAGTATCTAATGACGCGTCTGTCCAATTGATGAAAGTATTTATATTGTCTCAACAATAGTGAACTACGGTTATAACGAACACGCTTATAACAAACTGACCGATATAACGAACATATTTTTAGTCCGGACCATTAGTTGTATATATGCTGTATATATTCATATAACGAACTACGGTTATAAAGAACTAAAATTAGTAGTCCCTTTGAGTTCGTTATAACCGTAGTTTACTGTATTGCGAAATACAAAAAGACTTGATTGCTTCAGACAGATTGACATCTAATTCACATCTAATTCACATCTTGCCTTCAGTCGGCCTTGCATTCAATCTACCGCATCATCCAGACGGAACACTGAAGACATCTTGACAGCACGTTGCGGAAAGATGTTTTAGGTAATTTCAATAAAACGGTATATGAAATTTGTCGAAGCATACATTTTGACTATCGTTTACTTAACAGAATATTACAGTCTGCGTATGTCATAACTAAACAGGGCAGCCTCTGTGGTGTAGTGGTAGAGCGTCCGCCCGGGGAGCGGAAGATTGGTGGTTCGATCCCCGGCGCCATAACAAAAGACCTTAGAATATGGTACTTCTTAACCTGATTGGGCTTTATGTATACTCTGTCTGAGTGGGGTATTCATGATAAAGTGCGGCATGGTATCTCAGTGGCCTAGCACTAAAATTGGCATGAGTCCGGACTAGTACACACATACACTTACACTAACACTTACACTAACACTAAGACACGTCGCTATATAAGTGCAATAATCTTGAACGCGACGGTAAACCCAGTTCCACCTCTCCTCACCCTATAACCAAACCCATGTTATATATACATGTTTAACCGAACTAACCACTTATATTCACAAATTTTCTTCACGCATACACTCTATTCTTCCGTCTTGCCTTGCGCCACAATGACATACTTTCAGAGACTTTTTTATTTTTTACATCAATTTCTTTTTAACAATGCTGCATTCATCCCTCAAACACCAAATTCTTGTTCATTTTCACAACAGGCGTTCGAGCAGCCGTCACTGTATATACCGCCTGTTTGTATAGTTCCCTTTGTTACTACTACAGCCAAAGGCCTAATGCAAACACGTGACATCAAACTGTCATTCAATCGAAGTAGGGATTCCCGTTTTATCCGGTTACCATGGTTACAAAATCTATGACGATTCTATCAGTCATGACCTATTTATAAACCGACGCCATTTCAACCTTTACTTCCTCGTAATGAGACAAAGATAATGTGCACTTATTATGGCGTAATATTCACAGTCAACAGCGTACTGTCGCCTTCTAATCTATCTGCATGTTTCTCCGTATGATGTGATAGCATAGCGTTCTAGGCGATTCCTAGAGACCAAAATAAAAACATGTTGTCTATGTAGACCATTTGAACAATTGAAACGAATTTGACAATAGTTTGTTAGTAATAAGGGCATATAGACTGTTTACACATCATTCCATTAACATCGAATTCTTCAATTGCTATATAGCGTCAGTTTCTATTTTACACTGTGAACGGTGTTTCATACCGCCCGTATTGACTACAGTTATAGGTCATTGAGTAAGCGGACACCATACAATATATACTATTTAATTACCATTAAATACCGAATCTAAGTTCACATATATTCAACACTTAAGCATGACTTTCATCACGGCGCTTTTATAGCTCGTTTCGTCCTAATAACTCAATGAAAATACGATCACCAACTGGCCTAGTTCTGATCAGTGCTGTGTTTTGGTTTGGCGCCGATCAATACGTCCATCGGTTTAGACACAGGGGGGTCGACTCCCTTCTCCCCCAAGGCTTGACTGTAAGTGTCGGGGTCCCGCTAAAGGAGTTGTATCCTACACGTAATACCCTCCCAAGGATTGGTTTGCGCTAAACACACATCGTTAAAACCTCCTTTTTTCCAACACTCAAATGTCATCTTTTTATGTTAATCAACCCGGAATAATTTAACATAGATTTAACCCAGATTACAATTCTTCGTGTAAAAAGCGTTAAAAATTACCAGCGAGTTTGATAAAAGCTGCGTATATATCCCCTCCAGCGTTCCCGTGCGTGGTTCACACAGTATCTCTCCTATTCATGACATACAGCGTCTCCCCATCGCGATACACACTGATAATGTATGCCCGTCTCTATCACAGAACAAGTTGCAGTGCACTTATCGTCGACATACTTCTACAAAGCTTTTCTGATCTATCTATACTAGCACAGTACCTACCTGCTCCAAGGAAGGCGTCTCGAGTATGCTTGCTGTGATTCAGCGACTGTCACACTTCTATATGATGCTCTACTCCCGAGGAACTCGCAACGTCACAAAGTAAACAATGTTTACTGCAGCGTTCAAATAGGCCGGTAAGTGTTTGCACCACGTGACCAGTGGTCAGTGACGTTCCTGGTAATATAATGTATACTTTTATGAATCAGTAGTCATAAAAGTTGTCACAGTGTCGAACAGATATAACTGAAGCAGGAAATACCAAGTATCACTTTCGATTCAGCGCAATGGGCGTAGCGCTGTGAGAGGTCAACGCATTGACACTCTGACACTCACATATATTTGCTCGCTCAGGTTCTTCTCGCTAAGGACAGGGTTTCCATCCCAACCTCTGACTGTGCGGCTCAATCCCCCGACTGTGAAATGCTGCAGGTTCGCGTATATTCCCCGATGGCGAGTAACAGATATCTGAATGGGGATCCTCTGTGGGCTACCAAGGCGGAGAATTGCAGGAATGCACGGAAAATCGGAATACCATTTCATGGGTGCGTCGGATGGCATCGGTGTGATTGAGAGGATATGGTGGGCTAAATATCACAAAGGTTATCATTGCAGTCTCTTTAGCACTTTGAAATAGCATCAACAAACAAGTATCACATTTCACAACATGTATTTAATAACGCCATCCGAAATCCTTTCAACGTGAGTTCTTTCAAAGCAAGTAGAATCGAGTTGGATATCAACTCTACTCGACCAAGAGGGCGCGTTGAACAAAGATTAAGCAGTGATTGAAATCGATCGTTTGGTAATTTGATGGTGTATGGAAATGAAAACTTAATACGTTCACTGTTTAAAGTACGAAATATATTAAGTTATAATGTAAATATTACTTTGTTATCCATTCCACATTATGGGATATCCACAGGTGACATACGACCATAAAAAGAAAATATTAATATCGGACTCATATTTTGTGTTACTCTATAGAATTTATGCATTCATTATCGTCGGTTTTTTTCACAATGATATATCAACTAGAATTAATCAAATCCGTATGATTCAATAAAGTTTTCGACAAAAACTCATTGCCCCGTGCGCAGCGATTCCGGGTCAGAATAGGATCCTAGTACCCCTTGTTTGAGTCGACTGATGAGGATTGGTTGGATCCAACGTATAACCTGACTGATGCGTCTCATCGTCCCCGACGGCGTGGATAGTTGCTCATACTGTCAACCATTAGGTTTCCTGTCCCAGACTCGATCCTATACATGCCTCTGGGATATTGCTCACTCGCATGAAACAACTTTCATTCACTATAAAAGCACTATTTACCCTCAAGGAAAATCAGGGGCGGTGGGGTAGCCTTGGGGTTAAAGCGTTCGCTCGTCACGCCGGAGACCCGGTTTATTTCCCCACATGGGTACAATGTGTGAAGCTCACCGTGTTATTGCTGGAATATTTCTAAAAGCGACCGAACAACAATCTCACTCTCTCACTCGAAGAACAACTGGTTCTGGCATGAGTATAGAGAAAGTTTTGTAGATCATATACTTGTGTGTTAAACAAAAGTTACACTCCTGTTCAACAGCATCACACCATTACCACCCTATCGATAAGTCATTGTGAGTGGCTGAGTGTTTGTTTGTTTGTTTGTTTGTTTGTTTAACTCTGCACTCAGCAATACTCCAGCTATACGACGGCGATATGTAAATAATCGAATCTGGACCAGACAATCCAGTGATTGACATCATGAGCATCGATCTACGCAATTGGAATACGATGACATGCATCATCCATGTCAGCGAGTCTGACCACCCGATCCCGTTAGCAGCCTCTTACGATAAGCATTGGTTGCTGAAGACCACTTCTAACCCAGAATCTTCACGGGACGAGTGAGTGGTTGAGTGAATGAGGCTGGTCATATATGTTTATTATTTTATTAAACGCAACCTCAGACTAAGGATCATAATCGGATGTAATCTTGGATTCGAACCCACGAACAGCGGATCTTACGATATTCTCTGTAAGTTTACACTGCTTAACATTCTTCTGACTTGGTTGAAGCATGTCATCAATCCCAATTGCGTGGATCGATGCTCATTATATCAATCACTGGATTGTCTGGTCCAGACTCGATTATTTACAGACCGCCATCATATAGCTGGAATATTGCTGAGTGCGGCGTAAAACAACAAACCAATCTGATACATACTACATTATGATGAAACAATCATCAACATTTACATCGTTGTTTGAACTGGTCATTCGTATCAATTTTCGCGTCATTGTCATGTTATATTCTCCCCGAGTCTCTCCAAACGCACTGACTTAGCAATATGAATAATATCCGCACACCCACCATGTTTGCCAACAATAACAACACGGCGTGATAATAACCCAATACATCTAGCCTGTGGTATAAACAATGGAATGTGGGATTCACCAGGACTGTAGAAATACCGGTCCACTTGGCACCAGGGGGCGTTATAACTCTCCCCCGCCTCGTCACGTGACCAGGAGATAAGAACAGTAAGTGCTTGGATGTACAGCATCTTCGGAAGCAATCTCCTGCTGTATACAACACCCATATATACTTACCGCGAAAAGAAACGCGTACCACAGAAACATACAGAGAAGTATGTACGCTAAGAAAACATGGTTCACACAACATACCAGTACGTTTATTTGTGCATCAAACCAATCTAATATATTTTGAAAATGAGTAATTCTTCATATATCAACCAAGATTTATGGTATTTGCATTTCTTTTGCCGGTGAGTATATAACGTATTGTGTATACCTTTATCAACATACCTTTGTGTGTAAACCTTTCTGTATATATTTTGTATCAACCTTTTTGTATGTGGCATATTGTGTAAATCGTTTAGTATAAATACATTATTTCGACATGACATAAAACGTCAACGCCAGTGTCGGTCCCGAATATCTCCCGCAAGAGATTACACGCGGCGTGAAAGGCAAACAATTAGTGAAAATTATATGAATGGATCACTGAAAATATGGACCCCGTTCCACAAAACGATCATAGTGCTACAACTGGCGCAAGTCTATGTTAAAGTATGGGACTAGACTAACGCTTAATTTATGAAAACATGTTTGGACATAATTGTTTTGTTTTTTTTCAAAAGAACCTTTCCTCCTCTTCTGTGGAATCAAGAAAACAAGATTTGGTTTAGTTTGATCTAGACTTGCCTAGGCTTCAAAATAGTAAAAAAAGAAATTTTAGAATAAAAAATCCGGAAAGGATTAACGGAGGACTAGTATGGGATAGGGCATCGTCTAACGCTACGACCGTTTGTGGAACGGGGACCTGCAGTGATGACACGAGATGTTCGCGAAAAGGGTAAGCATGTCCTGCTCTACCAGCAGAACCCACCACTGACACAATTTACATAAAAAATTAAGTGTTAGGTGTGTGTTTTGCCTATTGCCGCACAGCAGTACTGTAGCAATGGTTTAGATATTTCTGTTTATTGGTAACGGAATCCTAGATAACTCTAGTTGATACAAGCATGTTTTAGATAACACTGGAGGTATCCATGGTTTAGTAAATTGCTTTCGCCGTTGATGACGACCCGCTGCATAAACTATGATAAAGAAACTGTATGCCAATATGTACTGCGCAAGATTATTTCATCACCTGCATTTTGTAACCCCACTCTGCAACAGACGTACATAGATCCATTATCGTTATTATAACATCAGTCTGAATGATGAGGCAAATGCATAAATAGAGGATAACTACACCTCCAAAAGAATCCTGTATATAAAATTGCATGGACTATTAGCAACCCCACGCAATAAATTCATTTCCTGCCCACGGAAATTACCTTCCGCAGCACGATAAATACACTGAACCCATCGCGGTAAGGACCGTGTGATCTAAAGAACTCAGGTAAACAAGATCGTCTCTGATATAAATGTTTTATCGACAAGGAATAATCTGTTCCCAGACAAAAACGTTAAGTCTATCCCTATATCAATGTTCCTGGTACTTATAAGCAGACCGTTTCTATTTATACCACGTGTTAAGTACACTGTTGCTGGTTCTGCGAGCTGTGTCCTGTGCCTGCTTGCTGCCATCATGTTCCAGGAAAGGTCATATTCAGTTGGTATCTGGTAATTGTTATCGATCTGATAGATTCGCATTATTGACAGTGTACGTTGTGTATTTCTACACAATTATGTCTGTAATCAATACACACCCCGACAGCCGTATTGTCCAAGTCAGTGAAGATTTCAGGTTGTTTTATAAGCACCGCTTGCCTTTCCGCACTAATGGCTTTACGTTGCACCGAGTAGGCAACCCGTTCTATATGGGACATGGTGCATTGTCACACTTGCTATCAAGTGTAAACGTGTTTACTGTCCATGAATCGTGTTATTGATCTTTTCTTTACAGGCCAATAACATTGGGTGTCTTCGAACCCCGACGGCGTTAATCGTTGTTGACAATATCAATCACTGGATTGTCTGGTCCAGACTCTATTATTTCCAGGCATCTGGGATACATCTGAGAGCGGTGTTAAGCAGCAGACACATATCGATAGCTTGAAAATGTTAAAGTCATTTACGGCTTCTGCGACTGATTTGCAAAATATTTACGTATTTTTTCACGTGGTGTGGAAATTCGAGAAACATCACATGCGAAGAAAATAGCAAAGGTTGTTGCTCCCATGCATGTTAACACATCGCATTCATTATATAACGAAGACCGGAAAGCCGTGCCATTAAGACATCACCCTTGCCACTACCGCTATAAGTCTGAGTATAATCTCAATCCGGGCCGGTACTTGAGGCTTCCAGCCCTCATCGAGGATATGAATCCGAATACATGTGTACGGCATATGTTTTTTTACCCTGGCTATCGTGTTGGTTATCTTGGCCGATAGCTTCTCGACTGGTTCGAAGGTGTAGAGGCAAACTGTTATCTTCACACAGTGGGCGTGCAAACACGGGTTGTCGGGATCCAAGTCTGGATTTCACACTGTATATATTTTCATGTTACTCTGAACTTGCTTCCTGATCAAACCTAGGCAATGTTTCGCCGACCCTTCTGCACTGGGGCCCCGAGCTGTCTGAAATCTCACGTTTCAGAGCCACGTTGACCTGATCCATGTGTGGGTGGGCGATGCATGCATGCCATGTGCACTTGGCGTTACAGTATTTATCCCGAGTGCGTGATTGAAATATTTTACGTCTAATTAAATAGTTTTCATCCATATAATAACAAAACTGATTGAGTGAATATATTTACGCCGCTTTTAACTTGTTCCAGCAATATTACAGCGGGAACACAGGAACTTGTTATTGGTCAGTAACTCAAATTATATACCCCCTATATATATACTAATAGGGGCCCATATTTTATTTACTGACCAAACGAGTTCCTGCGCATC